GCAATCTTGTCCAGGTCATTTGGCGTTTCGAGCCCGTTACAGCATTTTCCCATTGGAAAGCGAAGATACATTGGCTTTCTGCGGCAATTCGGAGGCAAAAGAAGGCATCTTTGAGATCTAAGACTGTAAAGTAAGTAGCCCCGCCCGGAATTAAAGCAAGCAGGTTATATGGATTGGGCACGACTGGATGTATACTAACAACCGCATCATTGACTGCTCTCAAGTCCTGCACAGGTCGATACTCATCTGTACCGGGCTTTTGAACAGGCAGCAATGGGGTGTTCCAGGGGGAAGTACAGAATTTTAGGATACCATACCGTATGAACTTATCCAGATAAGATTGGATGTTCTTCTTAGCCTTCTGCGGAATATGATATTGTCTCAGGCTTACTGGATAAACCCCAAGTTTTAGTTCGATTTTAATAGGTGGAATATTGCGGGCCAGTCCTGGTGGGTTGTTCTCTGCCCAAACTCCTGGTATGTTAAATAAGGATTCATCACTCCTCGGGTTTTGGCTAGTCAACACTGTATAAAGTCGCCACTCTTCTTCCTTTGGTACGGACAATGTCATAATACCTGAGGGTCCATTAAACTTTAAGGATGTTGTTCCATTTGGTAGGAACGTAATCTGCGCTTGTAATTTGGATAGCATATCACGTCCCAGCAATTGGACTGGACACTCAGGCATATAAAGGAATTGATGTTTTACTACGTGGCCTCCCAATGTACAGAGTCGACTTTTAAGAACCGGTTTTTCAGCACTTCTTCCAGTTGCTCCTATTACAGTAATAGTTCTTCCAGATGGAGGAGCAACTTGATTAGTCACCACCGAATGTTCAGCACCAGTGTCGATCATGAACGCACTCCTTTTTCCCCCTATTGATACATCGACCATAGGCTCCGCTCGACCAAGGGGGATGGAGCCCGGTCGGTATCAATAGTCCTCCATGACCGTGTCAGCCAATCCCACAAAGTCCCTACCTTCTCTATCGCGGGACCTTTGCGCTGCTGGATAGTACCTATCTTCCCTTACACTTCCTCTGTTCCCATTACTCCCTCTATTACCATTACTCCCTCCGGGGCCTCCTCTACCTCTCGCTCTGCCTCTAAAGTTTCCGTAACCTGCCCTGGGTAAGTCTCTCTCATACTGCTCTCTTTGCGGACACTCGTTCCTCCAATGCCCTTCTTCCTTACAGTACGCGCACTGATTCCTACTCAAAGGCTCCCTATTCCATCTACCATCGCCTCTATCTGGGCCCCGTCTATCTACGCCTGCGATCGCTACCGCTAGCATATCTGCCTTTCTACGCATCTTGCGCTCTTCCTCTTTCTTACTTTCTGTTTCCCTATTCATATATACTTTGTTCGCTACCTCCATTAGTTGGGTGATAGACATACCTGCAAACCCTTCTAATTTCTGTAGCTTGCGCTTAATATCTCCGTAAGCTTGGCTGACAAAGGCGGAGTTTACCATTCGGGAATTATCAGCGTCTTCCGGATTAAAGGGGGTATACAAGCGGTATGCCTCCAATAATCGGTCATAAAAGACACTGGGCGCTTCATCACTTTTCTGAATCACCTCAACTGTCTTCGACATGTTAATAGCTTTCTTCCCTCCGGCTTTCATGCCAGCAATTATAGCATCTCTATAGGCTTTAAGTTGAGCCATATCTGCGCCATTTACATTCCAGTCAGGATCGGTGTTAGGGTAATGTGTTGCGGCCCATGCTGCCGGATTGGCTTGATTTAAAGCACGGGCTCTCTCCTCTAGCGCCTTAATGGCCGCTTGGTTAATCCTTGTCCTTTCCTCATTATTGAACAATGTCATTAATAACTGCTGGCAATCAGCCCATGTCGGGTTATGTGTCTGAACTATCGAGGTGAACAGATCGGTCATAGCTTGTGGTTTCTCAGTGTACGAGGAATTGTGGGTCTTCCAATTCAAGAGATCGGTAGTCGTGAACGGGACATATACGAAGACTGGGTCAGCATGTGCCATTTGACCTGCGGCATCGATATAGGCTGACCCAGGATTCAGACGAAGAGGCATCTGATAATGTTTTAATTGTTGGGTACCGGTCAGTTGTCGGGTTAGTATGGGGCTACGTGGAGGGGCGTCAGTTAAAGGTTCCGGTCGAGAGGTAATAGGGCATGAGGATGTGGGAACTTGATTTTGGGAAAAGTTAGTGAATAGTATACTCCGAGCCGAGCTAGAAGAAGCTTGACCGGAAGTTTGAAGTGGCGCCAAATCAGGATATTCAAATCTAATGGGGGTTGGTCCTGGTTCCGGAAGGGGAGTTTTAATACGAGGGGGGGTGGATTCTGTACTGGAGTAGGAAGCGGAAGTGGATGGGGGCAATAGGGAAGGGGTGCAGAGCTTCCTGCATTCGCGTCACTTCCTCTTAAAGGAAAGTAAGGAGGCGGCAAAGGGATCTCGGACTCAGGGGGCGTGTCCAAAATGGGCCTAACACCAGTCCTAGTGGACAAACAAGTCCTGGCCACCATGAGGCGACATTGCTCCTCGTGGCATATCCGGATCCATTTTGGCGAGTCGTTTACGGCCTGCCCCCAACAATCAATGTATGGAAACTGTCCGTAAAGTTCAGGCCTACCTGACACAGCCACGTGTACACGCTGTACCAGGGTTGGATCCAAACTGCCACGCGGCGGCCATGCCGCAACCAAAATAGGCCACTCCCTAGTGCACAAAGTGACCAAACGTACAGGAGACATTTTAACCCCAAAATCACATGTTTTGAATCCCTTTTTAAAATTCTTTACCATACAACCTAAGGGATCCGAAATCGTTGACTCTGACGCGCCCATACTTATCAATGGAACGTCGTTGACAACGAATACTATGCACGCGTTCTTATTCAACAGTCACACCCGTTTCCTCTGGCAACAGCACCACGTGGTACAGTTACCGAGTGAAACGTACACAATAACACAATAATCACTCAGGGAATTCCCGTACACACACAGCTGTTACACCAGTCACTAAATAATCAATATTATGCCCTTTGGCGAAACTATACAGTCACCCACGCTATAATTCTCTATATATGAATTACCCGTCTATAACACACCCCAGTAACATCGTCTTTTACTAGTATCGGTTACAGTACGGTTAGCATAGGTCAAAGCACAATTTAAGGTCACAATACAATTATTAGTGGTTACGGTGTTAAACATGCAATAGACGACAATGATTAGTACTTATATACAGTGTCAGTAAATATACAGGGTTATGGTACCGTGCACTATGATACAGCAACACACTATTAACACTCTCGCTAGACGGCTGAGCTCGCGCTATCTAACAAGATATACACTTTACTAACAATCTTTAACACATTTACAATCCCAACTAAACTATTGGCCAGTACCTTGAATGGACTACCTAAAACTATATACACCCGTTTTGGTTAGCCACACTGCCCAAACACCACATATAGCGAACTAGAGGGCGAAATTTACAAAATTGCCCTTCTAGTCTATTTACTCTATCAAAAGTCTAGTGGGTTCCAAATTTACACGCCTTCCCACTTAGCCAAGATAGGTTGAGAGCTAGCGAACCGAATTTACACAGGCGCCGCTTAGTCTCCCGGTCCCTCCGACCTAGCGAACGTAATATACACCCTAGAACGCTAGTCTAGACAAGACACCGGTGTCCGGCTAGGGCTATTTACACAGGACCCCGCCTGACTAACCAGATCAAACGGTCTTACTAAAGAGCGTTCGATCGAGCGGTGCGCCTTCGCTCCTTCCCTCCGACAGAGGGGGCAGATTCCATACACAGATTTAAACCCCTTTTGGGCCTACCGCACAATCGGTATACCCCTAGTGGGTCTGCCGTCTAAAACAGCAGTTGTCTTACCTCCTCGTTCCTGAACCTGAGTTCACACTCATCGACGGGGACACCCCAGCACTTCTTACGTAGAGGCCGATGATCTCCTGGACAACAGACCAGTGGCGCCGAGACGAAGGGAGGTCCACGCAGAAGTTCAGGGGTGCAGCCGTAGAGAACGTGGGCAAAGATAGACCGTCTCACGCCTCTGCCTCTCAGCTACCGTTGAACGATGAGCTTCCCGGCCAATGCACCAAATGATACCGGAGAAACTGACGGAAGCAAAGCACAGAGGGATGGACACAGGTTTCTTCAGGAAGGAAGAGATTCTTTATTGGATCACCGATCGGGACTCAGAGGGACTAATGTCACCAAAAATACAGCAAGTTCTGAGCCCTGAACAATAGTGCAGGCTCCCTATATAGGCACATAACTCCTCCCATATTAAGCTCCACCCGCACATTCTCTTGACCAATCATTACAAATAAGAATTAACTTCCTGCTTGACCGCATGGCTTGTCCAGCACAATGGAGGAGGGGAATACTACATCCTGTATTCTTGCACATGCTCCGTACACTACTGATCGTATCTTGCCTCGTGCAACCAACTGATCGATACGTCAGCATATGCACGTACACATGCCACGTGGTAATCTCGGCCTACTAAATTTATTTTTACCGAGATTCCACCACAGTTCCTATTGTTAAGTCTGAAAAATATGCTCGGGGAATGCTATTGGGGCACCACGAGCTTGCTTGTTATCTACTCAAAGCACAATAAAAATAAAGAATTTAAAAAAAACATGCAATGAAATCATTACAAATCATTTAGCAGAAATCCACAGAAAATACAAAACCGTACATAGGGCAGAATATCCAAGTCAACAAAGCACCCCTTACTATATAAACCATAATGTATGTGAATACATCATATAAACAAGGCTTTCTGAATGTGTGAATAAACAAAATAGTATTAACCAATGATAATAATAAAATGAAAAAAAGCTGACTTGGATTCCCCAGCTTGGCGAATGTGAACTTCCCAGTGAATATAACCATATTTAGCCATGTCATTCTGCACTTGTTTTACATAACTGGGGCAGTTGCCAGCAACAAACATGGCCGCCCGAGCCTCTCCATTGGTGACGCTCTTTTGCATCGCCTGAACTCCGCTCTTTTGACCTTGTCGTTGCCTGATGGTCTCCTCCTCCTCCTCCTAAAACATGGCGCTGTACAGGGGGAAGATATGCCGGTCAGTGCTGGATGGAGGCGACCGGCATCTCAGGAAATGCATTGTCTTGCTGTGAGTAGGCATGGGTGTCTGAGAGTGATGGGAAGAGGAGTATGACCTCCCTGATAGACACATTACTGATACTGACAGCCCATTGGAGCCATTACTCATAATAATCAATATGAGGAGGAAGCACCAAACATTGTCACAAGCTAGGTGACAGCACAAGGTCCAATATTAAGGACATAATTGACATCCCACCTATGGCAAAGCAACATACAAGAGTTGGGCAGGGCACCTGCAGCATGGTTGACCTTATAATGAGCTCCTCATGATTGTGTATTTAATGGGCTGCGGTGTCAATCTGTTATTTATTTTTTTGTGTACTGCACTTCATTGTAGCCCAGGGTAAATGTTACAATGTTTATATGTGTTTTTGTATTTGCTTGTAAAATAAAACCAAATCTCAGCCTGTTAAACAAAACAAAAAAAACTCTGGAGATGATGTGGACCATACCTTAGCCATTCCCTGTTTATAACAAAGGTTCCCTTTTTTGTAACCTCAGTAGGTGCTTTCAGATTTTCCTAGGTGCAGATGATCCATGGCCAGTGTTGCTAAATAAAGACTTGCCATAGAGAGCAGCTTACCACTATAAATTCACATATATATATTTTTTTTATTTATTTATTTTTTTGGCATATGCGCAGTGGCATGCATGTGTTTAGTGAAACAGGGGAAAACATTGCCTCCCATGATGGCGGAGATTGCTGCAAAGATCTGGCAGATGCTTACATGAAAAACTAACCGCTACCTTTCATTAGACTTCTGCAAACTCCCAAGTCTGGCCACCCTGGATACGTTTTCCCTATCAGGGACACCTCTCAACATTCTGATGTTTTGATCGACGAGGTTAATATTCAGGGATCCAGAGACAGCGCTAGCATTTTTGCCTTGTGGTGCCTTTGCTCTCATGCATTGTGACACAGGTCTTCATACTCCCCCCTCACTTCTTTTGTCTCTCTCTAATTCTCTTTCCATTCTTCACTTTCTACCAGTGACCGTTAAAGGATCACTATAGTGTCAGGAAAACTCCCACCCTCAGGGTCCCCCTCCTTAGGCGCTAAAAGGGTTTTAAAACCCCTTCAGCAGCTTACCTTAATCCAGCGCGGGGCTCCCTCGAAGCTGGTGACCTCTCCTCCCTCGCTGACGTCCGCTCCCGAGTGGAGCGGAATGCGCGCCAAGAGCCGTGCGCGCATTCATTCAGTCCATAGGAAAGTATTTCTCAATGCTTTCCTATGGGCGTTCTGCACACTGGATGCAAATTTCGCATCCAGCGTCGCAGAAGCGCCTCTAGTGGCTGTCAGGAATACAGCCACTAGAGGTTGGATTAACCCTGCAATGTAAACATAGCAGTTTCTAGGAAAACGGCTATGTTTACATCTGAAGGGTTAAAACCTGGGGGACCTGGCACCCAGACCACTTCATTGAGCTGAAGTGGTCTGGGTGACAATAGTGTCCCTTTAATGTCTCTTGTTGCTTCTTCCCCTTTTATTATGAAGAATTTTACATTCTACCCAGGTGCTAGTTTTATGATGTAATTTTGCACTCTCTTTTTCTTCCATTATCACATTACTTTTAAATCCAAAAAATACAAAAATCAAGATTGTTTCCTTTAGCAGTATGAAATTATTTACTGCTGCTAGATTTGATGAACATCCATTTATGTTTCTATGCACTGATATGATCTGTTTGTTGTTTACAGGTATCAGCCTTGCCATTTATCTACGAGTAGCAAACCAAAGGGTGTGATCTCTTTAATTGTTTCAAAAGCAAAATATGTCAATGAAAAATATGAACGATTTTTGGAAAGAAAGTTTCCAAGGTTTTATGAATTATATTCTACTTTCATGAAAGGTAAGTGTGCTCCTACACTGATAAAAATATGATTGATCACTGTTTATATATCTGCAATAGATACTAAGCCCTCAGCAAATACTTTTCTAACAACTTACTTTGTACCCCTACTTTTACCCTTTGTGTCACCATACCCCACTCCCTCTAGAATGTAAGCTCCACCTCTCCGTTCCTGTATGTCAAGTTGTCTGGTTACAATTAAATGTCTGTTAGTCCACCCTTTGTACAGCGCTACGGAATCTGATGGCGCTATATAAATAATAATAATACATTTATAGAGGTATACAGTCTCTTGTCATAGATTATCTGTCAAACAGTAATCATACCTGCATCAAAAGGACACTCTAGCCAAATTAGTGTTTGCTCAGTAAGTCCACCCTTTCTTATTTTTTTCTTAACATGTAATATGCATATTGATCATCGTGTGCTGAGTGACTCCTGTCTGTTAACAGAAAAAAATCTATATGGTGGGCTTTAAATTTCCTAATTCTTCCCACGTTTGCAGATAAGTTATACATTCCTAAAAGCAAGCATTTATGCCAACTGCATTGTGAATTGTGATGTACTGTAAACACACTCCTTGATAAATAGCATGAGCCTACTGCATTGAATTTACTTTCTTTACTATTATAGGTTTTCGGATGTTGTTAGTTGAGGCAAAAGAAGTAGGAATGATCAAACAAAAAATGAGTCATCAAGGAGTAGAGTTTCATCAGCTGTCTTACAGAGAAATGGAGAAACTAAGACAAGTAGGTATATGTATACTAAAAAATAAAAAAATCACAAAAATTACCACTTTAATAATTATATTAAATGCTGCTATGTTATTTTTTTTTTTTATATTCTTTATTTTTATTTTTGCTCAACATACATAGCAAGCAAGCATCAACGGTTGGGCTTACGCAGAAGCCAAATTATGGGTAATTTCTTAACAATTACATGCAGTTCAATCATTACAGTATGTGCCCATGTTTAACGGAACCATGAGGGTCTGCCCTCCATAAAGGATTTTAATATACATAATGTAATTCCTCAGTACATTATATTGGTTTGAGAGGAATACTTAAGTGTGCATAAGAAGTGTCACTGACGCAGAGGCAAGCTTTGGCCTAGCGATCAGCTGTATAACATGTTTCATATGTCATGTGAGTCTTGTGACGTTTTTGAATATCTGTAATGTCAGTATTCGATCGAAAGTTTGATATTTTCAGGTCTTTAGATATAGTTATGGGAGTAATAGTCTAAGGTCTGTATTGTATTTCTAGGTCTCCCATTTCTTTCGTTACGTTGACCATGCTTGAGGAGGTTGGTATGCTGAGTATTTGTTAAATAAGGAATGGAATTTTCCCGTTAAGGTGCGGGAAGTGAAACAATAAGGGATTAGAGAAAGAGAGACTGAGAAGATAGTACGAAGTAAAGAAAAGTAATATGGTGGGTGCAGCATCCTGGAAGCGGCGAGGAGAGAATGTTAGGGGGTGAGATCGGGGGGGGGGACAGGAGGCACTTCCAGAACCCCCTATGCCACGTGTGTTGAATGGATCCTCCGGTCGGAGGAGAACTCCGCTACTAGGTCACCTTTACACTAGGTCACCTTTACTTCTTCCTGTCGGTCTTATCTGTCCTCCCTAGAACCCACTACGCTATTATCCCACGGCTCCCAAAGTTTTAGAAATGTTTCTGTCGATCCCTTTATTCTTGCTGTCAGGTCGTCCATAATCCTACATTCGCGGATCCTGGATATCACTCCCAGGAACTCAGGTCCGTCTGGTGAAAGCCCCCCAGTCGCTATTGTTCGTCTCGCGCTTAGAGTTATTTTATGGACTAGTTTCTGCTCTCTCTTGGTCCATCCGTCTATAGACCTGTTTAACAGGTATACCCATGGATCTCTGGTCAGGGGTTTGTTAAATATTTGTTTCATTAGGTCTTCTGTCGCTTTCCAAAATGCTATTGTTATTGTTGGGATACGTGGAATGAAATACCAGCACATCAGATTTCAAGAGCACACTATATAGAGTTTAGTAGTTTATACACTGGGTGTCAGTCTCTACCGAGATATTTTGATAACTGTTTAGGTTTATTCACTAAAGTGCAAATTGCATAGACTTGATAAGGAAATTGCACATTTTAGACCAAAGTTGTACATTACTATTCAATTTCCACTCACAGATCTAAAGTTCTCTAGAAAGTTTATAAATTATATTTATTCAAAACAGTGGCTTTACTGGTTTTTAACAGAGTGTCAGAATGCTATCTCTTACTTAAAGTGAACGTGTTGTGAGAAAAACAACTTACCTTAAAATGCTCCCGTACACCTTGAATTCACCATATATTATAAGCTACATGGTGTATTCAATGAAAAGATTCATTCACTTTTCCTCTCTTTCAGCACCAGTTTGTGGGTGTTAGTCTTCGTGTAACATCCACCTCCAGACTGTCCTCCGCTCCTCACAAAGTTTTCTTTGGTTTGCCCTACTTAGGACGCATCCCCAAGCAAGGAAAATATCATCATTAATTTTGGCAGGCTGGCTTCATTGCCGGCATTGGAACAGAGGGACGTCATGTCACTCCATTTCTAGTGCTGGCTAGGGAGCTTCTATAGAAACTACAGAACATGTGCTGTGGTTGCTAAGGGAGGAGAGCAGAGGGACCTCCTGTGGGAAGTCTTTGCTGGTCTCCCTTCTCAATCAATGCTCCAACACTGACTGACAGCTGGGGGATTCTCCATATCTATACATTTGCTAGCAAAATATTGAGAATATTGATCTGCAGAAACCTAACACGTCTTATCAAAAGCCAAACAAGTAATCAGTAGGATATTGTCATAATATCTGCTGAGATAAATGACTGTACCCCAGAAGCTGTAGGTCAGCCACCCCTTGGTATTCAAATATAAGTAATATGCTGGATAAATGCCTGCTAGGAATTAAGTTCATGATAACCAAACCTATAAAAAGGAAGTCTAGACTAGTACAAGACAAACTCCCATCTTGCATTTGCCTATATTTATACTGATTTCAGAGTTCTATTTCCTCTCCTTTCTTCTGTGAAGGGAGGAGCTGACCCATAAATAAATGCTGCCATGTTTGATCAGGAAATGTATTTTTCTCATTTAGTCAAAAGGCCCTCCCTCTGTAAAAGTCACATTAACCGCATTACTAAGTTATTATATTTTTTACTAGGATCAGAACTCAAGTGCTTATAATACAGTGGATCATTAAGCATTCAGTAGGCTTCCCCCATATAATTAGTCCTACCTAGAATCACAATCACCCTTCCCTTATATGCTCCTTTGATAATATTAGGGTTGTTCCAAAGTTTGTGCAAAGCTCTTATTTCCTCTCTAGTGAGGCTATGACCTCTAATTTAATTTCTATTGTGGTTCATCTGTTTGAACTCTTTGAGTGCTGCCTCAGTAAAGACCATAATATAATTGTCTTTGTCTACAGTGAGTTAATCATTTAGACTTGGTTGTTAAATTAGTATGGATGTTGAATGCAACAAAATGAGTCTTTATCAAACTTCTCATTAGATGTAGCATAATTATTCTCTAGTCTAATAAATGTAGCAAAATAGATTATAGTTTATCAGCTGCCTTTTTAAAAAATTTCGATTCATGCCCTAACGTATTGGCTGATTGCAAATTAGATGATCGTATTAATGCATGTTTACAAGCAAATACATTTAAATCTGTAAATTAATCTTCCATCCGTGGATAAAACAAAATGTAATTCAATAGTGTAATTTAACAAATAGTAAGTACTAACTAAGAGAGGTTAAAATTCCTTTTACTTTGATTAGGCTTATCTGATGGCCTGATATCTTTATTCAGTTGCTTTCCAGTCCCTTTTGTCTAATTGTGGAGACGTACGTGGGGCAAAATGGTTAATTCTGACTGGTATCAAATTGGGATTAAGCAAATCCTCAGAATTTGTTTCCTCAAATGTCTACATCTATGCTTCTGGGTATGGGGAGAGTGAGTACGAAAATTTACTCTACTCTTCTCCCTTGACTCCAGGTACATCGGAGCTGTGAAGTGTGTTCTATGAAGTTTCTAAATTAGTTTACTTTAGATACCCAATTTTCAGTGGTGGTTGCAATATTACATTTACATATATTTTTACGGAAGCTGTTTAGGAAGCTGCCCTATTCCTAAACCTAATCCTAACTCCAAATGGTTACTGTCTGCTAATATCCGTACTGATATCAGCAAAGGGATTTCTAAGATAAAACACGGAATTGTCTGTGACCACCATCTATTGACCCTCATCACTTTGAGCGCTGCATACAGCTCATTTGTCAGTCTGGGGCCACTAAATATGGATACTGTCACTGTTGGTAAAATACAGCATGGATGGAATTATTCTGTCTTGCAACCTTAAGGGGTTAAGTAGACAATAAGGATACGCTATTTTGTCTTTACCATAAACAGCAACATTATTATTCCAAATGTATTTGAATTTTGAACATCAAAGGGTATTTCAACTTTGACCTTGTCACTCTCTGTACTTGGCCCTATAATTACATTTATTGTTAATATTTCTAATCTGTATTTTTTTTAAATATATATTTAGGTGTTGCTTGACTCACTTATAACGTTCCTCCTCTTTTTAAAATGTTTATAATTGTATTTCTTTTCTCTCCAGTTTCGACGAGATATTATAAAAGCTGCACCTGTGGTGCTTATTTCCATTCCACCTTTTGCCAACTACATTGTCTTTCTTCTGATGTAAGTAGAACTTGCTCCACTGAATTCTAATGTCCATTGACTGGTATGAAACACTGTATCACATGTTATAATGCAATCCAAACAGCCTCTGAGAATGCGTAATTTGTTTTACAATGGCTATAAGGTAATCATTCACATTCAGCAAGGACATGAAGCACAGATTTTAGCATAATAAAATATATTTATCACAAATCCCTATAATTTGTGCTTTTTAGTTTTTATTTTAGAAATAAAAATCTGAATCACTTAGTCTTTTTTTTTTTTTTTTGTCAATCTGTTTTTATTGAAGGCAATAAATGGGTGGTTTACAGTATAAGGTTGATACATCATTCGGCAAGAGTACGTTTCATTTCCAGAATAACGATGCCTCTTTTTTTTTTTTTTTTTTTTTTTTTTTTAGTTTAAACTGTAGTTTGAAAATACAAGCTATGGATCATAAGATCCGCTATGTAACATGCTAAATTAACAATGCATTAACTAGTCTTAACCTAATCTGATTGTAGGTCTTAGCAATTTAAACAGTATAAGTAACACAAGCAGTGTAAGCGTGAGGTGTGACCTACAGGACTTAGTGAATTACGCGCTTTGTGTCGTGGCTAGGTGTCATGGGAGTGAGTCCCAGGCTGTGGGCATCCAGTTTTTCTGCAAGTACAGCAGTGGGTTGTATGTTGTATAATAGGCGTAGGTTACATGCTGCTGTCAATCTTTGTGTACCTTGTTCCACATAATATACATTCAGTGCATAGCGTTAAACATACTTTCAGTGTCAAGCGAGAGGTATACTTGCAATTACTGTATATGCTGTACATTTGCATCACATGAGACAATAAAAGGTGGTGAGAGGCAGGATAGCGTTCTTTTTCATGTGGATTGTATGCCATATCCCCTGATTTTCAGTGGGTAAGGTGGCTGACCATTAAGTCAGTGCGGTGAGGACAGTTTAACCAATTCCTGACCGGTGGTGTACAGAGTCTTGTATCCAAGCTGAGCGTTGCAGGCTGTACCGGTTTGTTGTGGGTCTGCAGGTAGGGACTGTCCCTGGAGGGGTACTGCCGTTGAGGTGAGCTCTCTGGCTTGTACTTGTCATTGTTGTGGCTTGTACTTGTCATTGTTGGGCTCCCGTGCGTTGCCCTGCGTGTTCGAGTTAGGTTGCGGACAGGCTGGGGTCTTCGCTTCCTCCGGCGCCCTTTACCAGCGCTCTTCGGCTTGGGGGTTGCTTGTCGACGGCTGGAGCTGGGTGATGCTACTTCGGTTAGTTCTTCGTTTAGGGGGGAGCGTCAAGTCTCCCGGGCCGCCAGCAAAAGGACGGGGAAAGCGGCCGTCCTTCCCCAGTTCCCGTGCCCGAAGGCCGTGCTCCGATTTCTTCGAGTGACACAGTTTTTTTTCCTCCTTTATTACTAAAGTATTTTTGGCTTCCATACTTTATAAATCACTTAACGATGTTAGGACATGTTATTATGTTCTAACTATACTGGGCTTTAACACTGTTAGGATGTATTGAGTGTAGGGTTCAATTCCTGTTCACACCAGGAAATCCGAGGTATCATTCTATAGCTGGGGCTTCCCTCTGGAAGCTGAGGCCATTTTTAGTGGCCTTAAACTTTTTCAGGTGTTCTGTATGCAGCGCTCAAAGTGATTTATATCCCCATTAAGTGCAATGCATTGTGTGCAAGATTAAAACTCTGGATCCATTTTTAGTTGTCCCAGACTAACAAACGCGCTATATGCAGCACTCAATCCAATACCTGGGACTTTCCACTGTCAGCTAGGACCCCAGTGACCCAAGGCGACTCGATTAACTGTATGCAGCACTTAAGGTTAAGTCTGCATACAGCCTTTTAAATACTTAGAAGACACCGCAGGTAAGCCGTTCATGCTCAGCTGTGGTTAATATGGGCTGGCAGGTGCTCAAGGCAGATCCACAGAGTGTGGACAGACACCAACATGGTCTCCTAATATAATAGAAAATATTAAAGAATAGGCATCACAGCAAGATGTGCTAATAAAGCAATATTTGTTGAAGCCAAGTGTGCCCCTGGTTCATGGTAAAAGGTACAACATTTCAGCTGTATGAGCCTTAATCATGTAGGGTCTCCCAGCATGGCCCCATGCTGATTGTGATCGGTACTGGACGTTGCCAGCTGCCCAGTAGTGATCAAGTGTAATCAGCATGCCTGATTTTCAGCATTAGAAAGATAGGCCTGTAATGTTGAAAACAGCCAGTAGGTGGTGGCAACAACATTCTCTACTGTTTTAACTAGGAAACCCATCTGCTGATATCAGTACTAACTTTAGAAGAGGGTTTCGTTAGGGTTATGATAGGATTAGTGGTTAGTTGTAGGGTTAAAGAGCACCTGTCATGACAATACATTTAAATCTTAAATGATAATCAAATTTCATTTATACATTATACTAGCACAATTCCTAGCAAATGTCTTTTCTCGTTAAAAAAGAGCCCTTCCCACCTCCTCTGTCAGTTCAGTCTGTGCCAAATTGCACAGAGATAAAGTTGCGCTCTGAATGCCTTTTACCAGGAAGAGTCTCCTTTTGGTGTGCCTCCTGCTTGGATTCTTCAACCTAAGGGAAAGCAATGCCTACAAGCGGAAGTAGGGGAGGGGCAGGCTCTGTCAGAGCAGTACCTGCAGCAAGCACGGAGAGAGGAGAAAAACAGCCAGAATTATTTATTGCAGAAGCTTTGGATAGGTATTCTCAAAATGGAGGGAGAGAGAGAGAGAGATGACTTTTATCTACATAAAGCCAACATAAAGTGTTGGGGAATTTTAACCTGCTTCTTCCCAAACAGGGATTTGCAGGAAAGGTGTGTTTTACAGCAAGTGTAACACCCACTGAAACATGGTTAATAATCTCAGCTAGATGCAGGAGTAATGGAAATACATTTAAAATATGAGCTTTTAAGAGCATTAAGGGAAGAAATATTTAACTATTTAATGTGAGTCAAGCCAAAGTTAAAAAAACTTTAATGTTAGGGCAGGTATATGGTTAGAGTGTAAGCATAGCGTTAAGGGTATGCCACCAAGGTGGACTCTGCAACCTTTTGTCATCACTGAGTACCATGGTAACACATACAGTTTAAATACACACTTAATTATGCATAATTAATTGTAAGTGATTTAAGTTGCCCAAAGGTGGAGTAAATAGAGAGATGAAAGAATTAACTCCAAACATAGCATAACTAGACAGAAAAGAGATTATAGTCCATGATTAGAAAAAAAAATAATTGATAATCAACTGTATTGACTGCACCCCTTAATGACTAGCATCCAATGAAGGTAGATTATGGGAACATGCTAGAAAATTTTATTTTATATTCCAATTAATACATTACATTATTACATTAAAATCTTATTTTAGATTGCATATGAAAAAAAATTGTGCATTCAATTTGTTGTAATTAGGGTGTTTGAATGTATTGATATGCTACCACATGTTCGAATTTGTAATTATATGCTGAATGCTCTTATTAAATCTTAATTTCTGCTCTCTCCATTAAGGTATTTTTTTCCTCGGCAGTTGTTAATTCGTCATTTTTGGACTCCAAATCAGCAAGAAGAGTTCTTGGATATTTATCACCGCATGAGAATGGAATCCTATGTAGATATCTTGGACAACTTGTCAAAAGCCATTCCCCAAGTCACAGAAAAGTCGCTCCAAAGCCAGATGCTCAATCTCTGTACCCAGGTACTGCTTTATTTGTGAACCTGTGATCAGAAATGTTACTGTGGCTCATATTCACTGTTTAACATGTTCAGCATGTAAATAACTAATGCACAATAAGACTATTATTTTATTCTATGTGTGTTTTGGTAACATCTGCAAACATGGATTTGAAATGTACATCGCCCGATGCCTGGTACATGTAGTTCCAGGCCCTTGGCAGGAAGTTATTTTTTACCTTTAGGCCTGTACCTTGAGTACAGGACAAGGTCAGGGAGTGTGTGGTCTACACCTCAATCAGCAGACCACAGTAATTGCTCCCTCATGGTCGGGTGCTCATTAATATGTCAGAGCACAGCCGCCAGTACTCCTGGCAGCTGTGCTGTGAGCACTGGACTGGGAGGGAGCGATTACTGGACCACCAGGCAAAATTAACCACTCCAATGACCACCGGCTAGAGGTAATCCCTCCTCTCCCTCTGTAAACCACTAGACAGAGAGTTAATCCCTACTGCCCGTAGGGAAAATTTAGCAGGAGGGGGCAAAACATAGATCACCATTATTCATAGCCAAACACGACACACAGACAGTTTACATCAAACACATACTACACACAGCCAATGCAACACTCATTCACAGCCACCACGCAACACAGGCACACACACTAGATAAACCAGCACACCACCCACTCGATAAGCCAACACACAGACACTAAGCACATTTATTGCACACAGCCAGAATATAGCACATCACGCAACACACACACTTACACACAGCCAGTACACAGCACCAGGGTTCCCAACTGTTTGGCTTTTGGCAGGAAAGTGCCTATTTTGGACTCCTGTTCCACCAATCCAATTTATTTTCCTGGTGTCTTGCATCAGGGTTAGCCATGAAACAATCCTCACGCAGTGCAAGTGCATCATACATGGAGCATTTCAGCAATGCTCTCTGTATGGTCCTTTATGTTGGGGGCTTGCAGTGGTGAGTAACTTTTTGAGTTGTCTAGTAGTGCAGGATTTGAAATTTTAAGTCCTGATTGGTATTTGAGCAGTATAAATGTGACTATTTAAAGTGAAAAGCTGCACTCAAGCAATGTTATATAAAGTGTGTGCTTCTTACTTGTTCAAGTGATCTCTGAATATGACCTATTGTCTCTTAGGTGAAGCATGGATCCCATCCGCAGGTAAATGATATCCAAGCAGTCAGTGCTGCATTCGCCGGCCCGCCCTTTGGTTTGAAGAGACTGGATGTCCATCAACTGGTAAGATACTAATACCAACATTACAATAATATATACAAATTCATCTAAACATAAACGATAACCATCAGCATTTACATAGATAGCAGGGGGTAACAGAGCAGATCTTATTTTTTTAGTTGTCCATCTGTATTGAAGGAACTAAAGAAAAACTAGGGATGTAGAGGTAAAATAGTAAAAATGATTTAAACCTCAAACATCTATTGTAGGTAAAAGTAAAAACAGAATCAATGGGGGCAAAAAAACACACAGAGACTCATCCCAGCATTCACTATGTGTTCATGCTAAGCAGCACTACGTAATTATTTCCCTGTGTATTGATTTATTAATCAATTTTCGGTGACTGGGATACTTTAGAATCCTTAGATTACACATGAGTGTTTTTTTTTGTTCTGAAATACTTACTATAATTCATTGTTTTTTGAATCTACTGTCCATTATATTTCTTCTAACAGAAAGCCTTTAGCCGTGTTCTGTTCCTGACACCACACTTGCCAGCTTTCTTTCTGCAGCGTCGGCTCGGGAGCCATATTTGTGAGATCCATAACCTGGACTGTGCACTGCTCAAGCTTGGGGTTGGCATGCTCTCCGAAGTAGAAGTAAAGAGGGTGAGAAATATATTGATCCTATGTGGCCAGAAGGCAGCAGCAAAGCAGGAATTGTTAAGATTTGCTACCTAAAGGGGACTTATGTATGTTTGGATGATTAGGTCAATTAATAATATACATCGTGTTACTGAAACTGCCATTAAAGAGACATTTCTAGCATCATAACAACTTGATGATGTAAGGAGGTCTTCTATCCAGTGGTGTATTTTGAATATGTGCTACCCTAGGCATTACGAAATTCAGGCACCCTTCCCTAATCTAAGTTTGCTGCACCTCTTCCTGTTTAAGGCCAACACGCACTTTGACTGACAGACACACACTGACACATCCACTCAGTGACAGGCACACACTCTTAGATACACATACACTCTCACTGATTTGACACTGACATATGCACACAATCATGCACACACATTGACAGACACACTCACTAATTTACATACTGACACACACTCACTAATTTACATACTGACACACACTCACTAATTGACATACTGACACACACTCTCTAATAGACATACTGACACACACTCTCTAATAGACATACTGACACACACTCACTAATAGACATACACTGACAGACACACACTCACAAACATACACTGATACGCACACTCACAAACATACACTGATACGCACACTCACAAACATACACTGACACACGCACACTCACAGACATACACTGACACACGCACACTCACAGACATACACTGACACACGCACACTCACAGACATACACTGACACACGCACACTCACAGACATACACTGACACAGGCACACTCACAGACATACACTGACACAGGCACACTCACAGACATACACTGACACAGGCACACTCACAGACATACACTGACACAGGCACACTCACAGACATACACTGACACACGCACACTCACAGACATACACTGACACAGGCACACTCACAGACATACACTGACACAGGCACACTCACAGACATACACTGACACAGGCACACTCACAGACATACACTGACACAGGCACACTCACAGACATACACTGACACACGTACACTCACAGACATACACTGACACACGCACACTCACAGACATACACTGTCAGACACGCACACTCACAGATACACACATTGTCTCACACACTCGCAAACTGTTATAGATTTTTTTTAATTTAATTTAAATACACCCAGCCTCCCTACCTTTGGGAGAGCTGGAGTAGATTATTTCCCTGTGGTGCGGCTGGCCTGTCTGCTGCTGCTGGGGCTCTTGTGCTGCTGGGTGGGCGGGTGAGCCGTCAGAGTTGGCAGCAAGAAAGCTGTAATGTTCCTGCTCAGTTCCCTCACGCATAACGTTATACTCTGGTATCACGTCTGAGCGCGCAAGGGAACCGAGCAGAAAGAGCTCAGCAGCAGGATAGCACTCACTCGCTGCTGGACCACAAAATAAGCAGATGCCCGTCTCGCGGGGCCATATCGTGGCCAGCCGGCCAGCTCTTGAGCCCCTCATGAAAGAGGTTAACAAGGCATCTGCCAGGGCGCTTTACTGTGGCGATTTTACCGCCACCCTAAAAGTGCCGACCAAGGCAAATGCCTTGTTAGCTTCGCTGTTACGACAGCACTGCCTCTGTCCCATAGTGCACATATAGTGTCTTATAAGTGCAGCATTTAGCAAAAAAACAAACAAATACTACACTGCAACTATAAGCTGTCCTTGTCACTCAAGTATGTCACACAACTAACTATGTTTTACTCCTCCTGTACAAGTACTATTTTGATAGGCTGCACAACAGGGGTTTATGGAAATTATAATTCATTTGTTTCTTTCTACAGCGGGAAGCTGAAACTAAACTAAAACTATCATAATCTTGGCTGTGATTGAATTTATGAGAGAAGCATGCTATTTCTGTAGAACGTTACTGAAGTATCATAACTGGCAGATTAACTTCCTGATTTGAGCATAGCCCACCTAAACCTTGCAAAGCCTGATGATTTAGACATCAAATATAGGAGTTTTTTGGTTGTTGTGTGTTTGTTTTTTTATATATTTTGCATATTGTTTTGAATGCATTTTGTTGATATCATGGATTAACAAATGTGTTCTTTTCGATCTGGACAATCCAAAGAATTGATCCTGATGCTTTAAGCTGTATCAGCTGTATCAGCAGTGCTCGGCCATTGCAACCTTCAGATTTGTTTTCAGATGTAACCCCATAACGATGTTAGAACGTGTCATTACGCCCTAACTAAAATGGTCTTTAATGTCTTTAGGGCGTAATGACACATCCTGTAAATTTGGTGTGAGCAGGGGTAAATTGATACCTGGGGCTCCTCTCTGTCTGCTGGGCCAATTTTAGTGCCCCAGTCTTTTACATGAGCTGTTTGCAGTGCTGGAAACCAGAACTGCAAACATCTTGTTAAACAGGCATTTTAAGGCTTATTAAAATGATCGTGATGTGAGCAATGTTAAATCTCTGCTCACACCACTAACACCAGGTATCAATGGATACTTTTGGCTCCACTGATTTTGCTGGTCCCAGACTTTTTGATGAGTTGCTTGCAGCTCTGGAAGTGACTCCTTAAATAGACCTTTAAATGCATTCAAAGAGATTGGGGTGTGATCAGAGTTACACACCACTAACCCCAGGCTCATTTAGATTACACTAAGTGTAATTTTGAAATGGCCAGTAGATGGTGGCAACATACCATCATCTACTGTGTCAAATACAGAATAAACAAAATTGATATTCACGGTGGGTTAATTTAGGTTTAGGTGAGGGTTACACTTAGTGCTAGGGTAAGGGTTCATACTTGGTGTGGATAAATGTTGTTTTGGGGCTAAAGATAATGTAGGATTGAGTTAAAGCCTCCAGCCGGCCCCCATTCCATAGAGCCAGCTGCTCGTCCATTCCCCTGCGCGGCCTCATTGTCGGGAGGAAGTAATTACAGTTCTCTTCACTTCCTCCCGGCGCACAGAGAGTTGCACGGGGCTCGAGAGACAGGAGAAGGAAGAGTCCGGAACAGCAGCAGCCTACTCCCATCAGCTGCAACCAGCCCCACTAACCTGATGTCACTTGCTTCTGCCCAGTTCCCTGGATTCCAGGGAAGACACCCTCCTGAGCCCAGGGTAGGAAACAGGAGGGTGGCTATAAATGTATTTATTTATTTTTGTAGTTGTGTTTGTATCTGTCATGTGTGTATGTCTGTATATGTATTTGTCTATGTGTCTATAAATCTTTGTGTGTGTGTGTGTGTGTATCTATTTGAGTGTATCAAATAATAAATAATACTTTGCGAGTGTGTGAGAGAATTTGTGTCTGTGTATATGTGTGTGTTTATCAGTGTATGTCTGTCTGTCAGGCTGTCAGTCAGTGAATGTGTATGTTTAGGTCACCAGCTCCCCTTCCGATCAAATAGAATGATGTTTTTACTGTAGGGAGAGGTATTAGCTGTAGAAAGAGGGAAGTGCTCATGCCATTGTACAGAACACTGGGGAGACCTTAACTGGAGTATTGTACGCAGTACTGGAGACCGTATCTCCAGAAGGATATTAATACTTTGGAGAACGTTCAGAGAAGGGATACAAAACTGGTTCATGGATTGCGGGATAAAACTTACCAGGAAAGGTTAAATGATCTTAACATGTATAGCTTGGAGGAAAGACGAAACAGGGGGATATGATAGAAACATTTGAATACATAAAGGGAATCAACACAGTAAAGGAGGAGACTTTATTTAAAAGAAGAAAAACTACCACAACAAGAAGACATAGTCTTAAATTAGAGGGGCAAAGGTTTAAAAATAATATCAGGAAGTATTACTTTACTGAGAGGGTAGTGGGTGCATGGAATAGCCTTCCAGCTGAAGTGGTAGAGGTTAACACAGTGAGGGAGTTTAACTATGCGTGGTATAGACATAAGGCTATTCTAGATATAAGAGTATTATGAAAATTGGGCAGACTAGATGGGCCGAATGGCTCTTATCTGCCATCACATTCTGTGTTTCTGTGTCATCTTTTTTCCAACGCCATGCCAGTCTTGCCAAAGCTGGCCCGCCTCAGTAGCCGAGATCAATTACCAATAAGCATCTCCTTATAGAGATGCGATAAATCAGTGCATCTCTTTGGGGAACATTCAGCGTCTCCATGCTCACTGTGCAGCACTGAGTTAGGAGACACTTTAGTGTCCATTTGAGTGACTGCCACTAGAGGTGTTACTAGGCAGCAATGTAATTACTGCCTTTTCTCAGAAAAGGAAGTATTTACATTGAAAAGCCTGCAGGGACGATATATAGACACCAGAGCCACAACATTAACCCCTTAAGGACCGAGGACGGTTCAGCACCGTCATCGGCATTTTTGCGTTGCCGACCGATGACGGTCCTGAACCGTCCTAACGGTCAGAGCTACTTACCTGATCGCCGTCGTTCCCCCGGCGGCGATCAGTGTTCCTCCGGTTGTGGGGAGACTGCCTGCAGCCCAGACAGTCTCCCCACGGCAGATTAGGACCCCTGTGGCCATGTGATCGCTTAACACAGCGATCACATGGTCACAATAGGTGTCCATAGTGCTGCCTGCAGGGGGACTGCCTGTGCTGACAGGCAGTCTCCCTGCAACTGTAAAATCAGAAAAAAAATTAAAGTTAATGGTAATAAAAAAAATAATAATAATTATATATGTATAAATATGATATATAGACATATATTATATCTATATAATATATGTCTATATATCATATATATATATGTCATACTAAGTGTATTTTTATATTAATATGTACTTATATTAATATAAAAATACACTTATAATTAAATTACACACGTGTATATATATAATATATATAATAACTATATATATTGTATATATATATTATTATAAAATATAAATAATAAGTAATTTAAATTAAATAATTTTTTTAAAATAATAATAAAATTTAAAAAAAATTATATAGCTATATGAAATTTTATTCTAACTGTATTTTAAAATTAATATATATATATTTATATCAAAATACACTTAGAATGAATTTGTATATATATCTATGTATATAAAAATAAATAAAAATAATAAGAAATATACATACGTCCATATACAAAATTACATAAATAATTATATAAATATACACGTAGACTTCAAATATATAAATATGCATATATATTTAAATTCTACGTGCGTATTTATGTAATATTTTTACATAATTCAGTAATTTTATTGATTGCAATTTGAGGGACCTGCCTGCCAACCCAGGCCGAAATTCCAGAGAATTTAATTTGCTAGCACTGTATTTTACCCTGTAACGTTCTACGACACCCTAAAACCTGTACATGGGGGGTACTGTTTTACTCGGGAGACTTCGCTGAACACAAATATTAGTGATTCACAACAGTAAAACATATCACAGCGATGATATTGTCAGTGAAAGTTACTTTTTTTGCATTTTTCACACACAAACAGCACTTTTACTGATGATATAATTGTTGTGATACGTTTTCCAGTTTTTAAACACTAATATTTGTGTTCAGCGATGTCTCCCGAGTAAAACAGTACCCCCCATGTACAGGTTTTATAGCATTTTTGAAAGTTACAAGGTCAAATATATGGGTCAAATATTTTTACATTGAAAATGGCCAGGTTGGTTACGTTGCCTTTGAGAGCGTATGGTAGCCCAGGAATGAGAATTACCCCATGATGGCATACCATTTGCAAAAGAAGACAACCCAAGGTATTGCAAATGGGGTATGTCCAGTCTTTTTTAGTAACCACTTGGTCACAAACACTGGCCAAAATTAGCGTTCAATTTAGTTTTTTTACTTTTTTCACACACAAACAAATATGAATGCTTACTTTGGCCAGTGTTTTCGACTAAGTGGCTACTAAAAAAGACTGGACATACCCCATATTGAATACCCTGGGTTGTCTACTTTAAAAAAAATATGTACATGTGGGGTGTTATTCAGAGATTTATGACAGATAATAGTGTTACAATGTCACTATTGATAAATTTTAAAAATGTATGTTTTGAAACCGCAATATCCTACTTGTACCTATAGCCCTATAACATGCAAAAAAAAGCAAAAAAGCACGTAAACACTAGGTATTTTTAAACTCAGGACAAAATTTTGAATCTATTTAGCAGTTTTTTTCATTCGCTTTTGTAGATGAGTAAAAGATTTTTCAAGTAAAAGTCAAAAAACATGTATTTTTTTCAATTTTTCATCAGATTTTTGTATTTTTTTTAAATTAAAATACATGAGATTATATAAATAATGGTATGTAAAGAAAGCCCATTTTGTCCTGAAAAAAACAATATATAATTTGTATGGGAACAGTAAATGAGAAAGCGGAAAATTACAGCCAAACACAAACACCACAAAAGTGTAAAAATATTCCTGGTCGCAAATGTACAACATCGCAAAAACAGTCCAGTCCTTAAGGGGTTAAGCTATAGTAAGTCTGGTGACTATAGTGTTCCTTTAAGAATAGATTGAAAGTAAACTTGTCAAGGCCTGTGTTATAGTATCAGATGATAAATGAAAGCCCTTTCTGTCCTTTACAAAATTCTACATAATGTGTATGGGGGCACTTGACAAGAGACAGTCAAGTGGAACAAACCTATAGCTCTGTCCTTACGGGGTTAAGCTTTAATTTTATAAATGTATAGAGTGCCATTTTTATCTATGAATTTGCTAGCAATTTAACATAATTTATAGATTGCTTTTTATAGTCTCTAAAGTGACACCATAATACAATTTTTTTTACTTAAATCATTAACATTTGATTAATGGGAAAAATATGATCTTTTTCTTGGGACTGGAGTTTGATCCCTGCCCCTGCTGTTGAGTATGAATCTTTATTACAGTTAGGGCACAGTCACACCCACCACTCATTTGGCTTTTCTTATCTTAATATATTTACCTGATCGCTAATATAGTTACATAGTAATCTTGGTTGGAAAAAAACTCTCCAGTTCATCAAGTTCAACCTTTTTGTGCTGTTGATCCAAAAGAAGGCAAAATAAACAGTTTGAAGTGATGACAAATTATGCCACTAAATGAGGGGCGAGGGGTCTTTCTTGACTCCATGATGGCAATCCGATATCTCCTGGATCACCAACCTGTTTACATATATGTTAATTATAGCCTTGAATATTCGGTTTCCCAAACATATATCAAAACATAAAGTACATTTGTTTAAAATGTTGCTTGTGTGGTAGAAACAAAAGTATAGTAAATAAATAATAATGTAGCTTATGCAAGGTAAAGACATGTATATTTGCAAATACAGACCTTTTAGAATGAACTCCAACTCCCTGCAAATACGGCTTGGGGAACTGTCTCCTTTAGTTAAGGTTTTTATTTTTTAACCCTTTCATTATCCGTAAGGTGTATAGACATTGTTGGCTTATTTTTGCATATTCAGATTTTCTAACATGGGAAAAATAAATGCTGGCATATCGAAGGCTTAACTTGATGGACGCAAGTCTCTTTTCAGCTATGTAACTATGTTATATGCATGACATTACATACATATTTCAACTTCTCTTTTTGCTTTTCAGGCTTGTTATATTAGAGGCCTAAATTCGACTCACCTTAGTACAGAAGACTGCAGGACGTGGTTAAATTGTTGGCTCCAACTCTCTAGCAGACTAAAAGGTAAGGATTGTCATTGCACTGAATGTTATAAATATGATTTCTGAAAACGGATTAAAGAACTTACTAATATTATCTGTCTGCCTAGATGTATCATCAACATATTTATTATGAAACCATGCAATAAAAACATGCAGTCACTCCTGGGCAACAGGTGCTATTCTTGTCTGCCACAATAAATTATGCCCATCTTGCATTATTCAAATGATTGGCGTCCATGCCAGCTGCCCTTTGAAATAGAGGTTGATGGTTTCAGCCAGACAAATGAAGAGTTTGTGTGTTGACTTTTCACCTACATACAGTTATTCAGTTTGCATTTTGGAATAATTGCAAATCTCAGTTATCAAATAGTGCCAATAGTTTAATTACAGATACCCATAAATCTGGTACTTGTCCTCTTTATTGATATTTGTTTGTCACATGAATCTATATTTTATAAGAAATGTTCGTATTCTAGGCTATTTTTTTTGTAAGCTCTATGACATATTTAAGGATAATGTAATATTTTAGACCTTACAACATTTCTACAAAGGATGGATGAATGTACTGTACTAGGGTGACTCTAAAATCCATAAACCTTTTATTGGGCAGACTAGATGAGCCGAATTGTTCTTATCTGCCGTCACATTCCATGTTTCTAATAATAAAGTAGATTTATGATCCATTCTATATCAAGTATTATTATATACCACAAGTTAGACAGAACAGCCACAATATTTGTTAAAATGTGATCTGGCCCACATCCGATGTAAGAGAAGCTTAGTTCTCCTACTTAATATTAAGCCATCAGGAGCAGCAGCTCTAGATTACAGCAGGAAGGCTAGATCTCACATTTATTTTAAAAGATTTCTCCACGACTAATTTAAAGGAACACTATAGTATTAGGAATACAAAGCTGTATTTCTAGCACTTTAGTGTCCCCCCCATTGCAATTATAGGGTTCAAACCCTTTAAACACTACCTTATTCCAGCACCAAAGTCTTTTGGCACATCCTAATATGCACATCCTAATGTGCAGGGATTAGGCCTTCCCCATAGCAAAGCATTGAATCATTGCTTTCCCTGTGGGGGGGGGGGGTTTGAAGATGCTGGACGTGCTCATGCAAAGAATCAAACTCTGTGAAACAGCAGGAAGTGTCACTAGTGTCTGTCTAGACAGCAACTAGGGCCGTCTTAACCCTGCAATGCAAACATTGCAGTTTCTCTAAAACTATAATGTTTTACTTCGCAGGGCTAAGGGACAGGGACATTGCACCCAGACCAATAAAATTGAGATGAAGTGGTGTGGGTGCCTATAGTGTTCCTTTAAAGCGTCACCAATTTTTTTTTGTTTACAAGGATCTATTTGCAAATTGCCTCCTTGCAGATGGAAATTTCTGTTGTTACAAAAGCATCTGGCTTTTAAATAGTTAATCCCTGTGTACTAAGAGAGTGCAACATTCAGTTAGTCAACTTCCATTCAGGAACCTAGAAAGCTTAGAGGAGACCAGTTCAGAGTCACAAGGTAGTGATTAAAGGGACACTATAGGCATTCGGACTACTCCAGCTCATTGAAGTGGTCTGGGTGCAATGTACCAGTCCCACTTAACACTTAGTCATTGCTTTCCCATGAGGAGGGCCGTATGCGCTCACGGCACTTGATGCCATGCACATTTGACCTTCCCACAGGAGGGACATCAGTGCTTGTATCGAGTGAGTAAATTAAGTGTTTTAACCATTTATCTGCCGGAGGGCACCAGAGTGTTTAGGAATACAGATTTTTATTCCCAACACTATAAAATCACTCTAAATTACGTATTTTTCCATACTGGGTGGTACATCTCATACTTGGTTATCAGGCTATTACAGCTGTTTTTCTTTGAAAGTATGGATCTGATTTCCTATGTGAGTACCATCTGCTATTGTGTTGCTTATTCTCTGGCCCATGAGCTCCCTCTTGTGTTAATTTGTTGCAATGATGTACAAGTTTTAACTTTGTATTTTCCTGACAACCAGGGTTATTTACTAAAGTGAGAATTCAAAGTAATTAACAAACATCACAATAAAAATAATGTTTCTACAGAGCAGGAGTGACTGGCCCGTTGACCCATTTCTTTTGCAGACCCTCCCATGTGTTAAAAGTTACTTTTAAGTATTTTCTCTAGTGAAATAGGTCAGTGTGGTAGCTGTGCTGACTGCAGAGGGTCAACTCAGCCTTTCATCCTTCCAAGGTACATAAAATATTGGGTGATGATAATGTAATAATATTTCATTGCTAATTTGGTTACATTTTAGAGTGCTCCGTTTCTGCTTTAGTGTGTGAATTTCTGTTTTATAAATGAGAATATTAACAGCTGTTTTTTGTATTTTGCAGTCTCTGAGGCATCCTTATTGTTACACAGTATGGTACTGTTGTCTACTAACTACCACAATTCTGTAAAACAATAATTGTAGAGGAACCCTTGGACAACCAATGAAATTCCAGTTTACTGGTCGCTATTCCATTAGAGCGTAACCTTTTGGAAGTGGGACGCTGGATTCTCAAGTCACCACGTTTAGGGTTTTCTATAATGTGGCCTGAATCTTCTTCTGATAAGCTACAGTGAAGCTTTTGGAAACCTAATGTTTGTCAGGGAATATCCACTTAAATGGTAATAAAGGGACCACATGATGTAGATGAAGCTACTGCACTGGACAATCACTAACAGCTTTAATGTCCTAGCTAAACTAACTCTCCTTTGCTGAAAATAAATAAATACATGTACAGCCCTTATATGTAATGGGCCAATGCACTGGGCAAGTAATCAAACTATGAAGACTGATCAACACTTCCCCACTTAAACTTGTGCAAAGTCCCCGATTTCAAGAATTCAATCCCTTTTAAAGTGGTCTGAACCATGACATATTGCTACCACTTGATGAAAACCTTCCACAGACTGGACACTGGACGTGTGCAACCACGAGACACTTTCTAAACCTTTTTCCATTGGTAACCACTGTTTGTCTTTTATAGACTTAATGAATGCAGTTTTTTTGCTGTTGCCATGATTAGGTTTATCTTTGTTTTACATATTTGCATATTTTTGTTTTATATTATGTGTAGCTGGTGCTGCATGACTGTATATTCCATGCTTTATGTCATGAAGTGATGTTTTCAGATTGTAAGATTAACATTATGGACACGGCTCATTGTCTAAAACTTCTATGAAGAAGGTTTTTTAATGAAAAGTCCTTTTGTAAATGAGAAGTATGTGCGCACAGGCTGCAATATACCATATTAAAAAATATGAAGAAAAAAAGTCCTGGTCTTTGTCAAATCTTAACAAATACTCCACGTGGTTAAACACTGGCAGGTCACCCATGTGGTGGCAATGTACTAAGGACAATTGTACCAATGTACCATTTCTGCTTTGAAGAGAAGGTAAGTTTAAAAGGTATAGCAAAGTCCATGGATTTACTAAACAGTGTGTTGCGGGCAATTGAAAACTATAGTGCAATTTTTAAGTTAAAGGGTTACTCCAACCCTTTCTAATGTTTTTTAATTTACAATGAGCTATGGGTCATTTGTTATGAGAGGAAAGGAGTGATGCAGTGTGATTTTGGACAGGACATGGAAATACCCAAGGAGAGCTTTGCCCACTGCTGGATTCAAGGTAAGGAAGAGCGTTTATGACAGGAGTGATGTGGGGTGGCGCTGGACGGAGCATGGAACGCTCCAGGATAGCCTTGTCTGCCGCTGGACCCAAGTGCAATAGGGCACTATAAGATATAAGGATTTTTTTGACTTAATCTTGGTCCTGAAAGAGGTTAATTCACACCTTATTTAACGTTTCCTTAGTTAAACTTGTAGGCGTAGCCACGAGAGAAAGAGAGAAAGTCCCCCCAAATCAGAGAATTCACCTGTTTGAATCCACTAGGTTTAATCTGCCAGAAAAATCTCGGGTTTTGACCCGAATGTATTGTGCCATCGATTCTAATGCCCATTAAAATTTTGGAAATGTTATTTTCCAAAAAAGGTGCGCGTTAGATTTGAGTAAATATGGAAAATCCTAATAGTGGAAGTAAATTGAGATGTAAATATAATTACACGTTCATGGGTTTGCTGCACCTTCGTAAAATGCTTTGAAGTGCTTGAATTTTTTTAAATGTTTAATATATATTTTCAATATTTAATCTTTCCATTTAATAAAGTACACTTATTGTCAACACATGAGATGATGCCAAGGTTTATTAAACACGGGTAACACATCTGTACATTCAATAACTGTCAGGAAATTATTAAAACTTACATTGCACCAAAGTGAAAATGAACCCATAAGCTACATTACCCTGCAACTACATTGTTGATGATCCACGGTCAGTTTTGTCCCATGCTCAAAGTCATTGTCAATATTTTATTTAACCCTCTGTATTAGCCCCCTATCTAATCTTCAAATCAAGTTGCTTCATGGAGGTTCTGTGAACCATTTGTAGAAAAGTGTGTGTAGGTGACTGCACCTGCAATGTCACTTTATATAGTAGCACTCAAGCGAGCTACTGCAGGAGAGGGAGCTGGGGCTGTAGCAGTGCTTTGCCAAGGAAGTGGGCATTTGACAGGTAGAAGGCCACCTTGTGATTCAGACATCCTGGTAGGTTTGCTTCTACTGTGCTAGCATGCCAGGACCGCTTTCAGGGGGCGGGGCTTCAGAACGGCACACTCAACATCGGACGTGATGATGCGTTTTGTCTAAGTTGGCTTTTTCAAATCACTGTCAGAATCCCACTATCCATCCGAATTTATATCCACCCATAGGGGCGTGAATACGAAAAAGTCTCCGTTCATTGGGTCTGTTAAAAAAAAGTCCATAGGAAAACATCCTTATGCAAATTAAAGTCTTTAAGCAAAGTATATAGGGGAAGATTAGCAAAATGTTTTCTTTATTGTACACGCAAGGGCTTTGAACGACATAGCGTATCCGCACACTTTAAAAAATGCCACAACAAAGATCCCAGTGGATTTACTTTTCTAGTGATTAAATTAGTGAAAAGAATCCAGGCATGGGGTCAATCATATTTTAGACATAGGCAGAGAGGAAATGAGATGGGTCCACAAACTAGGCACAGGCTCTTTAGAACCAAAGAGACTCAATATAGAGTTTGACCTGTATAATTTTTTATAAAGCACTTCCTCATATTAATTCTTTTATATTTTTTGTATAAAATAAATTTTTTATATGTAACATCTTTTAGATATTTGTGCATAGATATATATCTTAATACATATTTTTTCTAAGTATATGTATATTATTTTTGAGATACATTATATTGATATACTTTCTGACATTTCTATATGTAAGGTTTCTGTTCCTAATATTGTGTGTTTCCTTCCTCTAGTATGTTATATTTTAATTTTCTTATTTGTTAGTATATCTGTCAATGTACCCTTACATGATGACTTTATATGGTGCTAAAATATTTAGTTATTTTGTTATCTTTTTTAGCTAATGGTGCACAATAAAGAAAACAACATTTGGCCAATCTTACATAGTTACATAGCTGAAAAGAGACTTGCGTCCATCAAGTTCAGCCTTCCTCACATTTGTTTTTTGCTATTGATCCAAAAGAAGGCAAAGAAAAAACAGTTTAACGCACGTCCAATTTTGCAACAAACTAGGAAAAACAAAAAAAAATCCTTCTTGACCCCAGAATGGCAGTCAGATTAATCCTTGGATCAAGCTGTTATTACCCTACATTGAAAGATTATATCCTTGAATATTCTGCTTTTGCAAGTATGCATCTAGTTGCTGTTTGAACATCTGTATAAAACCACTTCTTCAGGCAGAGAATTCCACAACCTTATTGTTCGTACAGTAAAAAAACCCTTTTCTTTGCCTTAGAATAAATCTTCTTTCTTCCAGTCTAAATGCGTGACCTCGTGTCCTATGTAAAGTCCGTTTTGTGAATAGATTTCCACACAATGGTCTGTATTGGCCCTGAATATATTTGTATAATGTTATCATATCCCCTCTCAGGCGACGTTTTTCTAAACTAAATAGGTTTAAATTTGTTAACCTTTCTTCATAGCTGATATGTTCCATTCCTTTTATTAATGTTGTAGCCCGCCTCTGCACTTTTTCTAGTGCCATAATATCCTCCTTTAGAACAGGTGCCCAAAATTGCACAGCATATTCAATATGTGGTCTTACCAGTGATTTATAAAGAGGCAAAATGATATCATCCCGAGAATGAATCCCCTTTTTCATGAATGACAATACCTTACTGGCCGTGGCCACTGCTGATTGACATTGCACATTGTTGCACAGTTTGTTGTGTATAACAATTCCCAAGTCCTTTTCGTGTGGTTTTCACTAATTCGCTTCCATTAAGGGTATACTTTGCTTTTGCATTCTTTATGCTGAAGTGGATAAATTTGCATTTTTCAACATTAAATTTCATCTGCCATTTGAGTGCCGTGTCTGTCTAAATCCCTCTGCAGCAAAGTAATATCTTGCTCACATTGTATTACTTTACAGAGTTTTGTGTCATCTGCAAACACAAACATGACTTCCCCTATCTACTTTGTGTAACGGATCGACGGACACCCCGACTGCATACCTCCATTGGAGGATGCTCCTAGCGCTTCCTGAGGGTTTCCAGCAGACACCATAACCACCATAGACTCCTCCAGAGAGCAAGGCAGGAACAAGCTCTTACAAGAGCTTAGTAGTGATTTAGCAAGGGAGTATGACAAGCACAGCAATCCCTTGTAGCAGACTCCCCCAATAAGAGACAGGACTCAGATTGAGGGTGAAGTAGAACTGAAGCTTTTAATCAAACACTCTGCTTTTATGCACATTTTACACGCATAGCATTGCCCACAGGATTTTGCAGAACAACCAATCAATACGTACAATACCCACAGACACTCCCACACAAAATCCTCCCCTCTGCCTGTGATACAATTACTGAACACAATGGGTTAATGTAATTATCACAGGCAGAGAAATACAGTTTTTACACATGTACTGTAACTTTAAAAATATGCATTCAATCTTCATAAAAATTACATATTATTCAGCACACTTTAATTATAAGCATAGTCAAAATTCAGCAAATTCCTCCCAGGGGTTAAAAAGTTAGCTGGAGGTCCTTTATGACCGACCGCAAGCACATTTTCATACCCAAAACAGTTCCATAGATTTGGGCTGTGCAGTCGGTCTATTTCACACTGAAAAAAATGACTAAGTTCCATTCGAACTTGCGTTCGAATCGCCGAACGCGACTTAGTCTCTGCGGCTGAAAACTCAGTGTAGGAGAAGGTAAGGGTCAGCGGTGTTCGTGGAACTGTGTAGCCGATTTCAGTTCCATGAATTTGGCTCCACACACCACATTTGAATGAAAAAAGATGGCGCCGCCATGTGTGCGTTTGCACGAACTGCGGCCACCCAGCGGTCGGCAATTTACCTACAGCAGGCTCACAGCCTGGGAGGTAAATTGCCTGCACGCTTCCAGTTCTGGGTGGTCCGCCTGTGTGGTACTTTGTTTAGTAAGCCCCATTTACTGAACCAAGTGGGAAAAGGGCACAAACAAAGTGTATTAGGGGGACAGAGGACAGAGTCTTAAAGGGGCATTGTTCCCAAAAGTCACAGTATGTCCCCAGATGGTTCTTAAAGGACCAGCAGCATAATAAAATACAATATGCCCAAATACTGTATTTAAAGGGCCAAATCTCTCAGGGGCCATAGTCAGCAGGCAGGAGGCGAGCAAACAGGCTTCTACAATGCACAGTGGCGAGGTTGGTTTCACCACATTTTGCTTAAAGACTTTAATTTGTATAAGGATGTTTTCCTATGGACTATATGGTTTTTTTAATAGACCCAATAAACTGACACTTTTTTTTTGTATTCACGTCCCTATGGGTGGATATAAATTCAGATGGACAGCAGGATTCCGACAGTGATTTGAAAAAGCCGATTGAGGTGAAACATGTCATCATGTCGATTAAGTCACGACATGGAGTGTGCCGTTCCGAAGCCCTGCCCCCTGAAAGCGGTCCTGTGTATCCGCACTGTGTGGATTCGCCTGGGCCAGCGGCATACCGCAACTGCTGTGTCTGGGTCATAAGGAGTGAAGCTGAAGGCTGGAGGTGGTATGGCACCAGGCCCGGACTGGCCATCGGCATATGCCTGGTGGGCCGCGATGGCCATGGGCCGAGGCTGACAGGGGAGATCACAGGATCTTCCCTGTCGGCACATGCAGAGCCGGCGCTATCTGAGCGCTGGCCCTGCTGTGTGCAACTGCCTTCATGTGCCGGTGGGGAGGTAGAAGAGGATCCGGGGAGCACCACTCGCGAGGTTGGAGCGTTGCCGCAGTTACCACGGCAACGCTCAGATCTCGCTAGAGTTCACTCACCACTAAGACCACCCAGGATGGCAGCACAGCTCCTCCGCCCAGGCTAAAGGTAAGAAGGGGGGTGATGTTTATTTTATATATGTTATTTTATATATAATGTTTTTATAAATTCACACACTAACAGCACTCTCACACACACATATATATATAAATAAAAATAAATAAGCCCTCAGGGAGTTAACAGACAAAGAAAATTAGAAACATAGAAGGTGACGGTAGATTAGAACACCCTCACACACATGCTACACCCTTCACACAGCACACCGCGCCCCTCACACATACAATACGTCCAAACATATATCTACTACAGCACCCCTCACACTGCACCATTACACTCCAGATACACACTAGATCCCTTTTTCTATATACACTCTGAATCACACACACATTTTTTTCTCTCTCTGGGTCCTTTACACACTAGATCCCCTACACACACACACACACACAACATTCTCTAAACACACTCTACAACCCCTACACACACACACACACACACACACACATTATGCCCCCTATACACACACTCTCTACAGCCCCTAGCCACACATATTACACCACAAATACGAATGAAATCGACCTATTTACACAATACCCCACTACAATCAGCTCACTCTACACACACTCAATCCCACAAGCAGGCTCCAAACACATGCACCATACGTAGTGATGTCCCGAACGGTTCACCGCGGATGGCGGACATATGACCCTGTACCTCACAGTCAGCAGACACATTCCAGCCAATCAGCAGCAGACGCTCCCTCCCAGACCCTCCCACCTCCTGGACAGCATCCATTTTACATTCATTGTGAAGCTGCATTCTTAGTGAGCTGTCCAGGAGGTGGGAGGGTCGGGGAGGGAGGGTCTGCTGCTGATTGGCTGGAATGTGTCTGCTGACTGTGAGGTACAGGGTCATATGTTCGCTGTCTGCGGCGAACCGTTCGGGACATCACTAACCATACGCTTTCCTGGCTCTTTTGCCCTCTGTTTTCCCACTTATTGAGACACCAGAGACAAGTTAAAAGCAAACACAGCGCAAGCATGTTATTAAATTTGCTTGCACTGCACAGAATAAATACAGGGCCTTTGTCTCATGCTAGAGCTCTTCCGCGGGGCTCTGCGCATTGAACCAACATGCTCACTTTGAGAGAGGGCATGCTTGTCATTAGTGATGACAAAACACAACCTCTCTGCCCCTGCCCCCTTCTCAGGGGGCTGCTGTGATTGAAAAAAAATGCCAGGGCCTCATTTTTGTTTCCCAGTCCGGCCCTGAATGGCACTTTTATATGTATACGGGAAAAAGTGTTATCTTTACCTGCTGGAGCCATCCGTCTTTATCCCATTGGGTCAATCACACAGAAAGTGATTACAGTTGGAGCCGTTTACAGTTCTGCTCCCTACTTGTGAGTGGGATTTCATACTTAGAAATTATATTTCCTGTCAGAAAATTCACTCCTTCAAGCTATCAGAGAGCCACGCGGCAGGAAGGAGTCAGAGTAGGAACTCTGACTCCCATCAGGCTGAGCCCCCACTATTTTTTGTATATATGTGTGTCTATGTATGTATGTATGTGTATATGTCTCTGTATGTGTATGTCTGTCGGGGTGTGTATCTGTATGTATATCGGAGGGGTGAGGGGGAAGTGATCAGTTTAGCACCAGGGCCCCATGGATTGTGTGTACGCCACTGTTGGTTATTAAAAGGGATACTATAGTGTCCCATGAGATTTACCACTTATGGGAGTGGAGATACACTTACAAGATAAAGGCAATGTACAGGTTTATCAATAAAAGGGGTGTTTTTATTTTTTTAAATGGAGTACACAATATGTCTATTTATATATAGCGGAGTTTTGGCTGAATTTAGTGATGCAACCCTGGAGGGGGTTATATGCCTTGTTCTTCCTATTTTTTGTTAGTGCACATAGTATTACATATTCACACATATCATATAATGTTACCTTCAGTCTGAAGGATTTAGGTTTTCTTGAAGATTTGGTAGGAATCTTAATTGGTGACTACAAGACAATATTTAATAAAGTGTGATGAATTACTCTCCTTACTATTTTGTGGTGTTCATTTCACTAGAGGTGGGGTGTAATTTAATTTTTTCCTTTTTTCAGTTTTATCACTAAAGATTGAATTGCAATGAACTGGAGAAAATGCAAAGCTAAAAATAAATATATAGGCAAGCTGTGTCTGTTTCAGAATTTTCCCCCCAGAATTGAAGTTCGGTTTTCAGTTCACTGCAAGCCGATGTTTATTGAATAAACGGTGTTGTGATTTCATGTAAGGCCTCGGCTCTCAGTGTGGGTCATACATACAGCCTAAATTAGCAAGTATCTATTATCTGCCCGATCAATTACCACTAATAGCCCTCAACTCACAGCACAAAGAAACCTTCTAAATGACAGAGCGTGCGGTCACATGCAGGTTCCAGACCCATAGACGGACACTCCAGACCCATAAAGCACTTTAGCTTGCTGAAAAGCTTTAAGATGGAATTTAAAAGGCAGGTTTGTTTACAATGGATTATCCAACAATTGTACCTTAAACATAATGTGATATGGCCTTTTGATTTCATAGATCATGTGTAACACAAGCTGTTATACCACCAATCCGGTGCCTCACATTTTGGAGTAATTACTATATATAGTTCTACCCTTAGTCATAAAATTGATAATGTAGAAGAAGTTGAATTGCTAAATAAACAGAGCAGCCACATACTGCAATGATCTCCTGCACCTAAGCCAGAGGCATGTCTGTCCAAATATTCACACGCAGTGTGTGCACGTTTAACACACACACGTTGGTCAGCCCATAAATGTTGAAAAGAGAATGGGGGGGGCATAAGATAGCAGCTGCTATGGGATGGAAGACATTGTACTCTGTACACTACAGTTTGCAATGATGCAGGATTGGAAAAAAGAACACAAAAACTCTTTAAGAGAAAAATGATCACTACATTAATTTTATATAATATTGAACAAACCAGAGTTTTAAATATATAATGCCCAGTCTGAGCATTATCAATATGTTTCTTATCTCAAATACATGTTGTAGAATACAGTCAGATCAATAACCATTGATCAGACATACAATTACTGTATTTTGTTATACTGCCTTTTAAAGTAGAGAAGAATTGTTTCATTACTTCTAAATAGAAATCATTTACCTGGGGGGGGAGGGGGGGAATAATCAAAGAGAAAAGTTTCATAAAGTGTCAGCATAGTTTCATTTATTTTTACATTTAAATATTCTCTTAAATACAGAATTATCACAATTCAGAAATCCTACAAAGGCAAAAGAAAATGGCAGGGACATCAGATTAAAAAAAAATATATATATAAAGAAAAAAAACATGGCAAGCTATAGAATTTACATTGAATTTATGTACATTTTCAGTAATGTGTGCAATGACAGGACAGCTGGGTAATTAGTTTAAGCTTACATCACTAGCAACAGGCAGATACGAGGTGAGATTTAAGAGTTCTTTCATATAGGATGTGTCAATTGGATGCCTGTATCACAGGGAGTGATACCTACAGGTCTCCCCCTTAATATCCTTCACCATCAACAAATTTCTGGATAATGAGGATTTGTGCTATAACCACACAATCCCGATCTTACCCCATCTTCAACAAGGAGAGCTCACAGTGAATGGTACAGAAATGGATGGAGTGATAGACATTCAAGAATCCATCTTAACAAAATTGTGTTCGTTAAACAAAAGGGTGAGTGTTTGAAATGACAAGGACCAGATTTGTACAAACTACTGACCATAGTCCAAGGGCTTTTCAGAGCACCAATTGCTTGGCTTGGCATCATTCTAGTGTGGTCATTTTCGGAAAAAAGGACGCCCCCAGTAAATCGCATATACCAGTAAATAAATATTTCTTGCTTAGTCTTTCATGAAGAAATGTAGAATAAAATCTATACAGCATGAGATCACACAAACCCTGAATTTGTTTATTTTTCTAGCTGTGCAAGTCAGGTAACAGGGTTGAAAGGTTAAATAATGCAAATCACTTAAAAGCCTGGACACATTTGCCTTAATATGGAAACATTGTAGGAAATGCTTGTTTCAAGTATAAATCAGACACACAAAGCATTACATTTTCACAATCGCAAAACCTGGTGCACACAAACAAACGGGGAACAATTGGAGTTTTTATTATTGTTCATTAACCTCTCCAACATAGAACGAGTGACCATTCTCTTTACAATGTTAGATGCCCGACAGAAAACCAGAGAAAGTATGCTTATTAGACATTTCATTTGAAAACTATAAATGGCAACATGTTTAGACAACACAATAATGATGGAAGAAAAAGAAAAGGGTTTCACTTTGTTAATTTAAAGGAACACTATAGTCACCTAAATTACTTTAGCTAAATAAAGCAGTTTTAGTGTATAGATCATTCCCCTGCAATTTCACTGCTCAATTCACTGTCAGTTAGGAGTTAAATCACTTTGTTTCTGTTTATGCAGCCCTAGCCCCACCTCCCCTGGCTATGATTGACAGAGACTGCATGAAAAAAAAAAAAAAAACTGGTTACACTTTCAAACAGATGTAATTTACCTTAAATAATTGTATCTCAATCTCTAAATTGAACTTTAATCACATACAGGAGGCTCTTGCAGGGTCTAGCAAGCTATTAACATAGCAGGGGATAAGAAAATCGTAATTAAACAGAACTTGCAATAAAGAAAGCCTAAATAGGACTCTCTTCACAGGAAGTGTTTATGGAAGGCTGTGCAAGTCACATGCAGGGAGGTGTGACTAGGGTTCATAAACAAAGGGATTTAACTCCAAAAATGGCAAAGGATTGAGAAGTGAGGCTGCAGGGGCATGTTCTATATACCAAAACTGCTTCATTAAGCTAAAGTTGTTTAGGTGACTATAGTGTCCCTTTAAAAAAAACTTGGCTGGCAATAGGGCTGAGGTAGAACAAAGGTTTGGTACATTGGATTGTCTTCCAAACGTATTGCCCACATTAAATCCTAGCTACAGCTTCACTGAAGGTGCCAAAGCAGGGTTGTTACACAGAAATGCATGGATCTCTCAGTGAAAAGTTCAAGTCAATAGGATATCACGACATTACCAGTCTACCATGTTTTTACTTGGTCTACGAACACATTAAGAGTTATGTTTAGCAGGAATGCAAAATCTAGAGTGATCAGGGGTTTTCTACGAATTGTAGCATTTTGCACTAAATTGACTTGTACCTTTATAAATCTGACCGACAGTAAATAAGATGAAGAGATACCTGCATTGGCCTTGGTTCCATTTAGAGGCACCCCCCCTCCAGGTTTATGTTTTATGATATATTTCAGACATTGGCTAAATAATGTTAGGACCAGTCATTCTTTATAGCGTGCAGCGCAAGAGGAGGCCTTTATGACATCACTAACTTAATTTGCTTGTAAAACATTAAATAAATCATGGCTGTGAGTATTTATCAGCAATTTGCTATTTTGTATGGTTCTTTAAAAAAAAAAAAAAAATCCCCAAACTATTCTTTTCTGCTAAAGAACAGCTAGCAGCGGCGTTATTTCGGAGGATTTACCCATTATATACAATGTGTGGTTGCAATATTTCAAAAAGGATAGTGCCCAGGAGGCTTCATTTTAATAGGTTATTTTATCTCACTTCTATTTAGACATATAAATCATTTTCATTTGTACAAAGCACAAATCTTTTGAAGCTCAGCAGTGTAACTTAAACATCAGGAAATACACAGTATAAATGTAGAAATTTATAGAAATTACATTTCCATGATGAAAAGAGTTATATGTCCAGAAACTCTAAAATATCCAAATAGAAAGGTAAATATACACCCCACGATAACAATGGATCAACCTTTTTATCTTGTGTTAGTAACTTCTGTAAACTAAGAAGCCCCACAAACAGAATAAACCCTAGTACGCCAGTTCACTTATCACATGTTTGATGTTTAAAACCATGGACTTCTGAAATCCTAGCAGCCACTTGCAAAATGCATCAGAATTTGAGGTGCAAAATCACCTTTTCTAATACACTTATACACTTTCAATTCTGATCTGTCTGGGTCCTAAAATCAGATCGGACATGTGGATGTGCACAGATTACTAACAATGGCTGTATTTTGATTGACACTGTAATACATGTGCACATTTAGCTCGTGACGGCACTGGGATAACCTAATGTCAAACATTTGCATTCCCACCTACAAAATTTATAGGTTTACATAGAAAGCTTGAATAAATATCAGAAAAAAAAAACCATCTGCTGTACAGGGAGTTTTGGGATACATTCGGTGCTCCCACAAGGAACAATGAGCGGAACAGGACTGGCTGAGAAAGCTCAGTCACTTACGAAGGAAAAAAAACTGCCACAGAGATTTACTCTAAACAAGGGGCATTTCACAGGCATGTTTTTGTTTTATTCACCGTTTCACATTTTCATGTGTGTGGACTCAAATCAAAATTCCTTCTCCTGCAACGTGGGATAGCTACAGCGCTTGGTGTATAGAAGAACATTTACTGTAAAAGAAGGAATACTTAAAAAAAATATATATATATACAAAATAAGCCAAAACACACAAAATATACCCACAATAATAAATACACTCGGAAAATATGCAAATGGTTGGTTTTGCATGTTTTCTTTTGGCGTATATTAATATTTTCCTGCAATAGCTGCAGATCTAGTATCTGCAGCTACAGCAAGCCCACACAGCACAGATGTTTTGTGGCTGTCCAATCACAGATTTACCTGTGAGCTGTAATACAGCTCATTAAGAAGTCTTTGCAAGGCAGGTGCTCTGTGCAATTGCGGCCTCTTGCCTTTAGCTCCATAGGACTACAGGACCAGCAATCCAACAGACAGTCAAAGTCAAGGAAGTATAATATGGTTTACTTCTAAAAGTTCAGAATTGTATTGAACTCAAGCTGAAGAGTTGTGTGTTTAGAGTATCCTTTAAGTCGCTATACCAAAGTAAAACATACAAACCATGTATGCCACAACAGTAGATATCTGCATCTGTGTGCCTTCACCCATGCCTAGCACACAACTGCATTAGACAAAGGAGGATGCCATGTTCACCACTGTTGTAGGTCCATGGAGATACGTATACAGCACAAAAGAAGGATCCCAGATCCAATAGTCATTCAAGGATGTCTGCATTTAATATATATATGTTGGGAATTTTACCAGCACGCTGCATGGTCTACATTGCATAATCTGAAGCTTAAAAAGTACATTTGTGGAGGAGAGGTCCACTTTGAGGTACCATTTCCACCAGTTTGTGGCCCACAAGAGCCATTAACACTTGTATGCCTTAAAACACAAGGTTTTGAATCCTAAGCAGATAGGAGCTAGAATTCTATATTACATCCTCACTAATGTAACATTTTAAATTGGTGCACTGATAACATTCAGAATGTTCCCTGTGCCTGGACGGCAGCTACAAATTTCAATACCTACTTTATTTTATAAACTTTGCTATAGAAACCAGATTACATCAGTACCCAGTCTAGTTTTTAATAAATCCTTTCCTATTTGTGCATGAGGCAAAGGCTCCAGAAAATGTTTACTGTTTCTATTATAAGGCACAATCACTTGCTCAAAAGCCTCCAAACAAAGTCATTAAACCTTTAAAAGCAGGTAACCCTCTGTGTCCAATTTTATGCCTATTTAAGGCAGGAACCCCCATCCTTCGTACAGCTATATTCACATGGGCTTTGCCAGCCTAAATGCAAAGCAATGGCACAAACAGGCCATCTTTGATTTAAATGGGATTGTTACACCTCTGGATATTACATTGGCGATTGGTTTCTGGGTGGGTAAACTAGGTGCTGTATTTGCGCTCTGTGAACAATGGAAAGAACTAAAAAACAAAACATAAATTACAAGTGAACTCATTTTAAAGTAGGTTTTATTAATGGACTGCTTGATTTCTCCCTGCTATTCCAGCTGCTGTCATGTTGATAGCACTAACTGGAATACCTTACCAGTGACGATTTGCTGCAAGGCTGAACTAGTGCAAAACATGTATCTTAATGACACTGGTTATGTGTCCAATTCACCCTATCTGGCATCTCACTAAATTTTTAACTATTGCTTTTTATTAAAGGGATACTATAGTCACCAGAACTACAGCTTAATGTATTTATTCTGTAGTGTATAACATGTTCCTGCAGGCTTTTTAAAGTAAGCACTACCGTTTCACATTGGCACAGCGTGGCATTGTGCATTCCTTACACTATAATGTTCCTTCAATCATTTCAGCTACAATCAAGGAAAACAACATTGGTTTAAAAAAAAAAAAAAAAAAATGCAATTAGAGTGGCCTACACTCTGCAAGGTTTTAAAGGATCTCTTCACACACATAGCGCTTTATGTGTCTGGAGTCTGTTATATTTGTGACTGTTCAGAAAAGTGCTGATTTCAATAGAAAAGGTTATATTTTCCCCCTACTTCCGTTCTTTTCATGCAGCCTACAGAAGTGGCAGTCACATTAAAGGAACTCTATAGGATCAGAAACACAAACGTATTCCTGACCCTATAGTGTTAAAAACACCATCTACTCCCACCCCCTCTTCCCCTGCCCCCCTAAAAATAGTGAAATTTTACCTTTATTCCAGTCTGCAGCTGGATGGCTCTGCCCCTGATCATTTTGTTGAAGTGTTGATTTGAGCCAATCACAATGCTATTATATAGGAAAGCAATGGATGGGCTGAGTGTCAAGGAGGCAGATCAGGGGCAGAGCCAGCACAAACCAAACACAGCCCTGGCCAATCAGCATTTCCTCATATAAATGCATTGAATCAATGCATCTCTGTGAGGAAAGTTCAGTGTCTCCATGAAGAGGGTGGAGACACTGGATGGCAGTGCTGCCCCAGGAAGCATCTCTGAGGAGTGGCCAATGGAGGTATCACTAGGTTGTAATGTAAACACTACATTTTCTCCAAAAAGAGTGTTTACAGCAAAGAGCCTGAAGGGACTAATTATACTCACCAGAACAAATTCAATATGTTGTAGTTGTTCTGGTGACTATAGTGTACCTTCCCCCTTCTCAATAAGCTGCACTACAGATCATTGAAAACCATAGCAAAACTGTGGTTGTGTTCAGAATCATGGCTCTATTACAAATGGTTCTGAACAAGAAGCTTCAGACTGATATAGTCCCTGGCACAAATGGAAAGCATGTGCTGGGTAAAGGGAGTTTTTTTTCCTTATAACATATCACACCCCCAAGAAAACATTGAGGAAAAAAAAAAAAAAAATTTAAAAAGTGCATGCATGTTTTCTTTAAGTGGTAAATCTACAAAATTGTAAAAAAAAAAAAATACAAAAATATTCTGAAGTAAATAAGGACTATTTATATTGCACACACAAAAAAAATAAAAAAAATAAAATAAAAAAAGGACACTGGAAGATGACCTTATACTTCATACTGTTTGGGCATTTCTTTTCCTTCTATGTTGAACCAACACAATAATAAATGGGAATTTAACCTCTGCCCACACCTGCTTTAAGACGCTGCATAGAAATGTCTATTAGAACTCCTGTAAACACGGTTCTGTTCTCTGCATTATCTCAGCGGTTAACGTTTGCAATGCACATCATTACAAATAAAGCTTCCAAGAATTACCACTTATAAATTCAACAGTTTGGGATTTCAGGAACTGCCAACAAAGCAATTCATTTAGATTTAATTCCTCCCACCGGTTGATGTTGGTGGAGACTGAACCAGCGCTGAGAAACATTGGAACTGGAATCCGGTAAGTGATAAAGAGGTTTTTACACCTTCAGCATCACGGAGGGGGCGGGCACAGAGGGAGGGGTGCACTATGGTGATCGGAAAACAGCACTAGCACTATAGTTTCCCTTTACATTTTTTTCCACATGCAATATAGATGGCTTATGTTGGGTTTAGAACAAGGAAGATCCCCAGATGTTATAGAACTACAAAGTCCATCATGCATTGCCAGCCTTTACATTGGCAAAGCATCACGGAGGTTGCAATTCTATAAGATTTTGGGATCTACAATTTTTCCACTACCGCTTAAGAAAGTACTTTTACTTCTTAGTGCTGTGATATACGTATGAAGTAACAAACACCAGTTTACACTGACCTATTACCAATACTCTATATAAATGATAAACAGACACTACAAATACAAAAAAACTCTAAATGAATTGCATTGAGGACTATGCAGGATTATAGCACGTCTTATTGAGCTAGTTCTACTTGATATGCACTGGACCAGTTTACCAGCATAATTAAATTCTGCTTAAAACAATAATAAAAAAAATAAAATGGATAGATGTTAAGCTGTAGATTGCACAGGATTAAAAGTGAAAATGCATGATCTGAAATTAAGGACAATTATCATGAATAATTATTTTGTTACAATAAATTAACACTAGTAAGCTAGCCAGTGCACGTTTATTTTCTTTCTACTCTGCTATCGGAACAAGATTTCTCCCCTTACAGCCTTCTCCCTTGCCCCAACTGGCTGGAACAGCTATGTGCAGCAAACTGGTCCCCCAAACCAACTGAAGAAATGTAATAAATCAGACAAGTTCGTTATTCACAATCTCATTGGTGCATATCATCACTAATGCAACATTTTATTAAATAAACCAAGACCTGCCAATTGTTTGTTCCAAATGCTTAGCCAATGAATGCCACTCAAATATGTATGGAATTAATGTTGCTAATGAGAAAGTAGCATCTGCAAAAGCATTATTCCTTGGGAGGGGTTGGGTCTTTGTTACCATCTGTGTCAAACCACTCAAAAATGTTTCGCTACCATGGGATGCCACGAGAGACATGCTGGAACCATGACAACTATACCAGGCTCTGTGGGTATGTGTGTGTGTGTATATTATATATATATATATATATATATATATATATATATATACACATATACACACACACATATATATACACATACATATATACATACACACATACATACACACATATATACATACACACACAAAAAAACTAAGAATCTTGCACGCCATAAATTAAAGTTCCTTGCCCGGTGCTTGTCAGCAAAATACAAAAACCAGAACATGATAGTACTCTCGGGACTTGTTCAAATGTTAAAACTAAATATTTATTGATTACCTAAAAAGTCAACGTTTCAGCTCAATTCCCTCAAGCTTGAGGGAATTGAGCTGAAACGTTGACTTTTTAGGTAAACAATAAATATTTAGTTTTAACTTTTGAACAAGTCCCGAGAGTACTATCTTGTTCCGATTGATATAGAGATAGATAGATGTGTGTATGTATATACATACATACATACATACACACACACACACACTTTTAAGCCAATCTAAAAGGAACCTGGAATTAGTTTGTAACGGTCTCTCGCCAAGCTTCAATAACACGGACACAAGAATTTACTGATGGGATGGCTTCCACAGGTAACAAAGGTAGGATGTTCTAGGCAAAAAATATTATCATAGGTATGGGGGAAATTGATTATGCAAGTAATTTTAACTTAAAATGTTATATATGTCTTTAAATCCTTATAAAGCCAATTATAAGGCATTCATTCACAAACACTTGCAGGAGCTCTAGCTTGAAAATGATTGTCGGCTATTCTCTTCAACTCCTTATAAATGTTGTTCTAGAATATTGAAATATTTCCAGAAAATTAGCATCTGTAGGTCTGCTACTGTACAGACCAAAACACAGAACTTCAGATAAATGTGAATGCTTAATGCAGTGTGTACAGCTTATACACACTTTTTGTAATTTTTGGTATATAGGTCTTACATACAGAACTTTCTGAGTCATTCTACGGACGGGGATGAAATTGATTTTTTTCCACATCTAGGATGGTGGAAACAAAATCATGATTTGCTTCACTGTTTTAAGATTTCTGAGCAGAATATCCCAGTCATTCTGCTCGAGTGCTCATTTATGTGCAAACAGATGTACACCAAATGCAATTCTTATCACGGATGGATTCAGGACTGAATCATTAAATTTAAATTTGAGGGTAAAAAGGTTCCACATGGCATTTAATTATGAAACACCACACAGTATCCAAAAACAGATGTAAATTGATACATGCATCCAAACAATTTCAAAATTCTCTGTTCCTTTAAGGTGTGTACACATTCACATACCTAGTTTGAATAAAGAAAATATTTTAGCCTTCATTGTCCGCAAATAAATATTTTTTTTATGCATGGGGTGTCAACTTAACGCAATGAAGGAAAACTCAATGTGAAAAGTAAAAATTAAATATCCACCTCAACGAAGTGGTGTTTGAGCTCTGAAATGAATAAGCACTGAATTGTCACCATTAGCATAATGGATAAAAGAGCACATCTAACTACACCAGACCCAACTGTTCCTCTATATTGTACAGGTTGTGAGATTAGCAGCTTTAGTGGAGGGAGTCAGTTCTTTATATTAGTCCTGTGTGTCAGCCTTGTCCTAAAGTTAAAGTGCTGTGCACTGGTTAAAGGCAGCTCAACACTCCATAAAGATAAAATTCTATTTCCATCCATTTTATTAGCACCATAGTACCCAGCCCTGCCTGTTTAGTCTTCACCAACAAACCAGATATACTCACAGCACTCATACAGAAAAGATCCATGTGAAGAACTTAGAATGTGACGGGTCCACGATATAGTAATTCACACTATGAACTCATGCACAGGGGGGAAAAAAAGTGCCAAATAGCAATACCCTTCTTATGCCATGTAAAACAGCAGATTCTTTGGGTGGTAGATCAATGTCTGCAGTGCCATTGTTCTCGCATAGTCAAGGACAAACAAAAACAGGATCAGCATTGCAAGGTTACTAAACATCCATGATTGTGAAAGTTTCGAGGGACTGGAGGAGAAATATTGCAACAAAACCCAGCAATAAAATAAGCCATACGCCCTCCCTCACTGGGTCTCCACTAGAGGATGGTACGATCACAGATGAAGCATACAGACTAGGACATGTTGAGGATTTAAGTCCCACACCCATCCTAAAGGTTCTGCCAAATAGATAACCGAAAATGACTGGGGATGGGGTTAAAATTATACACTTCTCATACAGCTAGGGTTTTGATGAGGTCTAAAAAAATAAAAAAAAATAAAAACTGACATTTGTTAATAGCAAACTAATAAATAGAGAACCATCAGATGTATGCTTGGGTCAAGTAAGACTATGGAGACTTTTAGAAGTAAATAAGTAAAGAGGGGGAGTTAGAATGGCTTGTGCAAAATAGTTGCCAAAAATTGTCACACGCTCAGGGCACTATTCGCAGAAGAAAACTGCTGCTCTGACCAAGGGGTTTGGCTTTCACAATTTTCCTTCAGTGTGCCCTCCTCACCCACAGTTGCTAGTTTCCTATTTGAATGTACCACGGGCGCAGAGCTACCTTCTGCCAAGTTAGACAATGACCCAGGAAGCTCTGGCACCAGGTCAACTGCATCAGAGCAAGTGGCTATCGTGCATTCATCAACTTTTACCATGATACTTTGCTCTGCAGTGACAGAGTTGACAGATTCTGTCACTTCTGGACCAGGCTCCAAGCCTGTGTGGTTGTGGTCATGATCATACAGGGACACCACACTGCCATTAGTGTATTCCGGTGGTGAAGCTGGCCTCCCTGAGTCCTCATCAGTGAAGCAAAGAACTGAGGTACCAGCAGAAAGTAGGATTGGAGTAATAGAGGAATGGCAGGTGGACGGTGGTAGTGTAATGGGTGTCTCCAGTAGACAAACCTCTAGACTCTCCACACTGGAGTCCAGACTAAGGCTAGAGCCACTCGAGGCTTCATCTGCCTCATCAAGCATCCTCTGGCGTTCCTCTGCACTCTGTAGATGACGAACAGCAGCCTCATTTTCAAGATGATAGTTCTCAGCAATGAATTCCTGAAAATCTTGTGTCTCTTGGGGAGTTGTTGCTACCGGAGAGCCATGAGGAAGCTCCTCTTCAAGATGTTGTGGTCGAGGATGCTGCCTCTTATTCTCTAGCTCTAGCTTCATGATGGTGTGAAGATAATGAGTTCGTACCCGAATTGGGTTAAATTCAATGCGGCCTGCAATGTTACTGCAGCCATCTCGAGAACAGCCACAAGGAAAGGACATTCGATCCACCTGAGAAAGATATTTGGGGCAAAGGGGAAAAAAAAAAAGGAAGAGTATCAAGTGAGCAGTGTGAATGGGGAAAACAAATTAAAAAAAACAAAAAAAACACACCAGTTAACAGGAAAACACTGTACTAACCCTGTAAAATTGCTTATTGACGTTTAACAGAACATGGTCAGACTACACTACTTTATGCAAATGAAAAGGATGTTGCATGGTTTAGAATAACATTCGTACGTGGTTGTATGGGATGCCAGAGCAAAGATTGAGAGAAAATAAACAATGACAAGAGGTTCTGGAGACACATAACAATAGATGCAGACATAATGCTATCTCAAATGCCTCCAAGTGGCACTGGAAGGTACAAACTTTATCCAAATGTAGTATGACTTCCCGTGTAATATATTTTCAAGTTCCTACTTAAATGAACAACCACTTGTCTATGCTACCTGGGGCATACCTGCACAACTTGGCAGTAGGTAAGTGCCAAAATTAAAATAGGCTAAACTTCTTCTGGTTGCAGGTTTTTTTGCGCCTTACTTTATATGAGAAATGTAGTCCACCAACACGTGCATTGTCAAGTTCCATCCTATTTATTACAGAGGGAGGAAGCTGTGCTGTGGAATATGGAGCAAGGATACCCATTAATCCTTTAACCACTGACATGTTGTGAGCACTGGGCATCTATTAATAGAATCCCTGGGGACATCTGCTTTATTTTCTATAATTTTCAGTGCTGAAAGGGATTTTTTTTAAATCCTTTAAGTTCTACAGTTTTTTTTGCCAGAGTATGCCGTAATGGTGATGACTAGCACAGGCCAAATTTGCACATGTAAACTCAATTTTCAGTTTACAATCCAGTGGGACAAAGATTACTAGTAAGCATATAGTTAAAGGGACACTAAAGTTACCAGCTTAATGTAGTGGATCTGGTGAGTATGGTCCGTCCATGCAGGCTTTTTAATGTATGTACCAACTTTTCAACATTATTGCCTAGGGACATCTCTAATGGCATTCACTTAGACGTTCAGCGTTGCACTGACGTTCAGACACTGAACATTTCCCATAATGATGCATTGATTTCCTTTGGGAATGCATTGGATTGGCCGAGATTGTCAATTTTGATGATCTCAGTCTACGAGGCGTAGCCAATCGTGACATACCCGTGTAGAACTGGAATAAAGTCAAGTTTCCACCCATTCTAAAGGGAAGTGGTGTCCAAAGATGCAGCACGGTTTACATGTTTTCACAGAATGTGTTTTCTAAATGAGGATGGTGAGAACTCCAGGGGAGTCAAAATTTCAAAATGGGATGGAAAACAAGGAAATAAAGACAAAAGGAAACAAAATGCAGTAGGGATATTGCTACATGGGTTATGGGTATATTTGGGAAGAGTTCTAGAATGTCACCGTTCACTTAAAGAAAAAGCTAGATTTTTTTCCCCCAACTAATAATTCAGTGCAGGTGGGGATGAATACAAAACAAAATACAAAAGTTAAAAAAGTTAAAATAGTTCTTGATATACCTGACACTTGATCCCTGCCTGACTGCAAGGGCAAGCCTCTGGATCACAGTAGAGGCGGCAGTCACACCCGCACTCCTCCCTTGAGAGGCGGATCGCTCGCAGCTCCTGCTTTTCTTCAGCATCTATACGATGCACCCCAGCAGCTCTAAGAAGGGCTCTGCGTCTCTTGGTAGGTAGTGGCTGGAGAAAGAAGTAGTCATCCACTTCCACATTGTCCACATCTATATCCTCATCAGACACGTCCTCCAAGGTTAGACCTTCAGCCTCCTCAGACTCTACAGTTCCATTCTTGGTCAGCTGGTGATAGAGGGGTGTAGAGGGCAGAAACAAAATTAAATTTAACTACGTTTAAGTCTATTACACATTTCTGTTTCAGCACAGATGTCATGCCATTGATGAATTTCAGTGAGGGACAAAATTAGTTTGGCAATATATTCATTGCCCGAACCAGTGCCGAGGCACATTGGCGCTGGACTCATGTAAGTGACATGTCATGATTCTCTTTTATTCCAGAAATTTGGTCCTTAAGGGGTTAAATCCCCATGTTAGGTGCCCCCTTCAATGAGAAAAACCTCTGCAGGCGCTGGCTCCGCCTCCATACGCCTCCTTGGCTGAGATCGTCAGAACTGACTATCTCAGCTAAGTCAATGCTTTACTATGGGAAAGCATTCGATTGGCTAAGATCGTCATTTCTAATGAACTCATCCATGGAGACAAGGCGGAGCCAACTGATGCCCTGGCCAATCAGCTTCTTCCAATAGAGATGTATTGAATCAATGCATCTCTATAAGGGACGCTCAGCATCTCTATGCAGAGCTTAGAGACGCTGAACGTCAGTGCTGCACAACGTGACTGGAGGTGTCCCTAGGCAGTAATGTAAACACTGCCTTTTCTCTGAAAAGGCATTGTTCACATGAAAATGCCTCCAGGGACTGATTATACTCACCAAAACAACAAGATTAACTTGTAGTTGTTCTGGTGACCATAGTGTCCCTTTAAGGAAAAGATGAAGCAGCATTTATTCTGCACATTATGTAAAGGGCCACCATCAGGATTCTGACAAAGGAGAGGAACCTGAAATGCTAGTCTAGCATAGAAACTGCTTTAGAAGTGGTCATGGTGGAGCACATACAAAATATCTGCAGTTTTGTGCCAGAGGTTAGTTGCTACACCAGCACATGCGAGTGTGAGTTATGTATAAAAATGATGTTTCCCAGTCAGTATGCACTGTGCACGAGCGACAGTTGTCATTAGCTTTTACCCTTGCACGCAGCGCTGGAAGTGAGACTGCAAGGAAAAACTTCAGATTCCCCTCCCTCAGTTTAAAATATATAATAGAGGAGCATTTTATTGGACCTTGGATGACAAAACATGAAGTCAGATGGGCTGTGGATACGATTGAGGATGACCTTGTCTTAAGTTTGATAAGGTAAGTTTAAAATTACATAATATTTAAGTTAAATAATAAGTGGGTTTCTAGTGAATAGTAAAATCAAGAAAAGGGGTATAGTAATTTGTTAAGATTCGATGGGCTATTAACCCCTAAGGACTGAATTCTAGTCAACTATTTTTAACACATTTTACGAAGTTTGTGTTACCCATTCCCCCACCCCCCCTTTTCTTTTTTGGTTAAAAGGTACACTATAGTCACCTGAACAACTACCACTTAATGAAGTTGTTCTGGTGTGTATAGTCAGTAGAAGCAGGCATTTTGCCACTAGAGGTGCTTCCTGAGTCTGTGCTGCAGTGTGCAGCTCTTACGTTTGGCATCTCCACGCTCTGCATGGACCAGTATTTTAAGTTTCCCCATAGAGATGCATGGATTCATTGATGAGGAGATGCTGATTGGCCAGAGCAGTGTTTTGCTACGCATGCGCAATAGCCTCCCAATGCTTTCCTATGGGAAAGCATTAGATTGGCTGAGATGGTCAATTCTGATTATCTCCGCCAAGGAGGCGGGTTGTGGCAGAGACAGCGTCAGCACACCTGTGCGGCGCTGGCATAAAGCTACATCTTCTATTTTTTTTAAAGGGGGGCCATGGGAGCTGGGTGGCTAAACAATCTTTTTAACACTATTGGGATAGGAATACAGGTTGTGTTTCTGACCCTATAGTGTTCGTTTAAGCGCAAGTCCCCTAGTTGTTTTGTATTTTGGACAGTAGCCCACATATTATAGGAACATTATAGCATTAGGAATAGAGGTTTGTATTTCTAACACAATAGTGTACCAGTCCGCAGAAATAAAATGTGTCCCCATTGGGGCTTCCGCATCACGTGGCAGATTTTTACTCTGTCAGTGCAGTGGAGGCGCCTCTGGTGGCTACTATACTCAACTGAAATGCTTTACATATTGCAGGGTTATAAGGACAGGGGTACTGCACCCAGACAATTCAAGGTGAAATTGTCTGGGTGCATCACATTGCTGCATCTTTGATTAAATGGTATAGGAACGCAGCACATGGCTCCTAAAAATCAGAGATTATCAACCATCTCGGATTAAACTAATAATCTAAACAGCAAACTATGCCAGATTTATAGAAAACTAAACAAATAAGTGAATTCTAGGAATGGAACGATAAGGAGAATAAAATAATGACACCCATTTGCATGTGTTATCTTTGATTGTGATGATACCTTCATCTTGCGTGTATGAAGTTTCTCCTCCTTTAAGTGTTCACGAAGGATTTCACGGTGGGTCACCTCTTGTTCCTGGGCAAATTCACAAAGTGTATACTTGCGCACAGAGTTGTGGTGTTGCGCCATTCCAAGAGAGCTGCCGCCTTGACTGGGCACACTGGTGAAGCCCTGCCGGCGGGAGAAGTAGTATACGGTAACTTGGTCAAAACGCACATTCTTCTGCCTCAGCTGTTTTTGACGTTTTAGGATGGATGTCGCTGGAAAGGGAAAAAAAAATAAGATTTATGTATAAAGAAAACTTTAATGGTAATCTTTCCTATGGAAATGTACATACTTTCCTGGGTGCATTGGGTATCTTCAGCATGTGACTACCTGCTTATTAAAACAGCTGAATATTATGGAAATATCAGCTCCAACAATTGTGACCACTCTAGGGCATTGCTCAGTAAATACAGGATTACATAGTGGATAGGAGACATGCATCCAAGTTCAGCCTCTCACTTTTTTTTTTTTTTTTTGCTGTTCAACTCAAAGAAGACAAAAAACCCAGTCTGAAGCACTTCCAAATTTACAACAAACTAGGAAAAAAACTTTGACCACAAAATGCCAGTCAGATCTCTCCTTGGATCAACAGGCTATTACCCCACACATTAAAAATATGTTTTTACAAGTATTTACCCAATTGCGATTTAAACATCTGTATGGGCTGATACAACCAACTCTTCAGGCAGGGCATTCCACATATGTATTCTTACTGTAAAAAGCATTTCCTCTGCCTGGCACTAAATCTCATTTCTTCCTCGTGTCCGATGTATAGCCCTGTTTATGGATAGATTTCCAGACAATGGTTTGTATTGGCTACGAATATATTTGTATAATGCTCAAATAACTATTGTATATTATGTATTTTTCAGGGAAGTGGAGCTAGTTAAAGAGACACAGTAGGAACTGTAGCGGCTTCTTCTTACTAAAATGGTTATACGGTCTTGGTCCTCTGGTGCCATCCTTTCATTCAGTATTAAACAGTATCTAATGGTTCAACGCTAAACCAGAGTCATTAGCCTAAGGCCGCTTTGGGTGGCAGCAATAGGCTGAAAGCAGTCACCTGACACTCTTGGCCAATCACAGTGCCTATTACTGGTATGAATTGGTATGATTAGAAAGAAGTGGATAATATCAGTCTTAGCCATACCTAAAGTGGGGGTCATGCAGTGGGTGGGTGGCCAGGGACATTGTGTGTTAAACTGCTTGAAATTTTTTAATATTGAATGGATAGACAGAGTAACCAATTCAATGAGATGAAATACTTATAGTGCCTATAGTGTCATTTTACATTGTACCTAGTTATGGAATCTTATCTGAAAAGAGTGTTTCAGAATAGTCAGATTTTTTGTGTAAAGCCAGTTTTGCTTTACACAAAACTGGCTTTACCCCCTATTCCTAATTTGACAGGACAGGCAGCAATATGATGAATACATTGTTTTATATAAATCCAGACAAACAAGGGTGGAGTATATGAGTAGTTTGGGGAGGCTCATAACTCCGCAAATAGATACTCTGGATTCAGGTGGGGCCGCCTGCAATAGATAATTGCTATGTCTGCATGCAGCAGGATTTACAACCTCTCCTTTTAATCACAGAAGAAGAGGTAACAATCATATTTAGCGATATGGAACAGGCAAATTCAGTGATCCACACCTGGATGTAGATCAAACAGGGGTTTTGAGTCGAGGATCCCAAAATAGTCCGTGATGTAACTCCAAATTGACATTTTACATCTGCAACATAATGAACCCGTTTCAGGTTCAAGACTAATGTCTATACTCAATGTAAGGTCAGTGATTAAAGCGAACAGAACGTATGTAACTAAAAGCCAAACTCAAAGCAAAACTGCAGTAGTAGGTAAATTATAATCTATGCATTGTACTAGGCAAATTTCTAGACAAAAAAAAAAAAAACTAAAAAAAAGGTATACATGAAATATTACTTTACAGGGAAAATGACAGATTTTATATATGTGCCAACAATATTTAGGGAAACACCACTCTGCAATTTGAGAAATTTTATTAGTTTTCATGGTGAGTGCTCTGAATTTAACGCTTTGCTCCAGAACAGCTAATGTTCTTGCCTATAAATCTCCCTCTTATACTACATGCATTTTTTTTTAATGGTCTACTATGCTGTGTTGCAGAGTAGAATTTCTTTTTCCAGAAGATTAGAGGCAGTGCTTTACAACTGGGATTTCATCACCTGGAGGGAAAAAACAGGCAGGCAATCTCCCAAACTTTTCAAAAACCTCCCCAATTAAACGTTGGCCTTATAAATTGCTTCCTACCAAAGACATTATTATAATTTTTTATATAGCGCCAACAAATTCCGTAGCGCTGTACAATGGGTGGACTAACAGACACATAATTGAGATCAGACCACTGACGTACAGGAACAGAGGGGGTTGAGAGCCCTGCTCGATGAGCTTACATGCTAGAGGGAGTGGGGTATAGTGACACAAAGGGTTAAAGCAGGGGAATGAAATAGTTTGTTACAGAAGGGTTTATTGAGTGCTTGGTAGGTCATTTTTGACAGTTGCAGGAACGGAATCATGGGACTGGGGATGAGAAACCTGCTGACAGTTTAATTGATACGCTTTAATGAAGAAGTGAGTTTTCAAAGATTTTTTGAAGGAGTGGAGGCTGAGCAAGCCCCAGAATTTTGAATTGGGCCCTATATCTAACTGGAAGCCAATGCAGGGACTGACAGAGCGTGGAGGCGTGGGAGGTGAGACCGGACAGGAAAATAAGCCTCGCAGCTGCATTCATTATAGATTGCAGCGGTGCAAGCTGGGAACATGCAAGACCGGTGAGAAAGGGATTGCAATAGTCAAGGCAAGAGAGAACAACAGCATGAACCAGTACCTTAGCCGCGTCCGGCGTTCGATATGGGCGGATGCACGCTATGTTCTTGAGTTGGAAGCGACAGGATTTGGCTATCGATTGGACATGGGGAGTAAAAGAGATCAGAATCAAAAAGAACCCCTAGGCAGCGAGCCTGGGAGGTAGAGGTGATAGTAGCGCCGTAGACTTGGATGGAGACAGACACAGGGGTAGCAGCACTTGAGGGAGGAAAAACTAGAAGTTCTGTTTTGGACAGGTTGATGTTAAGGAAGTGAGCAGCCATCCAGTTGGAAATAGCAGAGAGGCAGGCAAACACGAGTCAAGGTAGGCAGAGAGAGATCAGGGGAGGACAGGTAGATTTGCGTGTCATCTGCATATAAATGGTATTGGAGCTGATGAGTTTACAAAGGGAGGCAGTATAGATAGAGAACAGTAGGGGGCCGAGGACAGAACCTTGGGGTACGCCGACAGAGAGGGGTTGGGGAGAAGAGGCAGAGCCAGAGAAAGAAACACTGAAAGAGCGCTGGGAGAGGTAGGAGGAGCACCAGGAGAGATCAGTGTCCCGTAGACCAAAGTTACGGAGAATGTGAAGGAGTTGTTGATGATCAACAGTGTCAAAGGCGGCAGAAAGATCAAGGAGGATTGGGATAGAGTATTGGCCGCGAGATTTAGCAGCAATTAAATCGTTGGATACTTTGGTCACAGCAGTTTCGACATCCCCAGAAATTACAAAAGCCGAATAACCATACCACTCAGACTATTAAAAAGTTTGGGGGAGTGAGCACTGCCTCTAATCTTCTGGAAAAATAAATTTACGGCAAGTAAAATAATTTAGTTTTTCCCTTCAGATTAGAGGCAGTGCTTTACAACTGGGATATCCAAAAGCAATCCCTTGGTGCGGGACTCAATTCTCACTGCAAAAAACCTGCGACCAAAGTTGTATCTTCCAATATCAACAGACCAAATTGAGTGAAGAGATCACCTCGTGGCTGTTAGGAAATCGAGAGAATGTATAGCAGAAGCCCTCAGGCACCCGATCTGAACATAACTGTGATCGAAGGAGCTTCAATGGAGATAGGTGTTAGATAAGAAAAAACCCAAACGAATGCAGACCTTTAAGGTACTGTAGACGAGAACTAAACACCCAGGCAGTGGAATTAGAATTCCAAGACCTTAGAACGCTGTTGGTAAAAGTTAGAAAAATAAAGATAGATGGAAGATTGTGAAGAATTAAAGAATACAACTTAACTCCACTTTCTCCTGCTGAAAATGGAAACTTGAACTTTAAGTTCTTCCCTAAAATATTTTGGACGACTACCCCCAAAGACCTAGAGTGAAGACTCAAATCAGCAGAGTTAAAAACCCCAAAAGAAGATCCCCTGCGGAAAAGATTCCCTGAAGATAGGAACTAACCTTGAAAGAGCCTAGCAGATACTGGTGATTTGGAGACAAACCTCTGAAAATCAACTGATAACCAAAATTTGACCTTGAGGATCTCAAAAAGTTAAACCATCTGCAAAGCTTTTCTTTGAACCAATATCTTAAAAAACAACACCTTCCATACTTGGAATAAATCTTGGAACAAGATCCATTTATAGTAAAAGAAATTGTCAATAATTTCCTGAGACAAAACATTATCCTTCAGTATCTGGTATACATAAACCAGGTCATCAGCTTGAATTACTACAAAGTTGAGAAGAGGTACCCTTGAGAATTCCAGGATGCCTATTTACAGGTAACGTACCCAAAGATTCCTCCGGATAATTTTAGATGAATGGTGAAACAGCTACTTGCCACCAAGGGAGGAAGACTATCATTCTCACCTTTTCCATCCTATAGGATCTTGGGAAATAGGGAACCAGGAGGAAACTATAGGTTAGACTGGAATTCCCAAGAAAGAAAAGGAAACCAAAGTTTACTGTTCTGTCCAAGTTTGTCCAATGAAACCCTTCATGCTGTTTGATCTAGAAGTCCCAGTTCCATAACTGGATAATCAAATTCTTCCTATCGTTTGGGTGAAGATCAGGGAGTACAAACCAAACTGCTTTGTATTAAATGTTGACTACTCAATGCTACAGCTAAACAGAGGAATATTAAGTTCTATGCATAAGTGAATAGACCTAAGAAAAACTAACCCAAGCATATCCTGGAACAAGATTTTTCAAACAAGAAGACGACCTTGTTTGTCCATAATCCATAGATATCAGTGTTGTACTCTCAGGTATGTGCGAATGTTTCCCAGTATAGAAAAGTGCTGAATTCGATACAAATTGGCACTTTTATAATTTAAACACAGTCAAATCTCCCTGACTGTTAGACAGCTGGGACTGTAAGTCTAGCTTCATGGAGTGAAACTCAAAAGGCAGGAATTTGTCTAGAGTGCCTCCCTGTGAAATACTGCTCAATAAGCTTTAATACAGTAGATTAAGAATTCTGACTCGACAGCCAATCACAGTGAGAAGCACCTCTTGCGGCTGTCAATCTGCTATGTTTACAGCAGAAAGGGTTAATCCTAGAAGGACCTGGCACCCAGACCACTTCATTAAGCTGAAGTGGTCTGGGTGCCTATTGTGGTCCTTTAAAGGGACACTATAGTCACCAGAACAACTACAGCTTAATGTAGTTGTTCTGGTGAGTATAGTAGCTCCCTTCAGGCATTTTCATGTAAACACTGCCTTTTCATGGGGACGCTGAATTTTCCTCACAGACATGCATTGATTCAATGCATCTCTATGAGGAGGTGCTGATTTGCCAAAACTGTGTTTGGCCCTGCCCCCTTGCAGATTTTAGCCAATCCAATCACCATGGGCAATTTTGATGATGTCACCAAGGGGGCAGGGCCAGCGCCAGCAGACCCGTGGGGAGCTGAAAGTAAGGGGAGTTTTAACCCATTCTGAGGGGGCTAAGGGGAGGAGGCAAGCCACCTAAATGGTGGGTTTTCACTATAGGGTCAGGAATACAGGTTTGTGTTAATGACCCTATAGTGATCCTTAAACCTTTATATATAATAAAAAAAAAAATTTTTTTTAAATATTTACATACGAATGTTACCATTAGGGGAATATACTAAATTGTTTGTGTTTTTCCTTGAACTGCTTGCTCTGTCCAACCTCCACATTCTAAAACACGTCCTTGTTGGTGAAAATACATGAATATGTGATGTAATGTGATTAATATGTGACTGCTACCTGTTTAAGAAGCATATCAAAAAGCTTTCAGGATTTAAAGTTCAGCTAACAGCCTGCAAAATCAGACTAACAACTACAATAACAGCTCCTGCTTGTACCAAAACAGGCTGCATAGATCTTTCTTTGAGCAACATGTAGGGTACGAATAGGTATAAATACTTCATTTGGCAGTTTTCAAGGCAAAACTGCCTAGAACTGCGCACACACAAATAAATGGCAGTATAATTTTTATTAATTTGGTTTGGTTGTTTTGCATACTTTTTATAAAAAAAATAAAAATAAAAAAAACTTAATAGAATGCATACAAATTGGGTCAGTTCTAGGATGGAGTGCACCTTTAAGTGTTTCTGCATAATAAACTCAATTCTAATACCTATATAATTATGCTTTAGCGGAGACTTCCCGTTCTCATAAATTTTAAATAGTGGAGTCCTACTTACGTATGAATCCAGTGGAAGTGGGAGCGTTGATGCTGTCACAACTCTCAGCACTGTCACTATTTGAGATCTCATCATCGGAGTCTTTCGGTGTAGAGATGGGTGAACTCACATCTACCTCTTCAAATTTTCTTTTAAAACTCCTGCTTGTGATTGCATCCATTTGTTTAACAATGACCTACAACAGGGAAACAAAAAATAAAAATATATTTTGTGACTTTGTGCAACAGGTCAGATTTTAGGCTTTTAAATCTGTGCCTTTCTGGGAAAATGGAATTAATGAAGGGGAACCAACACATCTCTGGAATTTACACTGTTGAATAAAACATCCATAATGAGTTACTTTAAACATGTATATTAAAAGGGACCGTATAGTCACCAAAACAACTTTATCTTATTGAAGCAGTTTTGGTGTATAGATCATGCCCCTGCAGTCTCACTGCTCAATTCTCTACCATTAAGGAGTTAAATCACTTTGTTTATGCAGCCCTAGGCACACCTCCCTGCATGTGACTTCATGTATCATAAACACTTCATGTAGAGAGAGATCCAATGTTTACACTTCCTTTATTGTAAATTTTGTTTCATTTAGAATTTCTCATCTCCTGCTATGTTAATAGCGTATAAAAGGAGCCTCCTGTGTATGATTAAAGTTCAATTTACAGAGAATATATGTGTCACACAATATGTAGATTTTAACCTAGAAATGTATTTTATGAGCGTATTAATCCTTAATCTGTATTATGTATACATTTTGGTCACTAAGGCAGCACCTTAGGGTTGCCACCTGACCGGTATTTGGGGCTGTGTGACCAGTGCTGGTATTGCAGGAATACCAGCAATGCAGGGGCCAGTCTACTGGAACTAAGAGGCCCTCCCAGCGCTGCATGTATCTCTCTCCACGCTCCATGGCAGAGCAGAGTGGGGAGAAATACTCAGGCAGAGTAGGAGAGATACATAGTTGCAGATCTAGGAGATCCTCTCAGATCAATATTTAGCTCTGCCCCCTTCATCTCCTCACTCTCACTCAGTGAGGAGTGCTGCACTGGTTATCAGGCAGAGCAGCACTCCTCACTCACACTCAGTGAGGAGTGCTGCACTGGTTATCAGGCAGAGCAGCTTTTTACAGCTCTGCAGTGTTCACCCCTGCTCCCCCTCCATAGAACACAGAGATAAAACTTGTAAGTAGCCAGGTCTCTGCAGGGTTTATAGAGGGAGAGCAGTCCTTCCAGTAATGAAGATGGGAGCACTTTGGGACATAAAAATAAATGTTTGTTGTATATTTATACTTATTTCTTAATTGTATGCCTGAGTCTGAGTGTGTATGACTGTATGTCTATATAGGACTGTATCTGTATGTCTGTGACTATGTATGACACGGTCTGTGTCTGTATATCACTGTATGTAACTTTCCTCTTCCAAATTAGCACAGCCAGTATTTTCTTTCCAAAAAAGGTGGGAAAAGGCTGAGGGAGCCTTTTGTTTTTATTATGCATACACAAAAAATATTTCCAGTAATTTTCGCACTTTTATAAAAAAAAGTTCCTTGCAAAGCAGCCCCATGAGCTTACAATCTAAAAAAATGTGAAGGGGAAATAATTTGTGTGGCACATGGGGTATTAAAAAGGGCAGCCGATAATTGGATAATTGCAACACATGACCATTTTGTTTCTTATTGGCCTCACAAGTATTTTTACATTTGCAGCAATGCGTAAAAACGTTAAGTTGAAAGAGATTCAAAGGATAAAGATAGCCAATGTATACATTGCTTTATCTTTTCCATTTGTGATTTCTAAGATGCAAAGTCATCTGCGTTCACTTCTGATGTATGCATACTAAACGGCCCACCTACCAATGCCGAGTTGATCTTTCTTTCATGCGGCATTAGCAATACAAATCAGAGGTGAGGGGATTTCACCCTCTTATTACCTAGCAGCACTTAGCAGCCCAAATACACACTCCACAGATGCGAGTTTAGGAATAATCAGAGTAACAACTACAGTGGGACCTCGGTTTACAAACGCCTCGGTTAACATAATTTTCGGTTTACAAATGAAAATCCATAGAAAATAATGCCTCGTTTACAATTTGTTTTCACAATAGAAAGTAAGTTTCTCCAGGATGCATTGGCACGTGGCGTCGAGTGTGGAAGTGTTGGATCGGCTTATGCATCGAGTTTTGGAGCCATTCTGGAATTTTTTTGCAGTGGTTTTGGGTCTTTTTGGAACTCTTTTGGTGCATTTCTCAAGCAGTGGAAAGGTAGGGAGCTGAGCTTCGTTGTTTGCATGCCTTTTACAGTGTGTTCTGCATTGTGGGTTGGTTTCCATGCCAGCTCATTTTGACTTTTTCTGACCTGCAGAACGGAATAATTGGTCTGCAATGCATTCCTATGGGAAACCGCGTTTCGGTTTACAAATTTTTCGCAATAAGAAGAGTCCCGGAGAACGTATTAAATTTGTAAACCGAGGTACCACTATACTGAAGAGTGAAACGGCCACCTCCTATCTTACAGACCTTAGAAGTAAGAGAAGGGCGTTGTTTAAAATTTCATTTTTTTTGCTCATCAAGACATTGTTCCTGATATTCTATTTATATGGCTGTAAGTTTATATACACGTGTCTGAAAGTGTAAACCTTTCGCTGTATGTGTGTATACCGGTTACTAGAGGCATGTGTGTATATATGTTACTGTGTTATCTGTAACTATATCAGAGCATGTATCTATGTGTGTATTATCTGTGAGCATGTAAATATATCTGTAAATGTGTCAATGTTTTTGTGTAATGTGGACATAATATATATTTGTAATAATGTGTGTATTAATATTTATATACATATCTATGTGTAAGTGTATCCCTTTGAGTTTATGCAAGTAGGGTTTTTGGGCTTCTTCTCTGTCCTTTTGGTTCTGTAAATAAGTGTCTGTCTTTGGTGTTCTATATTAAGTTAGACATCAGTGCCAGCAACGAGATAAAAGAGAAAGGAGAGAGATGTATATAGATCCAGAGGTAGAGAGAGAGAGAGAGAGAGATCTCAATCTTACCATCTATATATCTGTTGTAATGTCCAAAAGGTGAGCAACACAAAAACAGAATGCATATTTAACAATAACAAAATTGCCTACACACATCTCACACACCTACCCCCACAAGTTCAAATGTACACCCAACTAATATAGACAGAGCTCATTCCATAACTCCAATCACACACACACAAAGCCCCACACACAGCTGCAAGTACACACACACATGCACAGACTTCTATCCACTATATTTAATCCCCACCAAAAATAAACACTCCGAGGTGTGAAAAAGTCTCTAAAGGGAGAGGGGGGCATGATAAGGGCAATAAATACATTTTTGTCTGAAATAGCAAAAGTGCTTTTGCCGGCCCTGTGGGGGCTCTAAGATCACTTTGTTCTGGCTGAGGGAACCTTGATGTCTGCATGGCCCCATCTCTTCAGGCTGAACACCGTAATATGAGAAGGATGAATGGGCAAAGATCTGGAGCAATCCCCTTTCAGTTGCTGCACTCCATGCACAATTCATGAATGCGCTGTCTGCAGAGGGAAATGCTGTGATGCAGAGAGCCACTGGGTCCATTGAGCGAGCACACAGGAAGGAAGGCTTCTTAGTAGAGCATCCCTAAACTGCCTTCCCTCTGCATAGAAATTTTTTTTATACTGGAAGTAGTTTTTTTTTTGGGGAGGGGAGATTTAGAGATGTGGCCATTGTTTGCCATTATGTGGGAAAGTGGTCTCTGCTTTCCATTAAGATGTCCAGGTTCCACAGGAAAAGAAGTGGAAAGATCAAAATTACAACTGGGGAAGCATTTTCCCCTTTATGACGGTAAGACTATCACTGTTGAGTCTGCCTAAATTGCATTGCAAAAATATTGTAAGAAGTTTATTTGTGATTTAGTGAATTTTCCCAATGCATTTTTTGTCATTACCTTATGCTGCTCCCTGTGATGTCACGCATATATAATTAAATTATGAAAATTACCATGGCTGGTACTTTTTATAAGAAAGTTGCAACCCTAGTTACACTTCTGGTCAACAGCTGATATTTTCCACCATTATTTCAGGTCTTGTCCTACTGCTGATATTCAGTTACAGAAGCTGGGTGGCCAATATGTTTTTATTTATTTCTCATCCCACCACGTCGCAATTGGGAGAGGGGCTACTGCTCAGAAATGTAACTCCCACTAATCTCAAGAAGACTCGGGAATGTCATCAATGTGCTGCCCTAAGCTTAAAAGAACAGTATAGAGTTAAGTATACACACATGAATTGCCAACACTTTTATTCTAGCTATTTTAGTGCATGTCCCCACTGCGTGAGGGTTTGAAAGGCAAGTTACTTGCCTTTCAGCACCAGTATCTTTCCTGACGCTCTACCTATAGATCAGCCAGTCGAATGTTTCCTCATAGGGAAACTGTGGGAGGCTAGTACGCATGCATGGCAAAACAGCACTGTGTCAATGAAAGGGTCTCTAGGAATTGAACTGTGCTATTGAGGAAGAAGCGCAATGTGTTTAACCGTGCAATGTAAACTGCAGGGACATGGCACCCAAACCAATTCAGTGGGTGCCTTTAGAGTCCCATTAATGAAATCTTGACCTAACAAAAAGGGTATTCAAAAATAATTTTAGGCAAATAGCTTTTAACAAAGCACAGTTATTTTAGATTAAAAACACATTTTGTGTAACTAAGCAAATCGTTTTGCATGTTTCTTAGGTTTCTCCCCGTACCCCTTCATAGTTCAAAGCCACTTGCCAAGAAACAGGCTCACTGTCCAGGCTCACACATGGGAAAGTGCCCCTTCTCACCAATAGCCACTCAGGAAACCCCAGAAAGTGTCTATTGCTCAGCAATAAATACCCAAGCATCCTTGAAAGTGTCCCCTTGCATCCACTCAAGGAAAGTGTCCCCTGCTCACAAAAAGACCAGGAACTCTAGGAAGGTGGCCCTTGCTAAATGCACCAGAGGAGGCCCTTGTTTGACAATAGATGTCCAGGCTCTACATAAAAAGAACTGGAGAGATCAAAATTGCACCTGGAAAAGGATGTTAGCTGTCATGCTGGTAAGATTACCATTATGAACTCTGCCTAAACTGCACTGCAATCCCTCTGTATAGAAAAATCATATTCTAAGAATTTTGTTGTTGTTTGTTTTTTTAGTGATTTAGAGTTTTTTTACTTTTAAGTGTATTTTTTGTCATTATCTTATGTCACTCCCTTTGATGCCAGGTTCCCGTGATCTATAATGATGCAAATTAGCATGGCTGGTAGTTTGTTCCAAGAAGGGTGGCAACCCTACACAGCACAGAAAGTTATATGCATATAATGGAGGAACATAAGGAACAAACACACTGAAGGGATTGTTTAAATAGACAATTCTCTGTATAATGATAAATCCCATAAAAAAAAAAAAAAAAATTCAATTTTTTTTTCAAAAATACATATCTGAACAGCAACCAATTTCTGCATCCTAAACCAAGTATCTTAAAATGCGCAATTCTAAAATTATCTGCAAAAAGCACTGCAATTTTATCACCCTTTCTATCTTGGGGTTATTCGGAACCCCCCCATGTTTTGATCACAGGCAAAGATACTTCCACATGGAGATCTGTTTGCCTGTGAGCTGCAAGTGTGGATCAGCCATCGCCACACTTCCACAAACCGGAGAGACTGTTGTCGTGGCAACTAAAGCATATGATTAGAAGAGGGTGGTGCCACGAGAAGGGAGGAGAGGGGGAGATGTCACAGTTGTGCAGAACAAAACAAAGCAAGAAATAAGATCTACATAGACATTCAGACTGAAAGGATGAAGCATATGCATGTGTTGCCATCAAAATAACTAAATAAAATAATTATAAATGTTAAAAAATAAAAAGTCCTATAAGCAGTAGTTTTTTCTGAAAAGAACAGACCTGATTGCATTGTTTTGTTTTAAAAGAACTGGTTACTAATTAATGGATTTAACCTAACCCTTTATATGCCTTTCTATGATCAGCGATGACCCGCACCTTGCATGGATATTGAGGGTTAAATGAATTTTAACAATTGCACAATGCTGAAAAGATTTTACAGATGTCAAATCTGATTGTTTGGGTTATTTTGTTAAAGTCTCACTAATATTTTTTTTTGATTAGAAAGAACTAAAAAAGTGAGTCAAGGGACAGGTCAACAGATTTTGCAGAGTGAAAAAGTATAATGTATATGAAATAATCCATGTTACTGGTACCGTTAGAGCACATTAGACTAGGATGGCAATATGTCAAGGTCTAGTTTGTTGTGCAGTCTTTTGGCTAGCTATATATAGAAGGCAAATACACCCGTTCAATGAGGAATATAGCAACTAGCATAATGGGGGACTTTGTTACACGACTGACCTTCAAGCTATCCGCGCATGGCCTTTCAACAGATAATATTTAGTTGAAATTAGAGTATAAAAGTCTCCGTTTACAATAAGAACATACTGTCAGATTTAAAGGGTTCTTCCAATGTCCATGACCAAGTCTGCTTGTTGAAGTGTTCACTGAGGAACTCCATGGAAATCTGCATGTGCAGTGCTTCTGCTTGAAACCAGAGACCTTATTTTCAAACCATAACCACTGCATGTCATTGCATCAGTATGCTTAATCATTTAATTGGTTTAATATTGGTTTATGCAGCCCTAGCCACACCTCCCTGTATGTGACTTACACAGCCTTTCTAAACACTTCCTGCAAAGAGACATCTCATGTAAACTTCCTTTATTGCACATTTAATTTTGATTTTCTTAACTCCTGTTCTGTTAATGATTCAGTGTCAGGTGGAGGGGGGCTAATGCGTATGCGCAGTAAGCAATGTTTTCCTATGGCGATTTCACCGAAGTTGGATGCTCTCATGCAGAGCGTGATGATGTTCAGCGTCATTTAGGGGATTCGGAGTCTGCCATCATCCAGGAAGTAGAGTCTAGTGGCTGTCTGACAGCCACTAGAGGCCATCTAGTCCTACAAGGTAATTATTGCAGTTTATCAAAAACTGCAATGATGTACATTGCAGGACTAGGTGGGATATGGACATTGCACCCAGACCACTTCAATGAGGTGTCCCTTTAAGCAAAAGTAGTTTTGATGCCTTCAGTATATCTAAATAATGCACATGAAATGTTTAAATTTTTTTTTACGATTGAACTAGGTATACTTTCATTGGTGATTTCTAATAATTCTAATGCTGTGCCAGTGCACACAAGATTTAACCCATTGGTTACCTTTTCAGCATCCCTATTGATAGTTAGTGGCATAACAAGGTAATTATGGACTCAATTTAAAAAACAAAAATACATTTTTTTTTTTTTTTTTTAAACACTTTGAAAATTATTTAACACGGTTTTTCCAATTTATTTTTTTTATCTATAGAAGTAACCGATAAAGTATATGGCGTTTTCTTTGTCGAAAAATAAATTGGAAACAAATTATTTTAGTGTTGAATCATTTGAAAAGCTTATTATTAGCTTACATTCTATCTAGACACTTATTTCATGCTGTACAGTAAACAGGTAGAGGTGTAAGCATATATGAAGTACACAAGTGACACCATCTCACAACATAGCCTTTAAATACATTCATCAATACACACTCCCAAAATGCGTCTTCTCAATAATGCAGGGGCAATAACAATAACGAAGGGGCAATCACTGCAGATATACAATGAAGGCTAATGAACTCAAAAATCAGATCTCCCTCTGCTCAAATTAATTCAACTCGGGAAACGTTAAAGGGGCGACTATAAACCTGCCAAGCATGTGCCTAGTTTCCAGATATGCTAGCGAAGGCAGAGTTGAGCAGTGTACAGTTGCAATCAGGTGTCCTATGGAATTACTCCACTTCATTTATAAAATGTGCACCTGTCTTATTGCCAAAGTATTAAAATGCAGTTATCAGGAATAAAAGGGGGGGACACAACTCGTCAATATGACAAGTCAGGCCCAGGTAAGATAAAGCAATAAAAGTTAAAGGAAAAACTACATTTTGCTGTAAGCATAAATAGAAAAAAATATTATTACATATATGATCGCCTTGGTGTATATTATTTTGTTACGTAAATACACAGTAGCTGTAAATGGTCATAATCTGCCATTATGACTCTTGGAGTCGACATGAAGCTCTTCCACACCAACCTCTGCGTCATCTGGGAGGGGGCAAGAAGGGTTTTCCCAGAGGCTAAAGATTTAGATTGTAAGCTCACAGGCCATCTAGCAAAGTACTCTGTATAAAATATCTTCAAGGGCTATATCTCCGCTCACTGGCAGGGCCCTCTTTACCTTTTGTATTGGTCGGTTTATATTGCACTGTCTTTTTCCACAATTGTAGAGCGCTGTGGAATAGGTTGGTGCTTTATAAATGTCTGAAATTAATGTCTAGCCTCATACACGCACTGATTGAGTAACCCGACTGGCTCTATGGCTCCAGCTGAAAGAACAAACGCCTAGGCGCAGACCTTCCTCAGGTTACAGACAGATGCATTCAGCATAAACGTAAACTGTACAGAGTTTCTTTTCTATGTACTGCACAAAAAGTCACATTCTTCAAGCTATTTAAACCCATGCATGCATGAATGGGCACATAAACCTGAGAGGAAGAGAGGTAACAGATCAACGGAGTAATAACATTAACCAGATTGGGGTTTTAGGGAAAGGTAATTAGAAACTCTGCAAAAATTAGGCTTCTTGCAGATTTTCCAAAATGTGGTCCAATACCATCGCTATTTGGTCAATATAATGCATATATTCCAAAAGTCATCTTAGGTGCACAATTTTCTATTTGGGAGCCAAACCCCGCATTTGCACCATTTTGAGGGGCTTTGTAAAAGCTCTGGGTTTTTTTTATACCCTGTAAAACGAAATGTCAGTTTTCTTTTATGAAAATTAATTTTAATGTATTTATACCTTCTTTGCAGAAACACTGGGAAGTACCCGTGATTAGAGATGTCGCGAACCGTCCGCGAACTTCTCGCGAAGTGTTTGCCGCGGTTCACCATGAACCGTTCGCGGCGAACTCCAGTCAGCTGACACATCCCGGCCAATGTCCAGCAGACCCTCCCTCCCAGACCCTCCCACCTCCTGGACAGCAATCATGTTGAAGCTGCCTTCAACATGGATGCTGTCCAGGAAGTAGGAGGGTCTGGGAGGGAGGGTCTGCTGTAGATTGGCCGGGATGTGTCAGCTGACCGGAGTTCGCCACGAACCGTTCGCGAGAAGTTCGTGGACAGTTCGCGACATCTCTACCCGTGATTATATAGTCTCCATTATTTTGCAACAGTTAATAGAGGTTCAAACATATGGTGAAATAGAAGTACAGATTTTTGGGCCGGCCTCCCAGGGCTTCCCTATAAACAACATTGGTTTGCCATGCACTAGCAGTGTATACACAGCAGTACACAATCCCTAGTTTATAATTAAATAAACAGAAGACCACCGATCTCTCTTAAGGCTCCACTAAATATATATGAAATTATTTACAGACAGTGCAAAGACCTCGTTTTCCAGTTCTGGAAAGTTAAGACGCACAAGAACAATTTAACACTTAAAAGTAAGACGGTGCTGAGTACTTGCAAGAAACCATAATTTCTTAAGAGGAAGTTGCTATGGTCTGTTGAGAATCTAAAAAATTAAGTCCAAGATATAAATTCACCATACTAAACGTAATCACACAATTCGAAAATATTTCTTCCCAGTTACGAATAGTGTTGCTTTCCATGCAGCGTTTCTTTATGATAATTCTACACCTTTAATTCAGGCTACTTACTAGAAGCATTACATTATTTGCAGGGCTAATGATTGCAATGTGTGAAATGCCTAGAGGTACTTGTTCTGCTCATCGGTACTCTGCCAAGGATGTGACATCACCAGGTACACACAAACTAAGATTACTCATTGGGATACGGGAGTGTCTTTTCCTCCCCTCCCACTTTCCAGCCTTTTGAGTTTCCTTTTTCTTGTTATAAGATTACTCATTACTGATGTTGCAGATTTCAAGCATCACCACCAAATTTTTTAAAGACTATTCTGTACACAAGTCTAATTCTCTAGCTTTTTTTAATCCTTGTGGAACCACCACAAAATAATTTTTAAAAGAGCAACAACTTTAATTTAGTGATATTTAGACCCTTTTATTAAAAGCAGAAGGGGGACAGGATTAAGTTTAATAAATACATTTTAAAAATGCCCAAGTATGCAGATTTAAAACTACAACAGTTGAATAAAGCAGTGTACTGATGAACACCTATTTTAATAATGGTATAAAACAAGCATGGGGCTATACCACTCAACCAGCCTTTAGCTCCATAAATAAGCAGTGCATCATGGGAGCCGATTTAGCAAAAAAAAAAAAAAAGTTTATGCTTCAGAAAGATTTAGTAAAACAAAGTTATCACTAAAAGCAACAACTGCAAAATGCAAAGGATATATAAAAAAAACAAATACACATAGATGGGAATTCATACACTATAACAATGGTTGCACGAGGACACCCAACAATAACATGTTAAGGGATAACCCTGTGCAGAGCAGTCAGAGATCCAATTACACTTGTGACCGAATAACATCCTGTACTTCTATCCTTGCACAGCCACCCTGAAACAAACACTATATTTCCGCTCTGGTATTCCTCAGTCACTCCAATGCGGAATGTAAGATTTACATTCATGAGAAAAAGAAAAAAAAATACCCAAATTTTCCTCACCTCATAAGGTTCGTATTGTATTGTATCGTATCAACTACAAGATAAAACAATCTCAGGTCATCATACAAAAAGGACTGATAGTGAATAGAATGTATTTAACCAACAGGCTTTGCAATATCATAATTCAGAGCATCAGTTAAAGGGAAGGTGTCACCAATTACCTGACGCTCCTTGCCCCTGCCGCAATCTCCTTGCAGAGGTAAGTGTTACACTTCTGGAACACTCACCACGGGACCGCTTGCGCTTCTCCTCGGCTCTTCATTATTTTGCCCAATTTGTAGACACTTCCCCATCCTACAAGTACGGAAAACTACTAGTTCAGGACTTGGGACTACTTTGTCCTAAGGAAAGGCCCAAGGTTGCTAAAAGATGGTAGTCTGTCAATTTTGGTCAATTCCCACACCCGTTGCTAGCGATAACTGTGGTACACATACATCTCACAGAGCGTGGGGACGATGAACAGCAGCCCTGCAAACTTTGCAGGACCTGGTCTAGGAAGTCCTGCTAGTGGTTGTTCGGGTGACAGCCACTATAGGTGGACTTAAGCAGCCATGTAAACACGGCCTTTTCTCAGTGAGCACTTCTGGTTAGACCGGGGAGAGGTTACAGGAGCTCCTCTACCCTGGTCCATGGCTCGGCCACACTAGATGCTGTGACTGACAGGAGGAGAGCGCTATGCTTCTGGTCAAACGGATTCTGCGCTCCCAAGCCGGTGAGCCCTAATGCCTCATGGTAGCACTGGCCTGAGACCTCACGGGCCGCCCAAAATAATTTGGTGGGCCGTAAGCAGCTTTGCGATCCACATGTTGTGCAGGACTGCTTTAAGTACAGAGTCTCTCCATTTAATTTCAGCAAAGTGGAAATTGTTTAGAACACACGCACACAGAAGCCAGTTATAAAAAGAAATGACATGCAACATGCTATATAGAATATTAGAATACCTAATACAAATATTATAAACCAAATGTAGATTTTATATGTGGGCAAAGGACTGGAGCATCTTGAGAAGCATCCTGGTGGACTCTGAGGTTGCACAGGAGAGAGTGAGGCCCCTGGGATCTGAAATTAAATAATGCATCCTCCGTGCCCATAGTGATCAGCAGGGACAGCAAGCAGAAGGAGAGCTCCCACTTCAAACATACAGTATAGAGTACTCTATACAGTATAAGCTGGGGAATTCTTATTGTTACTGTAAAGTGTTTATAGACTGCACAGCAGCATGCCACACCGTGATATATCTATGCTCCTCATTACATTAGAATGCCTTGCCAATATCAACAATAGTATTGCATCACTGCTAAACAGCATGTATACAAAGAAGAAAAAAAACTGATGTAATCACTGAAACAAAACAGATGTGTGTGACATTTCTTTGGAAATTCACAAGAAAGACATCTATAAGGGTTTTATTTAAAAGGAACGGTCGCTGGGACTCTAGTACAGATGCCGCCCATTAAATTTTCTTATTGCGCATGCAGTTGGCAGTCCTGCCTCTAGTGTGATGTGAGGTGGAGGCAGTGCTATGTTCTAAACAATGTTCTCCTGGGAAAGCAGGCATTTATGTGGATGTTACTTTGATACCCACCATCTACCTATAGATTGTTGCAGACGATGTACACTCCAATGCAATGCTGTTACCCGAAGTTGAGGGTCTCTTTCAGCGTATAATGCACCCTGCAACAATTGTCATGTTCCTCAAACCATGCCTGAACAAAGTTCAAGATGTTTCATTGGCCTCTAAATTCCCCCGATCTGAATACAATTGGTCATATGCGGGATGAGCTGGAACAACAAATCTGATGCATGGAGGCTCCATCTTGCAAGACTTATGGTATCTGGCACCAGATCCTATAGGAAGGACATGTTTAGAGGTCTTTAGGACTCCATGTATCAAATCAGTTTTGGCAGTACGAGGGGAACTTACTATTTGGCAGGTTGTTTTAAACTTGTGGCTGATGAGTGTATACTGCTTATTTGCCAAGATTCTTACATTCTTATGCTGTGCACACTGCTTATACAGAAGGCAATGCTTATATTGTGCACACTGCATTCACTTTTATACTGTACACAAAGTTAAATGATAACATCACAGAATATTTATTTTTGAAATCACAGGTTGAAGGTGGATAGAGCTCCAGCTGCTTTATCTGTCAAATGCTTGGTCAACTCACTCTTCCACACTTAGGAGGATGATAAAATGAGTGCCATTAAGTTGGAAAATACCTTCTTGACTGGTGACAAACAATACATACTTTTCCTGGTTAAAAAGATATTTTGATAATAAATTAAACCCATCTTGAAAGGTTCGCATTAACAAATTAGTCTCCCTAAAGGTAGCCTAATTTTATTTCCTAAAGGAACACTCCCATCAACACTATAGTGTTATTAATGTGCCAGGAATGTAATGGCACCATCCCAGGGTAAGTGGTCAAACAGGTTTTGATCTTGTTGGTCTTTCCCTTGTGGAAAAGGCAACAGTGGTTTTTAGACCTACTGGAACGCTTGCGCAAGGTCGCCTTACTGCATCAGATGTTCCAAAACCTACTGCAAGGTGGTCTACACATGCATCCTGTAAACTCTGTAGATTCGTAGGCAACTAAACACCTGTTATGAGACTCCTAGGACCACAACCAAGAGGCTACTTTACTGCCTGATCCACAAGAAGAAGAAGAAGAACACACCACCACCTCACGCTCTATACACATTTTCTCCTGAAAAGGAGACCTGCCTTTGCGTGGCTGATTCTCCTGCGTTATCTGGAAATAATTTCAAATTAATGTTATGGCAAATGGGAGGGGAGCACAAATCTAACCATGGACAGGGGCACTTTAGAACTAGGAATACAGTTTTGTATTCCCAATGCTAATGTGATCTTTTAAATCCACAGTTTCCATTGGAATTTCATCACCAACCATTTCAAAATGAGACTTCAATCCTATAATAAAGATGTTAAGAATGAAAAATAGAAAAGAGCCCATTTGATTGAAAGCACTGATGTAGGAATGTACCTCACAGGATGCAAAAAGGAAAGAAAAGTCAAGGGTAGTTGAGTTTGGGTGATACAACTTTCCCTGGATAAGTGGGAGATCCTGGTTTTAGAGAAGATAATCTGAATTCTATTTATTGTGAAATTTGAATGAATGTCTCACTAAGGCACATATATTGTGCCCAAACAATAGTATCGGGGAGTAAGAATCTAGAACCACACATTTCAGATTGTTTTCTCTGTGGCTATTTCAGTTGTGGTGAGAATAATACAGAAATAAGCTCACATTGTTTTTAACCCTTTCAGCCACTGAAGCAAGTCACATGCACACCTAAATGGCCTTGTTCATGACCTTTAAAGATGAAGCTGGAATGTGCTTTTGCAAGTCACCTTACCACAATAAGCTGTATTTCAATCATTTGGCTCAAGCATCCTGTGGGAGCTCGGAATGTTTGATGTGTATTGGTATATCACAGAGTTCTCCAACAAAACAGAAAAAAAAAAAAAATTATATCCAAAATGAAGAAAATGCATTCAGAAAATGAGTTGGTAAAAAGAACAATTTTAACTGTATTCAGATGACCTACTCCATTACATATAGATAAGCCACGGTCACTTTAACACTTTAGAGACATCCTGCTTCTTGGATACACCTGTATATGAGTGTCCCATCATGACCATTTAATATTATGAAGTGTATGCTCACCACAATTCCAAGACATGAATAAAGTTCCACTGAAGCGCCTCTCAAGAGGTCAAGTCTAGGGCTGACCGGAAACCTGCTTTGTTCATACAATATGTATGGCAGTCAGTAAAGTGAAATGTAACGGTTTAGTAGCCATTAACAATTTACAGACTGAGTGCCCATCAAAAGGTATTCTGGTCATTTGCAAAGTTTGCCTTAGTTTTGCCTTTTCTGAACTGGATTAAGAGGTCCTTATCACTGTCAAATGTACTGGATGGCAGAGCCTGGCTAAACCCATCACCAGCTGTCAACCCTTGCTGCTCGGATCAGATGACATTTACATGGATCAAGCAAAAATGTTAAGTCCACATTATTCATGCATCAGAGTAGGGTCAGGCCACATGAAGCGCCCCAGTTTAACATTCAGCCTTGAGACAGAATTGCGGTAGTGATTATGTTGCTTATGTTTTTCATTTAATGAAATCTAAAAATTGTTAAAAATGGATCTGTCACCCCAAAAGAACACTCAAAGATTGTGTTGAATATACATTGAAATTAAAAAGCCGTCAAAACATGCAGAGGGACTTCTGTGTTTTATGGTAAATCCCTAGCTGTCACGTTTCTTCACTTCCCCGGGGCGTTGCCATCAACAGTTGTGGGAATAAGACATTTTCTCGCTCATCATCAATACAGTGTTTTACCATCACGCAAGTGACCAAATAAGGCATTGACATGGCTCCTGCTGGATGAAGTGCCACACAGAAGGTGACAGAGCCACTTCATTAAGGCCTTTAAAACTTGTTGAACCATGGATACATTTGATTTGCACATAAAAATCAAGGATACAATTTTTGTGCAGAATCTGAACTGCTTCAGTAGGATGGGTTTGCCTCCTATTGGTTCAATGGATGCATTAGGGGTGTATGAAACCTGAACTAAAATCGACTCAAATGTTTATTTCTACCTCCACAATTACCACACATTAGGAGCATATGGATTAAATCATCAGGCAATTAATAAGCTTGGGACAGTGTCATCCTGAAATAAAATAAACATCTCATAGTTTTACAAGGATTTTACAGATATCTTCTGCCTAAATTCAAAACTCCATTATTTCAAACCACAGATTTCAACATATGGTCTAATTGGTAATACATACTAATCTCAGGTGTTAAACAGGACTATTGTATTGAAATGTGGTGTCTTGCTAGGATGGGCTCAACAAGGTCAGAATGTGAACCAATTTTTTCTTATAACAAGAACATCACCTCCACTTTCTGATTGCAGCTACAAACCATGTATGCACCCACACCATTTCAGCTCTTTAAAGTGGTCTGGGGGCAATGTCCCATTAGTGCCCCCTCCCCCCAGCTCCCCCTGTGTCCCATTAGTCCCCTCTCCCCCCAAGCTCTCCCTGTGTCCCTCTTAGTTCCCCCTCCCCACAAGCTCTCCCTGTGTCCCTTTAGTTCCCCTCCCCACCAAGCTCTGTGTCCCTTTAGTTCCCCCTCCCCAAAAGCTCTTCCTGTGTCCCTTTGGTTCCCCCCAAGCTCTCCCTGTGTCCCTTTAGTTCCCCCTCCCCCCAAGCTCTCCCTGTGTCCCTTTAGTTCCCCCTCCCCCCAAGCTCTCCCTGTGTCCCTTTAGTTCCCTCCCCTCCACCTCTCCTTCTAGCTCTCCCTGTAGCTTGGCCAAGTAGGCACACCGTGGTGGAGGAGCTCCTGCTCACTGTACCCAGTCTGACAGGAAGCAGTCACGTGCGCTCTGTGAGCACTTGCTGTCAGACCGGGTAGGGGAACAGGAGCTCCTCTACCGCGGTCTTTCTACTAGGCCACGCTACATTCTTTGACTGGCAGGAGGAGAGTGCCTCCCCTCCTACCGGTCACCCTGTGATTGCGCCGTGAAGCCCGCTAGTATGCAGGCTCACCAGGAAATTTCCCGGTATCCAGTCCAGCCCTGATTTCGATTCTAGAGCATGCTAGGTTAAGAGAGCTAGGTTATAATCCAAGTCACAGGGTGGTAGAATAAAAACGCTGTTTTGCCACATTTGACAAGTTCCAATAAGGCACTAACAGGATTACTTCACACAAATGAGATTCACAAAAAAAAAAAAAAAAATAGAACTTTGAAGGATTGATAAGAGAATTATAAACTAAAACTGCCGTTCTATTTTTTTTCTCTGAATCAAGTTATTTTTGGCTTAGATTATGCAATTCCTTACAAAAAAGTCAAAACTTCACAGTTTAGTGCATAAAGCCAAAGGCCAGTTACCTGAGAGAGATGCTGAGATGTGGTCTCTCAGCAAGAACTGCTGTTTCTGTTAAAACCATTGTAGATCTAGTTCTAATGCATGCTTTCCCAAACCACAGAATTGTTGGATCCTTTTTAACAACTGGGTGCTGCAAAACTTTAACAAATTTTAATTACACAATTATTAGAGCAAATAATTCACAGATGTGTATAATATCTGCACAACAGAGCAATTTTAGGCAGCTACTGGAGATTTCATATTCACAAAAAAAAAATGTAGATCCCAAACATGCAAACACAGCTCAACAATACTACCTTTATTTTATAATAAAGAAAGCAGGTCTACAGTCACATTCTAATGCAACCTTTTTCGGATAGATGGCAATTAAACAGTTATTTGAAGCCATCCCAAGGCAGGAGTCCCTCTGTGACCTGTGTGTTGTGCAATGGTCAGAGCCTCTCTGTGAAGCTTGAACTCCTAACTAAAGTCTTAAGATTCCATTCTGGCTCCGAGCTGCCAAGAATTGCACACCTCTAGCCCTACTTGAATAGCCAGACAGAGAAATGGCATCTTTGAATAGAGCAAGGTTAAGTTATTAGACAGAACTACAGATCTCACTTGCAAATACTAAACCTTGCTAAGCAAGAAACACCTAGTGCAAAATAATCAGCTAACAGAGCAGTCTTGAAAATGCTTTTCACACTGTTGGAACTGGATGTGGAGGAACAGGTGGTCATACAGACTTGTGCATGTCTGTGCCTCCCCGGACTACCTCCCTGATCTGTACAAAAAGTAAGCTAACATGCATGGTGGAAGGTTGTCCCTGCAGCAATTTGTTGTACCTGGAACCGATTTGGGGTCAGAATAATCTCATATTTACAAATCTGTAAATTTTCTCACTTTGAGGCCAGCACACTTCTATAAGAAATATGCAGATTAAAATTTGACAATCTTGTTGTGTATCACAATGACGGTTTTCTCCAAGAGCTATAACCACTACAGCATGCTGTACTGGCTATGGTACCAGGAATGTCCTGGTGTCCTTAATGCAAGTAGTGGAAAAAAAAAAAAAAAAAAAAATTACCTAGGGTGCACAAAAGGCCAATCACTGCCCTTAGGTTTCTGGTCATAAGAGCTGGAAGCTCTTGCTACAGGCTCTCTCGAGCCAAGCTTATTGGTCAAGAGTGTCAACTGTTCACGCTCAGCCGATGAATATCCTGCACCGCCAGGCTTATATCAGGCAGAGCTTCTGGCTCGAGAAGGATGCCGCTGCATACTGTAATGGTTAAGGGACTAGAGTGGTTCTTTAATTATACCTCTAATTATTTTGCTTATACATAAATTAAGATATACATAATATTAGGGATAAAGGAGTCAATATTATTGCATATCAAAAGGTGTCCAGAAGGGGCAAAGTTGGATGGCACTTCTGTTGCCGGAAACTAAACACTGAAATGTACATTTCATACAAAAATAAATATTTTAATATTTAATACAAAATGGTCACTGACAAATTACTGACCATAGTAAGAAAATGAACATCTGGACATAAAAAGCATCAATGCCGAGCTGGACAAGTTTTCTATAAATTGTATACCAAAAAGATGTTTCATTCACAACACACACATCTTAAATCTTTCACGGGCATACCCAATTAAGTACATACATATCTAACCACATACACACATTCCTACCAAACTAGTACCACTTACCCCACAACTAGTGGTACATGCAAGCATACACAACTTATACAGATACATAGTTTATTTTAAACCAATTTCCTCCATCCTGCTGCTCATTATAGTGGTGAGCTGGAGGAGACAGAGGCCCGGCCTAGTTTTCTTGTAATGAACTTGAATTCTCTGCATATTCAAGTGGAAGAGACAGCTTTGTTCTCAACTCATGACCTCTTGATTCATTGCTCTATGAAGATGACACAACATCATGAGTGCAAGAGAACCATGAAAGTCTACAGGGTCTAAAAGATAGCAATCATACATTCCAATTTCTGTATCGCCATGGATTTGTTGATTCCTGGGTTATTGGTAACTCTGGCTAATGTGTTACCATTTCCCACAGGATGCAAATTCCTCACTCAAACACTCACAGGTATCACTTCACGTTCCATCACCAAGAGGTGTATATATACATATACACACAGATGAGCTTAGGGAGAACCAAAATGAAACATCTCTATCACCAGGCTCCATGGGCAAGTCTTTGTTTTATATAAATTTTCTTACAAAGAACGGTTTTACAAGTCACAAACTTGTCTACATTAAAAAGGAACACTCGAAGCACCATAATAGCTTGTTTTAATCATATTAGTGCTAGGAGAGCAATGGTCCCCTCACTGTAAGGAGTTAAACTGTTTTTGAACGGTTTGACATCTTACCTGGGGGTCTGTCCGGCACCATCTCATTCCCTTGACTGTCAATGATGGAGAGCCAGAAATTACCAAGCAGGAACTTCCATTAGCTCTCCTGAGCCAAGCCCTGCATAACGAGTTGTAGTGGTTATGGTGCTTTGAGTGTTCCTTTCAAGGGACACTCTTAATAATGGATTCGGTGCAATGACTGTCCCTACAATCTGGAAAAGGATAAACAATTATGGTTTTGACATATATAAGGTTTACATTTGTTGGAGAATACACCTCAAATGGCGGTAACAGAGAGGCACAAGAGGAAAAATAGGTATTCATGTTTGGCATCATCACGCCCATGATGGCGCTGAACACTGACAATTCAATCACAGAAAATGCACTTTGATAATGCCTTTCTCTGAGAACATCCAACTGATGGAGAGTAGCTGTTGCAGTGTACCCACCGTAGATCCCCAAAGCCAAGACAAGGATAGAGCTGGCTAAAGTGTTTTATTGAATATTCTTTTATATTTACAAAGAGGTGTAGGACCTTAAGTGTAAATGGGGAAAAAAGAAAAATGAGCGTTATAGAAATGTTTTATTTAGTTAAAATATTTGTGTGTGCTTTCTCTAGATTGAGAACACAACTACAATAAACTCTCTTCAATTATCTGATGAATAAAGAAGCAAGAAACCAATGACAAACAGGAACAGTTATTTAAATAGCACCAACATGGTCAGCAGTGATGTACTGCAGGTAAATGACGTGCACCCGTTACTTCAATAGACATGAGTTAAGCAAACAGGAAAGGAATGTGATGCACTATGCATTTGTTCACGCTGCTGTGGATAAGCCATAGCACCCCTAAGACTTTCACTAGCATAAAGGAGTGTTACACATTTACTTTACAACTTAATACAGTGCACGTATTCACAAGGTGACTCAAGTAAACCAGACAAGCACCAGATGTGATCAATATGTACCCAAATTTATTGATTAACCATGATTTGCAGCAAGTCATCCACACATGCAAAGATTCCCCTCCTCCATATCGTAGAGTTTGAAAAATTGGCAGAAGTCCCAGAAAGACTTGAACAAATGCCAGGTTAGCAGGAATCCAGAGGCCATGATTCCCGAGAACACTGGTCACATATTAATGGCAGATAAAATTAAGTCACTTTTAAAAGAGGAGGGGAAAAAAATAAATAAAAAATTAACAAAAAACACTATTCATCAATTCATACTTTGACATTGGATGGAAGTGTTTACAATAGCCATTACAATGTATTTTGTAACCGTGGACCCAAACAGTAAGGTCTATGATGAGGCCTACAGGCTTTCAGCTCATACCATATATTGTTTTTAAAAAAAAAAAAAACACACACACACACACACACCACTAAAATGTTGGCTTTAGATTAGCATCTTTGTTGCGGGTGGGCCTAAAGTTTAACATAGCACCCCTGCAGAACATGCAGCTTTTACAAAGTAATTCAACCAATATAAAAATGATATTGCAGAAGCCAGCGGCACAATGGCCAAGTCTATGGAATCTAGGATGCTGTGAAACTGCTTATTCATGGACTATACAAGCCTACTCAGTGGGTTGAGTTACATTAACAAAAATAAGAAAAAAAATAGTTTTAGTGTAGGCATAATTGTACAAAACTCCACCCTCTGAAAAATCGTTGAATTAGTGAATTCAGCAATTCATTTTAACAATGTGTGCACTTTGTTAAGGGACACATAAAATCAACAAAGCTCTTAAAGACTACAGCAGCATAGGCAGAAGAAATTTCACTTCCTTTGCAAACATTTTGAATTACAAAGTGTAAAATACAAACGCTTTGAATACAGATATATATTATAAAACCGTTTTTAAATTTTGGTTAGACAGAGAGTAAAACGATCAATATTAGCTTTATATACCTCCAAGAAATACACCAGATCCTCTTCCAAAATCAGTTTCCTGAGTCATAATGACAATCCAGCCAGGTCACATCAACCCATAAATGATCTATGTACCAATCTAACTTGATAGACAATATATCATGAAACTCTATTAAAAGTTACATGGCTATGACAGGCAACAATACAATGGAAAGGAGGATGCTGCAGAACTTCTTGTCTTTTCACTGCCTCAATACGGATTACATTCTTCACAAAAGGATGATGGCCTACGTGCCAGTTTCAAGTCATGTTGCAGCAGTTTTTGACTTTATAATGTCACAAAATACCCGAGATTTTACAAGTTCTGCCACTGATTCATACTGACATCACAATGCTTATTTCAGACGTTACTGTTAAGAAACACATAGATGTACAACACATGCTTGTCCTGCAGTTAACAGATTGGATGACAGGGGCTTGGTAGGAGAAGTCACCCACAAAGCATTACTAAAAGATTTAAAAAAAAAAAAAATGTTCTAAATGGATGCATTATCAAACGACGGGTTACATGGCAGCATTACAGAATTTACATTTCATATTCATAAAAAGGAAAAAATGATTCACAGTTATAAACCACTCAAAGTCATATTCAAAGCTAAAACATTGTGTTCTAAAAGATTAAGAGGAATAAATAGGGGAATACTAAGAAGCCCAACATTCCACGCCCCCTCCTCCTCCCATCCATGGGCATTTAAACTCCCATCCTTCCTGGAAAGCCTGGCAGAATGGCTGGGCTTCTTCCTATCACCAACTATCCGTGCAAACTCAGCCACTCAATCCACAATACGTACTTTGGAGGGGCGACCTTTCTTCAACGCTGATTATTTAGGTTGATCCTCAATGATTTGGAAGATTGAGGGTTTTGTTTTTTTTGTTTTTTAAACAGGGCGAGTCCTGGATATTGTAAATATATAGCTATAAAAAAAATAAATATATTATATGTCTCCAGTTATTGCACTTCTGAAAAATTCAGGATCCGGTGAAAAATCAATAGCTGGAGTAGACAGAGCAAGTGGAATAAATAGAATAAATGACTGAGATTTCTAGATCTGCATGGCTGAATCATTTGGGCTTGGTGGGTGTTTAATCGAAAAGAACCAAGATCCGGGCCAAATAATAATAATAAAAAAAATTAAAAAAATTATTAAGTATACAGTCTGAGTAGTAAAGGGATTGCAGATCGCTTTAATTTCATTTCCTCATCGATGTCCTTCACCCAGTGGTGTTAATAGCTTTAAATCCCTCCATGTAGGCTCAGCCACCCTGTAACATGGAGCTGTGGGTGATGGGAGTTGGTGGTGTGAGGGGGGATGTAGTATGATTGCCCGGGGAAACGGATGGCAAGGCGGAGATGGGATAAACCGATCGGGAAAAGCAGCTGAGTCCCTGCCCGATCCGCCCCGGCTCGGTACAACGGTAACAATGGGCTGCGAATGTTACAATGTAGGTAGTTATAGGCGGCGTGACGTCAGGGGGCGCCGCGCTGCACGCCGGGAAATGTAGTCCGCGGCGGCGCAGAGGCTACTGGGAGATGCTGCAGTATGTGGGCGGTTCCTGGCACCGGGTGCCTTGTACTGGGAGGGCGTCCATTTCCTACAATGGGAGCGGACGGGGATGGTCCCAGAGCTTAGCGGGCGGGGGAGAGAGAGGAGAGGGGGTTGTGTGGCTTTCCAGGCGAGAAGTCTCGCGGTTTTTGCTCAGGGTTTGTCCCCTAGCTACAGATTGGGTAGTTACTAAGCATGTACCCACAGCTTTTGTTTGGCCATTCGCAGGGAAAGCACAATAAATACAGAGAAAATAAAACAACCTGGGAGCCTCCTAACACGGTTACAGGTTGTCCATAAACCAGCTTGCTACCCTCTGTCCCAAATCCCTGAAATTTGCCAGATTATATTCTCCAAAAAATCCTGACCTCCCTCAATCTGGAGGGTCTCACAGGGATGGTTTTTGGATTTCCTTCACCCTTACAACACAGGTGTTAAGGTTAGAAATGTGACAGTAGGCTAATTACGGCTAATAGAGGAGTACTTCGAGCACCATAAGCACTGCTGCCCACTGTGGTGGTTAGGGTGCCAGTGGTTAAAGTATCATCATAGATCAGAGTTTTCCAAACTTTTCGTGTTGGTGACATACTTTTCAGACATGCATCATTTCGTGACACGGCTGCCAACGAGACGGTGTTCATTTCCTTGAACACATCACTTCAGTTGTGGGCACGTCCCGAGACTACATTCAGCAAGCTGTGCGTGCACTATATATATATATATATATATATATATATATATATATATATATAGGCACGATCCTTCGACTGTCTAACACTATGGCACCTATTCACAATATATATAGTAATATAACACACACAGCCCATGTTGGCTCTTCTAACCTTATTTACTGTTGCTTGGTGGCAGCTACAGACTGCTCAGCCTCACCTCACTCCACGTAGCATGGCCAAGTAGGCGAAACGCGGAAGAGTAGCTTCTTTTCCCTACCTGGTCTGACAGGAAGCTCTGGTGTGCTCTCAGTGAGCACTTCCTGTCAGACTAGGTAGTGGAAACGGTGGACACTATAATCACCAAAACAACTCTAGCTTAATGAAGCAGTTTTTGTGTATAGATCAGGTCTCTGAATTTCACTGCTCAATTATATGCCATTTAAGAGTTAAGTCTCTTTTGTTTCTGTCCATGCAACCCTAGCTACACCTCCTTTGGCTCTGACGGACACAGCCTGCATGGAAAATGGTTTCATTTTCTATAAGATGTAACTTACTTTAAACGTTTTTCACTAATGCTCTGAAAATTGAACTTTAATTGCATACAAAAGAATCGTGCAGGGTCTAGCAATCTATTAACAGAGCAGGATATAAGAAATTCTAAATTAAACAGAATTTGCAATAAAAAAAACACAAACATTACATGACTCTTTACCAGAAGTTTTTAGGAAGACTGTGTAAGTCACATGCAAGAGGGTGTGACTTAGGGCTGCATAAACAAAGTGAGTTAACTGATAAATGGCAGAAAAATGAGCAGTGAGAATGCAGGAGCATGAACTATATACCAAAATTGCTTCATTAAGCTAAAGTAGTTTTGGTGACTATAGTGTCCCTTTATTGCTAAAATAAATTTGAAAAAAGGCACTATTAATGTCAGGGTGTTTGCACCACTTTTTTCTATACCTTCAAAAGAAACGCTTACTGTAATTATATTTCATGGGAAACAATCCATAAATGCAAATAGCTAATCATTGAAGAAAAAATAAATAAAACATACTTCACAAACATGTCACACAACATGTAGAATGATGACAGCACTCAGTGAGTCCAGCTTTGGTGCCATGCATCCACTAAGGTGCACAAGAGGACTAGGCACACGCCTCCTCTGCTCCAATAAGCCTGCTAAGTATCAATGTTTCAGTTTGTGAAAGACTCGACATTTCTTTCATGAGTTAAAACATTGCGCCAGTAAACATGCTAAGAATCAGAAGAGTTGTGTGCCCGGTCCATTTGTTTACAAATGTTTCCAAACCCTAAAAACATACCCTTCTTTAGCTTCAGGATTAGCCTTTATTGCCCAGCACTTATTTCATTGTCATTAAAGGAACACTATAGCATTAGGAATACAAATATGTATTCCTAACGCTATAGTGCCCTAGTCATTGTTTAGGTGACTAGGGCCCCGTTCCGCGGCAAATAAATGATTAAACATTTGCTTACCTTAATCCAGTTCCGGGCTCCCTCGGCACGGGTGACCTCTCCTCCTCCATTGACGTCAGATTTCTAGTGGAGCCAAATGCGCATGCACGGCCAGAGGCGCGCGCGCATTCAAACCCACCCATAGGAAAGCATTACTCAATGCTTTCCTATTGGGATCTTTTTTGACGATGGGCTCCATGAGAATGTCCGGCGTCAAATAAGTGCAATTTACTCCGCGTAAATGGCAGAAGTGGCCTCTAGTGGCTGTCAGGGACACAGCCACTAGAGGCTGGATTAACCCTGCAGTGTAAACATAGCAGTTTCTCTGAAACTGCTATATTTTCAGCTGCAGGGTTAAAACTAGGGGGACCTGGCACCCAGAGCTCTTCATTGAGCCAGTGCCTATAGTGGTCCTTTAAGGAAATATTTCCAGCTCCATGCTTTTTTTTATAAAAATAAGTTGTTTTGCTGAGATTTTGAAATCTCTGAATGATGGTATAGTCCAAGTAAGCCTAAGTATTGCCTCACTATCACCCTCACACCAGATATATATTTTAACTTCTATTATGACAATGTAGGCCAGGGATAGGATAGGATTACTGGAATTACTATCTTTTCCACCAGCCTGTATTCTAAATGTACAAATACCTCTTCCAGCATCTGGCTGTAGGGATACTATGTAATAACTGAAAAAAAAAAAAAACTCTGTTCTGTGCTCTCTCTCTAATCAGATTAATTCAGTGGTCAGAGAAAAGAAAAAAAAAATCATTGCACTCTGCTGAATAAATTCTATGCTGCCACTCTTCGTATGTCTGTGTGTCAATCACAGGGAGAAGCGGTGCAGCCTAACCAAGGCGCTTAAGTTTGCATGCAGAGCATGCGAACGTCAAAGTTGCACAAAACAGGTATTTTTACCGAATAGGGGCTAAGAAAATCTAAATGAAACTTTCAATAAAGGAAGGATAAACATTAGATGACTCTTTACAGGAAGTGTTTATGAAGACTGTGCAAGTCACATGCAGGGAGGTGTGACTTGGGTTCATAAAGTGATTTAACTCCTAAATGACAGATAATTGAGTAGTGAGACTACAGGGGGACTGCTGGAGTCCCCTGTCGCTGTTCTTTAGCATTAAAAACAGTTTAAAGAGACATTGTAGGCACCTAGACCACTTCAGCTCATTGACGTAGTTTGGGTGCCGTGTCCTTGTCTCCCTTAGTCCTGCAATGTAAATCATCATTTCAGTTTGTCTTCCTTCACACGATAGAACCCCTTTAATGCTGGAATCCCACAAACCAATCTCCTATGAGGAAACATTGGCCTTAGCAACAATGGGCATCTGTGATCAGCTGAAGGGATTCAGCTGATCACAATGCCACTGCAGGTATGAATCGGTATGGCTACAAAGAAGTAATCTCTGCCTTAGCCATGCCTCCAATGGAGGCAGGTTCAGGGACGCTAGGGATTGTCAATTTTAAAATGCTTGAAATGGTTAAACATGGAATAGAGGGACAGTTACAGAGGCTCTAAGCAATATAACAATTTCCTCATTCAGTGTCCCTTTAATCTGATCCTGGTGCAACCACATGGGCCACCATCTGTTTGCAATCAGGCTTAACCAAATTGTGCAAATTTGCAGGCAGAGGCCAAATCAAATACATTCCTAAAATTTGTCTTTAGCACTACATTAAGATAACCAACTTCTATAAAAGTATTAACTCCAGGATTACATTACATCCCATAATTAAAACATTAGTTTATTCATATGTTTATAAAAAACAAATGCATGAAAACAATACCCATTGTTTGTGTTGCAATTAAGCAAGTATTACAGACTTCTCTACAGTCACCAGCAAAACAAAACAAAAAAAACGCCCCTGTCGTTTTTGTGGTTTTGTTTAGAGTTAATCGGATTTAGTCTGAATTTTAATCTGAAATTTAGTGGTTGATGAAAGTAAATCCGATATCAGATTTGGATTCACCATTCAGTTTTATACCGTCACATTTCAAACTTGTTTGCCTTTATTAAGAAAGAAAATTACAAGTGTAGTTAACATTCAGTCACAACCAAACTTGGTCCAGCACAGATATGTGGCAAAATATTATCTGAGATGTAACCTCAAATGGTGGCTACTTAAGCACCCTATAGGAGAAACACAGGGCTAATTTAGAATGTGAATGTCAAGTTTAAAGCCAGAGTAGCTGAACTGAAAATATAGCTGGCTAACAGAATTTTTCCAGTTCAACTATTGTGAAATTCAATTTGAAATTGTCTGAATTTACTTTGAATTCTCACTTTACTTAACACTAACAATCTTTAAAGGGACACTATAGTCACCAGAACAACTACAGTTTATTGTATTTGTCCTGGTGAGTAAAATCATTCCCTTCAGGCTTTTTGCTGTATACAATGTCTTTTCAGAGAACATGCAGTGTTTACATTACAGCCTAGTGATAACTCCACTGGTCACTCCTCAGATGGCTCCTGGAGGTGGTTCCTGGGGCAGTGCTGCACAGTGTGCAGTACTAGCATTCAGTGTCTCCACTCTCTGCATGCAGACACTGAAATTTCCTCATAGAGATGCACTGATTCAATGCATCTCTACGAGGTGATGCTAATTGGCCAGAGCTGTGTTTGACTTGTGTTGGCTCTGCCCCTAATCTGCCTCCTTGACAGTCTCAGCCAATCCTATGTGAAAGCATTTTGATTGGCTCAGATCACTTCTGCTGATGTCAGCAGACAAGTCAGGGGTAGGTGCAGCAGCTGCAGACTTGAATACAAGTAAGATTGGTGGTTTAACGATATAGGGTCAGGAATACATGTTTTTGTTCCTGAAGCTATAGTGTTCCTTTAACACATGTGGAGACCAACATGTCTTAATTCCCAAGAATGACAAACTATCCATAAAGTACTTTACTTAGGAGATATATATATAGTATATGGAAAATATATTACTACAAACCAATGCAGCGATCAATGATAAAATAACTGCATTATAAATATTGAAAAATTCCATGTGCCATGCAAACTGTCTCATTTTGAATAATGACTCTATAGTAATTTAACCCCTTAAGGACACGACATGTGTGACGTCATCATTCCCTTTTATTCCAGAAGTTTGGTCCTTAAGGGGTTAATGAGTGGCCGTTAAACTGACCCAATGCTACAAAAAATACAATCTCTGATACTAAAATACAGACTTCCCTAATTCAGCCCTATACCTACATAAAAAACAGGACACACCAAGCACGGGGGGTCATAATAACGGTTGTACTCATTGGGTGTTTATTCACTAAATGGTAATTGACTAGAAGAAAAATAAAAGGCACATTTTGCTTAAATTGTACCTTTAAAAAAAAATAAAATTACTACAATGCATCTTAGCAGGGGAACACAATGCTGTTTAGAAGTTTACATAAAGTGGAGTAAACAAAGCAAAAAGCACTTCTGAGGCATACGTTTAAATGGACTCTATCGTTTTCAAGGAATTGTTGTGGGTCCCCTCCATTATAACCATGCACCTAATGATTGTCTTTCTGCACGAAGGGCAAGGTTTCCACTGTACAGATAACCTGACTCTAGTGGCCGAATATTGACAGTCACTAGAGGAAATTTTGCAAAATAGTGGCGTAAAACTCCAGTCTTCCAACCACATGGTGTCAGAGAGACAATCTTATTGGTGTCAGTGTGGCGTTTTGATGTGCATGTGCACCAACCCTTAGTGCTTCCTTATGGGAAAGAGGCAGAGCTTACCCGAAGGAGACTGGTGCGGAGGAAGAAAAGTTAAGTAAAATCCCCTTTTTAACCCAGGAAACTTAGGGGATCATGGGGGCTTGGTCACCTAAATGGTGACTAGGGCACTATAGTGTAAGGAATATATGTTTGCATTGCCAACATTATAGTATTCCTTTAACAAATCAGTCAGTCCCTATTCCAAGTTTGGAAATAGAAGTGATAATGTTGCTAATTGGATACCAACATTATGAAAACCTGACAACACTCGAGTCAGTGGTATACTGATGCCACCCTGTACACAGGCCTGGGGCTGGAGGAGGATCTGTCCCGCCTGCTCTGCTCCGGTACCCTCTGTGTTCCTGCTCTTGCAGTGGCTGACAGTAGCTGGTTTGAGGACTCAAAGCTCATGTGCCACTATAAGAGTCAATGCTAAAAAGAGAAATTATTTGAGTTTGTTAGTTTCTTTATTTTATGCTTATGTTTGTGTGAGACTCCTTCAAGGTTTGCAGAGTCTTTAAAAATAAATAAAATAAACACACCTTTCCAAATATCAGTGGTCTCCTTCGCAAGTTACACAACCACAACTGCTTTAACTCCTGATAACCTAGCACATTGTGTAATTACTATTTTACCAGTGGTTTATACTTTCTTCTTGAAACCTAGCTTGTAGTTACATATTATTTAGTTAATCTCTACCTGTCTAACTAGACCTGCACACTTAAAAGTACATTATGGCTTGAATATTTTTCTGCATGTAACATTCTTATTGTCATACCTCAATAAAAGATTGACAAAAAAAATGAAAACATGCAGAAAAATATTCAAGCCAGAATGTATGAGAATAGCATATAATTTCACAATCACTAGATGGTGCTTTTTATTTAATTTTTTTTAAATCAGAAATAAGCATGTGTAAACTAGACAAACATTATTTTATTATTTATAAAATATTTTACCAGGAAGGATACATTGAGATTTCTCTCATTTTTCCCCTGTATGTCCTGGGTCAGTATATATTTCCTACCTGTTCTATGTTAAATTTTGTATATATTGTGTATTAATATTGTTTTTGTATTTTATTATACCCTATTGTATCAATGCAATGTTTTGTGGACCCAGGACATAATTTAAAACGAGAGAAATCTCAATGTATCCTTCCTGGTAAAATATTTTATAAATAATAAAATAATGTCTGTCCAGTTTACACATGCTTATTTATGATTTAAAATTTAAAAAAAGCATCTTCTAGTGATTGTGAAATGATATGCTATTCTCATACATTATGGCTTGACTATTTTTCTGCATGTAACATTCTTATTTCCATACCTCAATAGAAGATTGACAAAAAAATGAAAACATGGCAAACGGATATATAGTACATCAACAATCTAGATGCAGTAGCACACATCAGGCTTATAGTGTTCAACTCAAAACCAATACGCATGTGACAAAGAACAAACCCATATAATATCTCACAAAAGTGAGTACACCCCTCACATTTTGTAAATATTTTATTAAACCTTTTCATGTGACAACACTGAAGAAATGCCATTCTGCTACAATGTACTGTATAACAGTGTAAATTTGTGGTCCCCTCAAAATAACAACACACATTAATGAACCGTTGGCAACAAAAGTGAGTACACCCCTAAGTGGAAAAAGTCCAAATTGGGCGCAGCCACCATTATTTTCCAGCACTGACTTAACCCTCATGGGCATGGAGATCACCAGAGTTTCACAGGTTGTCACTGGAGTCCTCTTCCACTCCTCCATGACGACATTAAGGAGCTGGTGGATGTTAGAGACCTTGCGTTGCCCCACCTTCCGTTTGAGGATGCCCCACAGAAGCTCAATAGGGTTTAGGTCTGGAGACATGCTTGGCCAGTCCATCACCTTTACCTTCAGCTTCTTTAGCAAGGCAGTGGTCATCTTGGAAGTGTGTTTGGCGTCGTTTATAGTGTAGGAATACTGCCCTGCGGCCCACTCTCCGAAGGGAGGAGATCATGCTCTGCTTCAGTATCTCACAGTACATGTTGGCATTTATGGTTTCCTCAAAGAACTGTAGCTCCCCAATGCCGGCAGAACTCATACAGGCCCAGACCATGACTCTCCCACCACCATGCTGGACTGTAGGCAAGACACACTTTGCTTTGTACTCCTTACCTGGGAGCCGCCACACATGCTTGACACCATCTGAACCAAATAAGTTTATCTTGGTCTTATCGGACCACAGGACATGGTTCTAGTAATCCATGTCCTTAGTCTGCTGGTCTTCAGCAAACTGTTTGCAGGCTTTCTTGTGCATCATCTTTGGAAGAGGCTTCCTTGTGGGACAACAGCCATGCAGGCCAGTTTGATGCAGTGTGAGGAATATGGTCTGACCACCCCCCCATCACCCCTGCAGCAATGCTGGCAGCACTCACACATCTATTTCCCAAAGTCAACCTCGGGATATGACACTGAGCACGTGCACGTAACTTCTTTGGTCGACCATGGCGAGGCCTGTTCTGAGTGGAACCTGTCCTGTGAAACCGCTGTAGTGTCTTGCCCACTGTGCTGCAGCTCAGTTTCAGGGTCTTGGTAATCTTCTTATAGTCTAGGCCATCTTTATGTAGAGCAACAATTCTCTCAGAGTTATTTGTCATGAGGTGCCATGTTGAACTTCTAGTGACCAGTATAAGAGAGTGTGAGAGCAATAACACCAAATTTAACACACCTGCTCCCCATTCACACCTGAGACCTTGTAACACTAACGAGTCACATGACACCAGGGAGGGAAAATGGCTAATTGGGCCAAATTTGGACATTTCCACTTAGAGGTGTACTCACTTTTGTTGCCAACAGTTTAGACAGTAATGGCTGTGTTGAGTTATTTTGAGGGGACAGCAAATTTACAGTTATACAGGCTGAACACTTACTACTTTAACATTGTAGCAGAGTGCCCTTTCTTCAGTATGTTCACATTAAAAGATCTAAAAATATTTGCAAAAATGTGAGAGGTGTACTCACTTTTGTGAGATACTGTATATAACAACCAAAGTGGAATAATATGAAATGTCTATTCTTTTCTTAATATGCAGTTTTTGTTTTGCATTCCATATTTTTTTTTGGGGGGGGGGAGGAGAAAATACTATAAATTGCTTATCTGCCAATGTCTTGTAGGTAAAATATCACACTCAGCACTATAACCACTACAGATCATTGTGGTGGCTGTGTTGCAGTCTACAGTCATCAACTGCACTTTTGTTTTGTTAAGCTATTTGAGTGATTGATAAATAGAGGGCTCCTTCTCTCAAAGCCCATCCTTCATAATGCAGAAGCTATGAAGATGGAATTTCAAGTAGGGTTCCAGCTACTCCAGTGATATCCACACAAGTAACTATTTTTAAGAGTATATGTGTAACTGAATATCTAGTTTAACCCTTGCTTTAACACCGCAGAAAATGGAGAAATTGCCACTTACCTGCATAAAACACAACTCTTAAGATTTTTGAAATGCCATTATACAGCAAACAAGAAATATGTTAATCAGTTTATAAGGAAACATATTGTAATGTGTTGAAACTACAAAATTAAATGTTAGTTTCTCTCCAATATAGCTATACACTAGAAAATGTTCTGAATTTTCAATTCTGGATTTGTAGAACATTTGTGCCCTTTACACAAACATCTGGATTTTCAGATTATTGGGCAATAATGACCAGGATTAGTAAATCATGGCACTAATTTTTATGTTTGCAAGCATCGACTAGGCATATACAGCTGCTAATAATAAACAGAATTATTTCCATTACCTATAAAGACAGCTATTTCAATATTTAATACTTTATGCCGTTGCTGGATATCATGATTTCTTATTTTTCTGAGAAATTACAGTTTATTATATACAAATGTTTATTACGCAGTCATAGCCTCAGTCTTAAACACAAGACATTAAGAAAAAAATTGGTTCCCTAACAAAACAAAAAAAGTTTGTAAAATGAAATCGGCTTATTATAGTAACTAAAAAGAAAGATGCCTTTGGATTCAAATAGGAAAACATGAGGGTTCCAGATTTTATGTCAGAATTCAATAAGTGAAACATTATCTTTGTAGAAAAGAGCATTAAATAATGCAGGTCTTTGATCTACAATAGCAAGACTAATTGGTATGTAGAACAGAAAACAAAACGAAGGAAAAAAAAAAAAAAATCAGCAATGTAGCCCTAACCTGTTCAAAAATGATGTACAAAAAACACACAAGTGACAAATCCCCACACAAATGTATTCATAAAAAAACAAAGCAAACTTATAAAGAAATTAGAATTTGAGGGATTGACAGGAGCAGTTTGGGGAAGATGGGTGGAATTACAAAATGCATCATACAAAAAGACAAATGCTACATAAAATATATATTCTAACCCCCACCCCCTCCCAGTATCTTTCAGGCAGTGACCTTTGATGGGGTGAATGGTCTAAAATATTGCATTAGAATCTTCCGTGTGCTGTTGAAATCAGATGAAAACAGTATAAAAAGGAAGATGCCTGTGAATGAATAAACTAGCAATACAACACAGGATTGCATTCTCAAATTCACGGGTTTCCAGAAATATATCGATGCTCAGCATTTGGGCAGAAAAAAATCCCCAAAACATGCTATTCTTAGCAAAGGACAAACGGGTCAATGGCTGGATTAATTTGGTTCTGAGACAAGACCATTGGTACAAGAAATAATTCTGAAGGCAAATTCTCAAAGCTAAAGGGCTACTACACATGTAAAAAGTGTCTGAATCTGCACAAGAAATGTTTGCCTTGTCCACTTTCAATCAGTGCAAGAGAGGTCTCCGGCTTTCATTGGAGGATCCACATAATTAAGAGGGTGTACTCCACTTGCCAAAGCATCAACCGGAAAGAAATTGTTGCTCGTGTATTAACAGGTGCTGTTCAAATCCATTCAAGTTTTAGAAGCTTATATATATAAAAAAAATAAAAATAAAAAGATAGGATCTGTATCTTCAAGAAAAAGGGTATTCAGTGTCTATTGTGGCACCTTATTTTAAGAAAATGTGGTAGCTGTCATTTGTTTCAGCTGAAAAACAAAAATGGGAGAAAAATCAAGACGAAGATCATCAATTACAAGTACATATTCAAACATTTACAGGATATGGCTAAATGTGCTAGTTCATCAAGATTTTTTTTTTTTTTTTTTACACAAGGGTCTGTGATTCAGCTAGATAACTAACAGCACTGTTGGATGTAGGTAAAGTACATTTACAATAACTACATAGACATTTTATTAAGTTTTTGAAATGTGTGATAAAGCGGTTTTATAGCTTTTCTGGTGTTTATTGTATACTCTACACTTCAGTTAATACTTTAGAGCAAGTAGAAACACAGTTTAGATAGAAAACACATTGTGGACTCCAAGTTATTGATCATATAGTAGAGTCTATGGAACTTGTATTCCAAAACCTGGAAAGCTAAGTTGCATACCCCACCTGCAGAAAGGATGTGTTTCCCCATCTCCCCTCACCCTGCAATCCCCTTTTGTTTGGACATGTATGCATCACAGTCTACCCATTGTTAAGTGTGTGAGCTCCTGACCCTGCAAGGCAGCCATCATGTATTCGGCGCTTCCTTATCTCCTACACCCGCTCTAATCACCGTTTTTTTGGGGTCGAATGCTTTTCCAGAGGCAGGTACCAGCGACTTCGCAGCATTCAACAAATGTCTCACTATCGATTTTTTTTACATGAGGATACGGACATGTTGGGGGTCATGCAGCAAGTAACAAGTAAAAAATAAATTAAAAAAATACAGTATCTTAGCCCATTGCTCATCTGTGTGTTCCCAAGCACTCTTAAATTGCTGTGGGAAATGGTCATACCAAGATCCCTCTATGCTGTATCAGGTTCCTCCTTCATCAACCAATGGGGAGAACCTAATGAATAGTGAGCTCCACACGCACATTAGGCTTTTCCCAATAGGAAAAACACAGACGCAATGCTTTCCTAGAATTCCTTTTAGAATTCTCAAGCGTGAGAATGTCTTTTCATGGAGTTAAACTTCATGAAACAGCAGGAATTCTCTCTAATGGTTAAATGGAAGATAGCCACTAGAGGCAGTATTAACCATGAAATTAAGTGGTCTTGGTGCCTATAGTGTCCTTTTCAGAACTGATGTGTGCTTTATAATGCAATGTGTACATTTTTCACTGGTATTTATCACAGTATATTCACAATTTATGTTCTTAGCGTTAAGAGGAATAGGAGAGATACATGAACCAACGTTTGGCTGCATGCTTATTTTAAAACTTTTATATATGTACATGCAAAAAGATCAAGAGAGTATTTGTATTAATATTAGCAAAAGACAATATAACCTCAACAAATTAAGAAACTGATCTTTCAAAGAAAGCCTAGGCGAGAAGATAGCCTTTGATACTAGGCAATATTGTAGGAAAGTGTTCCAAAAGGAAAAGTTACCGTACATTTACTACAACCCCAATATGGAAGTACATACAAAATAAATAAATGCAGTATTATGGATAGCTGCTAGATGGCAGCATAGTAACACTGAGAACCATAACCAGTGTGTCTAATACTGTTCAAAGACTTGAAACAGTCCTAGTACAGTAGATATTAAATCAGATCTTGCCAACATGTTGCCAAGCACCACACAGTTTACAGAAATCAAGCAACAGAACTAATAGTGTCTAAATACAGTTTTGTTGAGCTTTCTCATCTGTCCCCTCTTATCTCCAGGTGAGGAGGAAGAATATGCTTCCAGTATAATTATATTATTTATATAGTGCCAGCAAACTCTATAGCGCTATAATAAATCTTGTCTGACAAAACGTGCACTAATTAAGAGAAAGTGCTATTGAAGGGACACTATATAGTCACCAAAACAACCTTAGCTTAATGAAAGGTTTGGTGCACAGATCAAGCCCCTGCGGTCTGGGAGCATTTGGGAGTTAAATCACTTTGGTTATGCTGCCCTAGTCAAACCTCCCTACAAGTAACATGCACAGTCTTCCTAAACAAACAAGTGAGATCTAATGTTCATGCTTCCTTTATTGCACATTCTATTTAATTTTGAATTTCGTATCTCCTGATATGTTGATAGTTTGCTAGACTTTGCAGGAGCCTCCTGTATGTGATTTAGGGTCAATTTACAGACCAGGAGATAGAAACTTCTAAAGTAAGTGAACATCAGATTGAAAATGAAAACATTGTTTTCTTGCAGTCTGAGTTACAGCCAGGGCTGTGTAAACAGAAACAAGTGACTTAACTCCTAAATAGCTTAATGAAGCAGATTCGGTGTATAGATCATGCATCTGAAGTCTCACTGCTCATTTCTCTGTTAAAGTTTTTTTGGTGGCTGTAAAGGCCCATTACACATGGTTTTGTTTTTTATTCAGGGTAACAGATTTACAGAACTAGTAACTATGACCAACCAAAGCCCTTGTGTAAAAGGCACACTATTCATGGACACTGAATGAAATGTATCTGTATATTTTACACAACAGCCAACTGTTCCAATCAGGGGACTCAAAATGGCAAGTCAAATGTTACTTGCCAGATCTAAAACTTACTGGCAACTGCAGTGTTTCAATTACATATGACAGCCGAGACTATGAAGTCTGAAATAACAGCCTGGAAATAATTTCCAACTAAACTATGCCTTAGTGATTGGAGTCAAGGGTGCATGAGTAGTGGGGTTTCAGGGTCTGTAGCGGTTTACCGGTTCTAAAGGCACGCAGGTGCATAACATTTGACTGTGACAATACACTACTGCTTTCAAACAGCACAGTGCAGTGAGAAAAACGTGAATGCTTGCCAGGGCTGAATTTTCACTGTCCAAGGCAGGCGGAAATTTTAAACACTGCAGACAATATTACCTTTGCCAGAGATCTGAGCCCTAGTTATTCAAGAGCCAGTGAGTCAAACTGTGCAATAAAATTAGAATTAGCTATTGGGTGCCAGCACCTTACCTTTCATTGTATCCAAAATAAAACAGGACTCATCTTGAAAGTTTTGAATCATCTATAAAGTAAAAAATAAAAAAAATAAAAATGTAGTTTGTGTAAAGTAGACCAGGCATTTCATGTATCAGACAAAGGGATTAAACTTTCTCAATGTATATACATTAAAGGAATGCGTTCGTGCACTCTGTATATCCAAAATTACTTGAACGGCTTGGGTCTTGCTATGTTCTCAAAACATGGTCAACTGAAGAATTTACAGGGGAAGAACTATCACTTCACAACAGGTTGGTTGTATATACCAGGGTTTACCAGACACTTCCATTTCAAATAAAGATATAATGCACCATGTGAATCCCCTGGTAGTTTGGCACTCTATCACTTCCATTCAAAAGCTTACTAAAAGCTCCTTTCCAGATTTCATGAATGGCGTCCCAGACATAACCACTAATGCACACTGTCATGGCTCTTTCTCAGAAAGCTCTAAATGAACCTGTTAAATGTTGGAGGACGGATAGTATGTGCCTCCAAGCAGGCACAAGCAATATAAATCTTGCGATATCAGTCAGAGAATGTGGATTTCAAAACTGTAGTTATTTAGGCATATCGATGCAGCTATAGCATAAACGATTCAGAGTCCCTTTAATGCACTTTATATGCTACCTTTTTACTGTAAAAGAGAATGATGAGTGGCCAAGGTAAATCTAGTTTCTCTTTCTGAAAATCATTAATCTGACTATTATATACATCAAAATGACTTGAAAGTTGTCACAACTTGGGTGCTAAGAATGTCATCCCATTTGGAGACTTTCTTCAACCCAGCCTGTTTTCGTGGTTATGATGCTTGGAGTACCCTGGTTCTGTTTTACAGTAATTAGGCAAAGCGTTCTGAAAAGATTTATCATCTTACCTGGGTCTCTGCTGGGAGTCGAGGGTCATCTATAGCTGGTGACATAGATCTGACCCCTGCAGAGACGCAGAAGCTGGATGCCAATACATTTATAAGCTGAGAGCACCAGCTGGTAACTCTCATCCAATGAATTCAACTCTGTTCATAGCAATATGCACAGAATTGTCATTAGCCAGCCTGGTAACTCTTGTTACGTGTTGGCTAATGATGCCTCAAGGAAACAAACCACAGGTGCAGTTACATATCCGACAGGAAATGGATTAAGCTTCATAAGAGCAGCTTTTCCAAGGGAAATACTGCACATATAGGCTACAGGCACTATGATCACTTCAAATCACTGATGTGGTGATGGTGCCCAGAGTCACTTTCTACAAAAAAAAAATAAAGAAAAGGGGAGTCTGAATGTATTGTGCCAGTGTTTTTAAGGGCTAGTCTAAACAAATTGATGCACCATGCATTTCTTCAAATCATTATACAAATTACTTTTAATGGTGGGAGTGTTTCCATAACGGTTTCTAATTAACATTAAAGAAACAATAGTAAGACCATTTCAATTTCACTTACATGTATGCAGCATTATTAAGGCTTTATTAGAGCCTGACAATTGTTAACTCTTCTTTCATTTAAAATACAGTTTATGGCAAATTGACTGTGCTGCTTAGTGGCTCACTCAAGTCTGTAAAGTTATGCACTTTGCCAAGTGATGGAATAAATCAGTGATTTAATTTGAAACATTCCACCCATGTCAACACGGATTTGGCTGTATTGTTCATTGTGCCGGTAACATATATTTGTAATAATACCCTTATTTCTGAAATAACTGCACTAGATGTAAATGGAATGTAATAAGCAGTTAAAGGAAGCACTTTAGCTTGCTGAAGTGATTTGTGTGTGAAGAGCAAGCCCCCTTTCTAACATAAATAAGCACTTTTATAACAACCTTGTTACACATACCAGCTGTCATACATCTCACTAAATCAGGATAGTTGAGCGATTGCAAGTCAAGATTTTATATACCTCCAAAGAAAGACATGCAAAACTAAATTTCATGCATATTTTCTTTGTGGTAGATCTAATTTTTATTTATTAATTTATTTTTAAGATTTATGGCATGGTGTATTACCTCATCGCTGATAAGAACATGAATGCCGGTGGGCCCTTGTTTGTAGATCTGGTTGATCTGATGGGGAGAAATGCTGAAGAGCTGTGCTATCTTTTCAGTCAATTCGACTGATGTCAGGTCTTCCAAATAGATTGCATGATATACTGCAGGGAGAAGTATCCAAAGAGACCGGCATAAAATCATCAACATTTGAGCATGAAACAATATTCGTCAAAGACAGCAGATTACCTTGAAGACTGCAAAGAGGTAAGCGATATGGGCAGGGGTGCATTCGCAACAAGCTGCTCAAACATTAGGATTTTACTTGCATTTTTTAATCCTCTGGAATGCATCAAACATAATGTAAACACTGCCTAGAATGGAATCCTTACATAAGGTGTCAAACTGCTGGGCAAACAGTTGTCCAAGTACTTGCCTTGGACAAAGAGTGGAGATTCAGCAACATTTTAGCAGAGTTTTCAGCAATAAATTAAAGTAGTTCTGTTTTTGGAAATTGTCTATATAGCATGTGACATTTTAAACTTTTATTTTTTTATTTTTATAAACATAAAAGTTTCTCCCTATCAAAACAAAAGGGTCACGGTTGACTTTTCATGTTTATAGGAGAGACGCATAACAAATTACAGATTCTGATTGGCTCCTGATATTCACAGTCTCTCTGAAGCTTATAAGAAAATTGTAATGCTGTAACATATGACCACTTAAATTTACTATAAGTTTTGTTAGTAGTTATAAATAAAAAACAAAAGAAAGCACCATTTCTCACCAAAGAAAGCACCATTTCCTGGCTCTCCATTTTCATGTTTTTGCTGCTCTTGCTCCCTCAGCTGCTGAGACTCCTGGCAAACGTAAATAGTCAGCCTCGGCCGAACCATCCTGGGGATTGGGGGTGAGGGAAAAATGACCAACGAGCTCTACAAATGGGAACCATAGACCAAGGATCGTGCGGCACAGCAGCAAATATCCTTGTCCATCCTAATGCTATGAGAAATACACTAACAACTACAACACATGTACTAGCCAAGCGGGCAGACAAGTCACTTGCAAAGAGGTTCAGAGGCAGCATCCTGGTAAACACTTCCAGTGTTGTATACTTATACTAATAAAAGCTTGTGTGTGCCTTTATATGTAAACCAACAGCTTTAAGAATTTATTTGACTCTTAAAATCATGCTCAGTGGACCAGGAGCATCAAGCAAAAGTTATTAAGAAAATAGAAAGAAAAGTCAAGCTCTAAAGTTTGGATGGCATTATATGATAAACTTGATATTTAAATGGACATGTTTAAAACCCTGTAATGCAATGATCGTTAGCTGTGCATTGCATCGTGTGCTATCCTCATGGCCAGGCAGGTGTTGGAGAATCCCAATCACTCATTACATATGAGCATTTCTGCCAAACTGGACTGTAGGTGGAGCTGTTACAGATTTACAGTTATTAAGTATGGTTATTTTCCATGTTCCCTAAATATCTTTAGAAGATATTAAGAGTTTGTCGTTCTCCCTAGTACACTAATGCCTTGAGTATATTTTGAATCCTGTTTAAAGTGAAACCATAAATCAGGGGTAGGTAACCTTTGGCACAACATGGGAGATGTAGTACACAACATCTGGAGTGCCAAAGGTTGCCTACCCCTTGCCATAAAGGCTTCATCTCATTGAAGTGTTTATAGTGTCTAGAGTCCCTTGGTGGTGTCGTTCCATTCAACATTAAACCACTTTAATGCTTAATGAGAGCCCTCAGCAATTCATCCTGGGTGCGGCTTTTGATAATGAGATAGCATAAGCCTGAGCAGCAATAGGTGGCTGTGATTGGCTGAGAGTGTCAGCTGACCCCTTTCAGCCTATCATAGTGCTATTTGCAGGTATGAATCAGTATGGCTGCAAAAAATCTCTGCTTTAACCATCATCCCAGTTGGTGTGGGCTAGAGGAACATAATTTCCAGTTAAGTTGCTCAAAATAGGTTTTACACTATGTAGTAGGACAGTGCCAGGGGACTCCAGGCATGATAAACAATTCAAGGAGATGAAATTGTTATATTGCCTACAGTGTCCCTTTAAGTTCTAAGGAGTGGAAAGAACTACAGCCCTGCAGTTTAAATGGACACCCCAGCAACAACATGAAGGCTGACCATACTGAATGAAACATCATCCAGTTAGATGGAAAGCACATGTCAAGGCAACTCACCGGGCTTTCAGTGCATTAAACAGTCGAATGCCATCAGCAGGACCGCATATTTGAATGACATCGTCTCTAGTTAGTTTTAATAAATCTGCACCTGGAGAAATTAAAGAAATGTAATTTTCAAGGCCTAAAAACATTCAACTTCTCACAATGTGTAAAATAAATCAATAAGTTATCCCTCATTCTTAATACCGAAGTAGTAACAACACACAGACAAAGCAGATTTAAATAGATTTTGACTACTGGATGCTTAGCAGGTGAGGGTGATGTGTGTATTCTGCTACGGTTTAAATATGTCAAAATTACCAGAAGTGGTTTTAGGTGCCTTCTGGTTTACAGGTCATATCCCCTGTCAGATTTGGCAAGTTATTAAATAAAAAAAAGTTACATTTAAAAGAATGAAAAATGATTTCATAGTTTTTATCCCTCTGGTGGCAACTTAACTTATTTGCAATGTATTTCCAAATCTACAAATGAAGGTCACTGACATTTGAGAGGTTAATGGACCACAGTTAAGCTGAAAGGTGTAGTTTAAACCCAACTCACCAAGAACATGTGTGGTTATCATGTGATTGGAAAGCTAGCGTTTCACAGGTTAAATTTGGAAACATTTGTGCAATTCATTTCTAGTCATGTATGGTGTTAATTCATAGAGAACAAGCCAATTCAGGAATACAATGGACGACTCAAAGACAATTTTACAGTTGAACACACAGAACTGTCCATATGCAGGGTTAACATTTGTTTAAATGGTTTATATCTTTTTAGATTTTTCATTAACATGACCACCAGTATCCTGTGCTTGAGTTTGCGTGTCCCATCATGATTAGGAGCACAAGCACAAAAACAAAACAAAGAAAGGTGGAAGTGTTAACACTTTATAAACATTATACTAAGACAACCTCCATAGATAAAGGCAGTCAATAGATTTTTTATTTTTTTATTAAAAAAATTAAAAAAAAAAGAAATTCGCTTTTAAACTACTGCAAGGCTTAGGAAAATGGGTACACAAATATAGAAAGAAGATAGATAAGAGTTGTGGGCTATGTTTATATTATATATGATGTATTTTACAGCAAAATGGTTTTAGGAATTCTTGTTAACACTGCATGTGAACAGCACTTAAAGTTTAATTGCAAAGTTGTCCATTTTAGGAATGTAATATAAATACATTTTCTGCTATTTTAGATTTCACCAAAGTGGAGAACGTGACCTATCATGGTGGTGTGTGTAGTGCCTGTGAAGGACAGGGAGATACAAAGGGTTTAAAGGGAGGAAGTTGAGGGTACAAAAAGGTGCAGTGGGGTAAGAGTTTTCGCTCCTAGTGAGTTACCTGAGAAATTTGTGAAAAGCCGCGAGAATGCAGCAAATCTATTTCTATGTAGCCACTGTTGTGCCTCCTGAGGGGTTGATGTAGGCAAGAGGTTCTACAAGAGAAACGCATAAAGAGAGCTCCACAAAACTACAGTCTGAACATTAAGTAGCAATCAGGGTCCCAATAAAAAGGGCATTTTCTCTAATAGAAGACAAGACGTTCAGCCTGCATGAGGTAGTTATGTGGACTGTCACACTTTAATTTGCCCTTGCAAAACCCAGTGTCATCAGGTAAAAATAATTCAAACATTGCATTTCAAACGCAATCTTTACGGATAAAATAGAAAGCAGCATATGAAGAGGACCTTTTTGCTCTGAAATTCATGGACTGATCACCAATATATTGATCAATAGTCAAATAAAGGGGCAGAATTAGCTAAACATTTTACACCTTAGTTAGGTTTGTTAGAGGGGGAAAAGGGCAAAATGTTTCTAAGTCCCCAAAATAAACCACTAGCATTACGTGCAAAATGCAATATTTATTTAAACATACATTTTACAAAGTTTTTCTCTTTTACATTTAAGAAAAGATCTTCAGTAAATGAAATTTTTATTTTTTTTAAAAGGTATAGCTAGTAAACATTTTACAGCACAAATGGTTCAGTCAACTTATTATTGTGACATTTCTGGCATCCCTTAAATGTATTTTTTGTGGCTCATTAACATGAAATGTTTGAAGTTAGGGCTGTAAAAGTCCTTTCAAACCAGTAAATGAGTTCATGTCAAGCACTGACAATCTGCCGTTCTTCAACCGCTCATAAATTACAACAATGTGGGTGGGCAAAGGATACCAGAAATTAGAATTAGGTTGAATGACTGTTCCAGATTACAGAAGTGACGACCATAATGCCCCTAAATAACCTACAAAACAAAAAAAAGTCTGGGTATTAATCAGTTTCACAAGCAGTGAAAACAGCTTAACAGGGGGCAAAGTTATGTCCATTTTGCATTATGGGTGGGTACAAGCACCCTCCTGATTTTTGTATTTTACTGAAATAGTCTTTCCAGATAATTGTACTTTGTTCAATTCTTTTTGATATTATTGCTTCAATTCACACAATACGCAAATGCACCTTGTACAAAAGTACCTTATCTTGTTCTGTAATTTCATTATGTAAACAATTTTGTTGAAGAAAAATCTATAAAGATATTCAAAAAAAAAAAAAGAAATTAGAATCAAGATCAGCTGAAGAACACCAGGTTGCAGACTTAAAGAATAAGTTACGAGGTGATACTAGTCCACCCTATATATTTACACAGCAGTAAACCCAACTTGCCTGCATTAGCAAATATTGTAACCATGTTCCATTTTGTCTCCATGCACCAGCTACTTTGCTGCTTGTTTGCAGTTCAAGAAAAACCTCTACATTTCTAAGTTAAGTACCTGAACGGGTGTTATTCCTGAACTTACATCTACGATTGGAGCGGGTGGCTCAGGAGGATCATTTGGAGAGCCATTCCTGGAGACAAAATATAAAATTAAAGATATATGCGTAAACATTAGGGAAGACAGAGACAAGTTATCAGCAAGTTTCCCTTCCTTTAGTTTGGCTTGCATCGTCTACTTTTTTTTATTTTACACAAAATGAGGCTGGGATAAAAAAAAACAAAAAAACAAAACAAAGGGAAGACAAAACAAAACAGCTCTTACCCTTCACCAATACTAAAACTGCTGTGAGATGTGTTGAACCCTGGTGAAGGAGCATTAGGGACATACGTTATCTCTGGCCACGGTGAACACTAGAAAATAAAACAAAAATTCATATATCAGGTTTCAGACTATAAACCATGGAATAATCTGCTAAATTCACATATGTTTCACTATATGATTGCTTACGGTCTTGGTCATCAGACAAACCGTGAAATATATGTACAAAGGTGGCTGTGATGTCATTTCTCACAGCATTTTCTCTTCTGTACTTGCCTAGAAGTTCAACACAGATAATGGTACGGCTCATCACAATGTACAGCTTAAAGGGACACTATCACATTAGGAATACAAATCTATATTTTTTAATGCTATATAATCCTTGTAATCTCCTTCAGGGCTGCCACCTGCTCCTACCATAGCAGAGAATTGGGGACTGGAGGAACATGCGCTGCACACACCATGAGCTGCCAATGATTCTGTCAGATTCATTGAATGCATTAATTCTCTATGACAAGCCATCACGGCATGGCGCATGCCATCAAGGTATGCCAGGAACTTACATTCCCAGTCCTGCAATCCTGAGGGTCAGAAGGTGTGGCTTTAAGCCACGCTTCCAAACCGCCTAATAAAACAAAACATTTTGGGCAAATTAAATGGTGGAGCTACTGTAGGCAGCACATCATCAATTAGCTGACGTAATAATGAGTGCAGTGTTTAGGAATAGATAATTAGTTGCTGAAAAATAAGGAGCAGGAAGATCAAGTCTACATGTGCTAGGCTAAGGGAGGCTGTCCTGCTGATCTCTCACAAGGCCATGCAATAACAGAAACTGCATATTTTACTGCATCCATAAGTCAATGTGTTTACCAATCTGAGCAAGTCACTGATTTACTGAAAGCTGGAATCTGCCTCCCCTGTTTTGTTTGCAACTCCTATTTTATTTTTTCTTTAAGTGGAAAAAAAAAACACTTTTTTTTTTACATCACCAAAACACTTTCTATTCGATTTAGATCAATTTTATTGATAGAAGAACAATTTACTTAACATCTTGAAAAGAAAGGGATATAAGAATAAGTAATGTTTTATGTTGCCTTTGCTTTTGAGAGAGATCAGCAGTAGGGCTAGAGAGTTAACGTGCCCAGTGAATAATACAAATAGTGAAAGTAATATAAAACATGAATATAAATACCAGCGAAATAATGCTATTACCATATAGCACAAACCTGTAACATACAAGAATAAAAACATTGTGTAATATATCAAGATATAACAGGCTATGTGCTATTTTTAGTACTTGTATAGCCTGTTATATCTTGACATATTACACAATGTTTTTATTCTTGTGTTTTACAGGTTTATGCTATATGGTAATAGCATCTCATTGTACTTATATTCATGTTTTAGATTACTTACACTATTTGTATTAGTCACTATGTTTTTGGGTGGTTTGGAGTGACACCATAGTGTGTGTAATTTGTTGCACTGCATTAGCACTTTTTTACTGCTGCACTTTTCTGTGTATTAGATCAGATACATGTTCATGACGATAACATGTTCTATCCATGTCTGAATACCTTGCTTGAGAGAGCAATTCAAAAGAGATGAAAGTCACAGGTTTGTTTTTAAAACAATATAGGGCTAACAGCTCGAACAAAGGCTTTACTGACTATTTGTTTTCATAGCTATGGCTTAAATATGTTGCAAACATGCTTCTACAGCACACACAATTTTAAAGTTTCTTTTGCGCATCTGTCTTAGCAACCAGCATGAAAGCACCTGCATATAGACTTGTTCTTATCGCTTCAAATAACTGATGGTATGTAGTCTAAATGTAATTCCTAGCCTGAACATTTAAATTCAGTATTCTGAAAATAGGTGCTTCGAGGTTGCTCATTTCCAAAAGTGGAAAAGGGTTGGCTGTCAAATCCAGTCCTTAAACATGCCAATATAGGAGTAACTGATCGGTATAGTCACCTTTGGCAAGTATGATTTTACTTCTAAATATGATGGTCTACATATCTCTTTCACGTTCAGGACAGCATCAATTAGCGATAGTGCCGATGGGCAGATTCGTGAGATCAATATACATCGTCCCAAAGAAATCAAGCACTGAATCCCAAATGTGTCTTTTTCAGACACGCTCTGTAGTGATCCTATGTGAATGCCTTTCCAACATTAGAGCACAAGAGAAAATTGTGTTAGATTACCCCTTTTGTGCTCTGAACCAGAAATACACAAGGGAACAGACACAGCGACCTATCTGCAAAAAATGTAGACTGAGCTGGCCTTTGGGAAAGAAAGCTTGACTAAGTGAAAAGGGCAAGAAATAATGGGACGAGACGTGAAACTTAAGAATTCTGAAAGTTATACAGGAAATTAATGTTTAGTATTCAGTTATCCCACGTGATAAAATAGAATTTGACATGCACAGCTGTTGCAGATAAGCATTTACCTCTGTGAGAATGGTGGTTTCGTAAGAAGGCTGGTATTTCTCTTTCTCCTGAGGCGTTCGTTTCTCCATCTTTTCTCTGTCAGTTTTCTGTTTTCTATCAGCTCCTTTGGGCTACATATTAATCAACAAATATAGAAATATATATAGATATATAGTGATCTGCTTTACTGCAGAGTTCATTAACCCTTCAAAATAGAATGTCTATTTATAGATCGCATATAGGGAATTCAAATAGGCCTCCATTTCATCACAGGGACATGCCAAAGCTTTCTTTTAATAGTGAATTCATTTTAGTAACCGTCTATTTATCTGTAAAAAATAAGCTTTAGTTTAACACTGCAAATAAACTAATAAACAAAGCCTTGGGATAGAAATGCTGCGTAAACCCATATGAACTTCCCCTCCACAACAAGAAAAGGCCACTTCACTATTCAATTAAAGAGACATTGCCATGACTCCAACTTGTGTTGACCTTTTTATGTGATGCTTCATTGTCCTTTAAATGTATAATAAATACTTAGCAACCGATATCCTTCCCCACCAGAATGCACGCTCTCCTTCTCAGCCTATGTTCTCTCTGTGCTAACAGATATAACGGATGTTTGCATTAAAATGATTAGATGGAGCTGCAACGTTTCAACATAGTGATGTAGAATTATAGATTAACATTTTATTTTTAGACCTCTCAAACCTATATTTGTTAAATATAATAAATAATTGGCCAAAATATAAAAAAAATCCTGTTAAATTACTTCTTCAATTTAAGGCACACTAAGTTTCTCACAATCTATTAGGGTTGAGAACAATTCCTTTAAAAATAACTACATCCTGACTGCATGTTTTGAGAGAACTTGTTTGTGTCCTTTAACCAAGGTCAGATAAGCCCTCAGGAGAAGAATCGTAGCTTTTAGTGCTAGCAACAAATTCTTCTCATTAACTTCAGTAGCACAAGACTGAGAGCAAAGAAACTTGTAAGCATTCCAGCTTCTGTAGATTTCTACTCTTATGTTGCTTAGCCAGCACCTAAGCTGGCCAAGCTTTATGGATGTTTTAGCAAGCATCAACTTAATGAATGTTTTCCCCTCCATGAATGTTACACATTGAGTAGACAACCAATTAGACAGAAAATGAAGGTGACATTCAAGATAGCAATATGTCCAATCTAAGGAGACACCAGGATATACACATCAACACGCACGCGGGCGCGCGCACGCACACACACACACACTACAATGTGTTAAGTGGAAAGCAAATAAAGTTTGAAAACATGAGGAGTTTGATGACAGTGTTTGGCTGTAATGCAGCCTTTTCTGCACATATACTGACTTAGTGGGCCATTCCCAGATTACAAGTTCCAAGTGAACTGAAGGTCCAGTATTCAAGAACTTCAATTTATATTTAAATGATAAGAAAGTGCCAGAGGCCAAAAGTTGAAGTCTGGCATTGAAAGAAGCAGCCACCTGTTGCAGAATAGTGGCTAAACCAGTTATACCTCCATAGAGGAGAACATTTCCTAGAATAAGCTACTGTAACCCCAAGAGGTTACAAGATATTCACTGGAATTCATTAACGCATTTCCTCTAACATGATAATAGACATCCTGATCTTTTACCCAACTAAATGAGAATACCATGTGTAGCACAGAACATAGAGGACATGTGAGCCTTTATTGCATAAAAGTTGACTGCCAATCTCTTTCAAATTCCATCCATTTACAATATACACTGTATAATATTGAACAATGTCATTTAATTATTGGTGACATTGGTCCACACCTTAAAGACTTTGATCTGACAGCTAGCCGAATGGATATGTTCAGTATATTCCCCATTTTCATTCTCTTTAAAAGTGTCTATCTGGATCCGGAATGGAACTCCTTTCTCCCCTCCATGCTTTCTCATGGTGAACTCCGTGCTGATACAGTGAACCTAGAAAGAGAGGCAACTCTTATTAAAGGAATAGTTTTAAAGCGGTAAATAAAAATGTGGGACTTCTATAAGTTATGCAATTTTTTTGCCACCAATTGAGGTGCATAAATATATTATAGAACAGGGATAGGCAACCTTTGGCATTCCATATGTTGTGGCTGCTAGAGGTGCTTCCTGGGGCAGTGCTGCACAGTGAGCAGTACTGACATTCAGTGTCTCCACCCTCTGCAGACTCTGAACTTTCCTCATAGAGATGCATTGATTCAATTCATCTCTATGAGGAGCTGCTGATTGGCCAGGGCTGTGTTTAGCTTGTGCTGGCTCTGTTACTTTTCTGCCTACTTGACAGTCTCAGCCAATCCAAAGCTTTCCTATGTTAAAACATTGTGATTGGCATAAAACTACTTCTGAAGAGGTCAACAAAGCAGGTAGGTCAGGGGCAGAGCCAACAGCAGTAGACTAGAACAAAGGTAATATGTTGCTATATATAGGCGGGTAGATGGTGGTTTTAACACTATAGGGTCAGGAATACAAGTTTTTTCCATTAAGAGTCACTCGACACTGCAAGTTTGGAAGGTCCATGGTACACTCATCAATGGTTAATATCTACTTGCCAAGGCTACATTTTAACACGCCAATGGCTAGTGGTAATTTTGAGCCCTGTCTTTATATTCATAATACTCAGTTCTGAAGTTTGCATAATGAAAAAATAATGCCACTAAGGGACATGAAATCAATTCTATGTTGCAAAACGTATGTGACAATATAATATCCATTGACATATAGCCTTTAAATCCACATCCAATGTATTTTTAACAAACTAATTCAGAACACATTTCACTCTCTTGGAACAATGTATGTTGTATTGTTCTAATGTACAAATATCCAGGACAACAACCCACAAATTATAAAAAAAAAAAGTTGCCAAAATGAACAAATTCACAAGGATGAGGACTTGGAAATGGGAATACATCCTTCTTAAACACAAGTTTGTTATGAAAACAAAAGAATGTGTGAAATCAGCAGCACAAACAGATTAAATACAAGGGTATAAAAAGAGAGGGGGAGACTTGCTTGTGAAAAGAAGGCCATCTCTGACAGGGTTATTCAGTGAGAAAATAAAATGAAATTCACACGTTAGACCAAAGTAGCTAAACTGGAATCATAGGAGACAGAATTTTTCAAGTTATGCCCAAGACTACTGCCTGGGTTTTGCGAAAACTAATAAAAAAATTATCTTCAACTACACCTCATTTTGTGAAAAGGTATTATATGCATTTAAGAGTGCAGATGTGTGGTAAAAATATAAAATAAAAACCAAATACAATTTAACGGGACACTAGAGTCACAAAAACAACTTTAGCTGAATTAAGCAGTTTGTGTGTATAGAATATGCCTCAGAAGTTTCACTGCAAAGTCACTGCCATTTAGGAGTTAAATCGCCGTTTCTGTTTATACAGCCCTAGCCACACCACCCCTGGCTGTGATTGACACAAACTGCATGAAAACAAAACAATTTAACTTTCAGTCAGATGTAACATACTTTAAAAGGTTTTCATCTCCTACTCTGTACATTGAACTTTAATTACATACAGGAGGCTCCTGCAGGGTCAAGCAAACTATTAACAGTGCAGGAGATAAGAAATTCTAAATTAAACAGAATTTGCAATAAAGGAAGTGTAAACATTAGATGTCTCTTTGCAGGAAGTGTTTAGGAAGGCTGTGTAAGTCACATGTAGTGAGGTGCGGCTTTTGTTGTATTTGTGATTTAACTCCTAAATGGCAGAGAATTGAGCAGAGTCTGCAGCGGTATGACCTGTACACCAAAACTGCTTCATTAAGCTAAAGTGGTTTTGGTGAGCATATAATGTTCCTTAAAATCAATCTTTTTTGCATACATAATGGTAAAAAACAATATATTTCTCTTATACCACAATGATGGACAGGTGACTTAGCGCAGCATGAACGGATACTTACTTGAATGAACACAGATGTTCTTTTTGATGGGTCCCACAGAAACTCAACAGTGTTCAGTTGGTTTGGATTAGATCTTGGGTCTATTATACCCACGGACATGGGAACATCTGAAACATATCAAGTTAGGCTATAACAAAACTATTGATTTGGTAAAATATATCAGACATTCACAAAATATAAACAAAGCCCAAATGCAGTACCAATGGTAAAATGCAATGTACACTGCATTGCAAATCGGGAAAGAAGGGGAATTTCAGAATAGTTTAATACTTTAAATATAGTACAATTCCATTATCTGTTATTTCATTTTTCTCCAGCTACTTCTGGGGAATAAGTAGTGTAGAACCAGGAAAGCATGTTTTCACCTTGCCCACAATTCAGTATGTTTATATATTTTTATAACAATATAGACCAAATATTGTCTTTAGAGACTGAGGGACGTACTTGGCCATCTTTAGGATGAGATCTGCTTTGTGAAGTACAAATTCACACAGATATTCCCTAAAGTGAATAATGGCCAATAATTCAAAATGTAAGGACAAAATAGCCAAACTGGAAATATCCTCTGTGGCGAAACCGACCTCGCCACTGGGCATTGGAGAAGACTGATTGCCAGCCTCCTGCCATGTGACTATGGCCCCTGGGATGTATTACCCTTTAAAGACATTTTTTGGGAATATTGTATTTTATTATGCAGATGCTGGCCCTTTAAGAACCATCTGGGGACATACTGTGGAGTTACTGGGTGGCCACCATTTCATGTATCAGAGGCACATGGTGAGAACAATGGATGAAGCACATGGTGAGAACAATGGATGGCGGCCATTTTAACTCACAGACACTGTGTGGACTTTTCGACACGGTGCCATCTTGCTGGTATTTGGTGCACAGAGACATCGTGCAGTAGTTTTAAACTATACAACGGGGGGCACATTATACAGTAATTATTTTTTATATAATCTGTATATGTTCTGTGGAATCTGCATTAAACTGTATCTTCCAAAGTACTGAACGGATCTGAGTGAATTTTGGATATGTGGTTCACCCAGATCCCCAAGGATATACTTTTTATGGGGTTATTGCATGTTTTGGGGTCCCTGTGATGTGATAATGAGATTAACCATTGTGTTCAGTAATTATATCACAGGCAGAGGGGAGGATTTTGTGTGGGAGTGTGTGTGTATTGTACGGATTGATTGGCTGTGTTTCAAAACCCTGTGGGCAGTACTATATTTGTGGATTGTGAATAAAAGAGGCTGTATGTGCCAGTCCAGTGAGTTCCTGCTTAACCCTCAAAGTGAAGTGTCGTCTCATTATTGGGGGAGGATTTATTGTATGCTGTTCCAGTTTGACTGCTAGGAGTCCAAACCCCTCCGTATGGTTTTTGGCCTATTCAGCTGTTTATAGCATTCATATGCTTGAGAGAAGGTATACGCTTCTAACCCTATAGCGTTCATTTATCTAAAAAAAAGGAAGGAGGGGGTTCCACTTTAACTTATATAATAAAATACTTTCTGAGATCAAGTGCTTTAGATTATTCCTGCAAGGTCAAATGCATTTGAAATTATAAAGTGCTTCAGAAACATACAAATACAGACACACACGCGAATGTACAGAAATGTGTACAAACAAATTAAGACCCAATACCGCACAGCTATATTTAAGCCATAAGTAAAGAGGGAGTTCTCTGCCCTCTAATAATTTGAAAGAATGAGAAGAAGCAAAGCAAATGTTATTACAACATAATGTTCTATCTTCCTACCGATATCAAGTATTCTGTCTCCAGGCCGGTTCCATCGCCAGCCTTCCAGTTGCTGGTGCTCTGTATACTGTAGACGTCTGTCATGAAACACTACACGGAAGATGCTCTGGAGGAAATCAAAAATGAAAAAGAAAACATATATTAAAGTAACAAAACAACTTTGAAATAGAGAACACCTAAAAGCAGAGGTATTAGAAGACGCCTTCAAGAACCATCACTTTCCTTGAAAAGTCTAACTATGCAAAAGGATGAGTTACAGACCAAAATCCTTTCCAATGCAAAGCAGCAATGCAGTCTGCGCATGTAAAACAGTCAGTGGTTAGCACTCTGCTAAACAACCACAGGCCGCTCTATAAAAGGTCTTTACGCATGTGGTAATAATACTTTCTTAGAAATCAAAACAAAAACAAGTTTCTTAACTTGAAATGGTGAAGAAAACAATGAATTGAGGTATAGGAAGACTCTACACACCTAAAGCACATCAGCAGCATGTGCTTTATGTTTCTGGAGCCAGTCACATTTATGACAGTTAATAGAAGTGCCAATTTTGATAGAAATTGTACTTTTATATTTGGGGTCAAAAACACCATCCTGGCTGTCATACAGCCGGGGGGGTTCTTCACAGAGCTAAAAGAAACAGCGGACGTGCTGTATTACAGTCACGGGCACAGAGGCTTTTCAATGAAAAGGGGTTGAACGTACAAGAGAGGCAACTTTTGCAAGCAGTTTTCAGATATCCACTCCAAAACGCTGAGATAGATGCACACATTTTAATGGGGGTATAGCTACTATATGTTAAAACCAAATGTAGAAATATATTTATATTTTTTCTAAAGCAATATCTGAGGTTACTAAATATTTGGTATGTGCTTGGAATAGACAGTGCGCTAGCCTTAGGGTTGCCAAAGAACAATTAATTCTGTTTTGCAGTATTTAGAAGCACAGCATGTGGATATCGCAATCTACCTGGTGTGAAATTAATCCTGGAATTCCTCCTTAAGTATAATTCTTCCATAAATGCAATATATATCTATATAAGCCGACTTGCAGGAGTTTAATTAGCCCAAAAAACAAAGCAGTAAATCCGTATTAATCTTGAAATACCTTTACATATATGCATAAAATCTGGGCTCTGGCACAGCCGGACAGACACTTATGCACTTCAGAGAGTTTTTGGGGGCTAATTTACCTCCTGAAATAAATCTCTCAAGATCCTAAACAAACAGTCATTAAAGGCTAAAATCAGAGGGAGATTTTAATATGAACATGGTTTTAAATTTTATAATTGTAACAAAGTACATCACAAAATTTGAGTCTTTCAATGGAGTTCTATTTCCAGGATAGACCGATAAATATACTCTCTGCATCTATGTCGCTCTCTCTCTATTTCTCTAACAAACGTCAATCACATTCTTTTCATAATGGATGTCTTTTCTGTATAGTATGGAGGCTTTAACACACTGACACATACCTTGACTAATTTCCCACTTATTTCAGGCAGTTCTCCAATTTTACGATTGTCCAACATCCGGATTTCATAAGATTGCCCTGAAAAATATGGTAATTTACAGTTTTATACTTTGATATTTTGGGAATGATTTTCATCACGAAATAATGCTCAAAATAATTATGCTAAGGTTCCTCATAGGGCAGTTGGGCTAACCTGCACTCTAGGTGTTCTTGAATTTCATCTACCATGATCCTCATGCAAGAATCACAGGGAATTTCAGTTCCAAAACATCTGGAGTGCCAATGTTCCACATCACTGCCAAGTAATGTGCAGAGAGGTGGGAAACGGAGAAGAGGAAAGCATGCCAGTGTAGCAAATCATATTATGGCTTCACAGTAGCCCAAACTGGCATGGACTCCGTAGAAAAGCCTTGGAAAGTTGCATGAGTAGAAACCACCACATGCCGGAAATGTTCTGTAATTTAAATCTTGCTTACTCCAACATTAGAAAGTTTATTTTGTTAAACAGGATGGATAACAATACCTACAAGCATCCACGTTAAAATCATAGCTATGGGGCCATTTTATGCTTTGGTACAATTTTTTTCCCAGATACCCAAGCAGGGTGCCCACTTTATAATGGATGGGCTTAACATAAACAGGGACAGTCCAAAGTCAGGGGAACCCAGAGGTAAGAGTAGTTGGTATAACAAGCAGTTCACAGAGTAATCAGGACAAGCCAAGCTTAGAAAATCCCAAAATAAACAAACTGACAAAGTCCCATAGAGAGTGATAGTTCAGCTCTGTATGGTAGACTCTGAAACAGTCTGTTATGCAGAGGGCTGGTAGAGATGGGCAGGATCAGCAGTAATAATGCTTATCTGGTAGCTAACACAGCACCTTCTCTGGGGTAACCTTTTACGGGGGCAGGAAGGAAGGGATTTGTGCTTGCCACAAGTGGTTGGACATCTTCTGATTCCAAAGAGGGAGGATTAGGTGACTGGGTCAATAAAAATCAAGAAATGGGTACGGTTTACCCATGACTGTTTTAATTATTATTATTTTATTTTTTTAAATACAGCACATGGGTATTAAAAATTGCAATCTGGCTTAAATAGATTTTCTTGTACCAGGATCTACTTGTTCAGTTCACCAGATAAGGCTGTTTGCATTGATCAGCCAAGTCTATTTCCCCATATACTTGCTGTAATCTACAATGCACTTCGGTTTTTCCAGGTGCTCCGTTCTGCCTTTAGCAGACACTGGCACTCTATTTTTGTTGTGCACTGTAGACAGCATGTGTACATCCTTATCTGTGAACCTAAGGGCAAGCACCTTATCCTGGCGTATAGCTGAAGACGATCCAGTACTGCTTCTGCCACGTATTAAGATTTGGTGGAAGCCAATGCTGGTTTTATGCACAATAAGCAACATAATTACAGCTTATTGTAGTAGTTCTGGTGAATATAATCATTCCCTGCAGGCATTTGTCTTTTCAGAGAAAAGGTAATGTTTGCATTGCCTCCTAGGGACACCTTTCGGTGGCGACTCCTCAGATGGCCTCTGGAGGTGCTACCTGGGGCCATGCAGCACTGCCGTTCAGGGTCTCCATACTTCCTTAAAGATGCGTTGATTCAATGCATCTCTATGAGGAGGTACTGATTGACCAAGCTGGCGTTTGGGCCTGCCCCAATCCCGCCTACTTTCTGATTTCAGCCAAACCAATGCTTTCCCTATAGGAACGCATTGAATTAGCTACAAATCCAATTCTGATGATGTCAGCAAGAAGGCTGATCAGGGGCAAGTTTTATTAACTTTAAAGGGGATTAAGGGGAAGCCATCTAAACGGTGGTTTTAACACTATGGGGTCAGGAATACATGTTTGTGTTCCTGAGTCTTTAGTGTTCTTTTAAAGTTCATAATGGATTTGGCAATACAAATGTTTTGATCTGGGATATAATTTTGTGAAAATTTGTCAGACAGGAATAGGATAAGTGGCTGAATTTTGCAGAGCTTTTCAATTAGTCATTCCTAGAGGGACACATTGCGTTATCGGTAAAATTAAGGAATTGCAGTATTAGCTCATAGCGATACCTCGTCATAACTCCAAGATGAAGTGCTTGTGCCAGTTGGACCGGATACTTGGCTTTTTTACAATACCCATTACTAGGGTTACAGCCCAAGTTTATTTTTCATTTCTGCAACATTAGTGGGGTGTGCAAGTTTTTTTTCTACTGTGAATGTGATTTACAGAACGGTACCGGCAGGCAAACAAATTTGTTTAACCATGAGCTCAAATATCCTGTCCGACATAAAGAGGCTAAAATAGTTCACTGGCTCCCAAACATCTACCATTATTGTGATGTCATTTGTAGCCATGAATGGCAGTATGTCTAGGACAATCAATTTGGCGGAACCCAGTTTTCCTCTGGCGCTGCGGTAAATCTCACTTTTTGAGAGATTCATTTAACTAAGGGGATGATTTAATTAATTTGCCTACCTTTCTAATACATACTACTCACAACCACCCTCATTGCCAATTTGACCGGCAGATAACAACCCCAAATAAAATGACTGTTCGCACATCAAACTGTTGCAACCAGCACTAAAAAGTTTTGCTTTTTAATTTACAGAAATAAGCCTTCCCCCGCCCAAAAATTGTCGGCTTGATCAGATACAGTATCGAACAGAACAGATGTTGTATAGTACAGCGAAGAGGCAGCAGAGAAGGGTTTAAAAATTTAAAAACTGCTGTGGCTAAAATGTTTTGTTTTATTTTCTCTTTTACTACTTTTAGCACAGTTTAAACAATGATCTCTCTTTCTTTCACCTCAGATCAAAGTCAGGAGAAGAGAGGGGCAGAGATGTTACAGCATATGTTATAGAGAGACATTGTAACCGTTATCACAGTGAAAAGCTATAAGGTGCTGAGATCGCTATCACTGTCTGCAGGGGGACTGCCAAGCAGACCCCCAGATAACATCTAGAGCTCTGGGGAGGCATGGCTAAATTGTTAGGGCATGCTATGCGCCCTGAATGGTTTTAAGCCTTCCCCCTACAGGACGGTATAGCACGCCATAATGGCTTTAAAATGTTAAAACTGAAATCCACACTGCACTATGCTAATTGCTTTTGCTTGTTTAGTAAACACTACATTCCCAGGTCAAAATACAAAAACAAACACATACGGCACTGTCACACTTAAAGGACCACTATAGGCACCCAGACCACTTCAGCTTAATGAAGTGGTCTGGGTGCCAGGTCCAGCTAGGTTTAAACCTTTTTTCTATCAACATAGGAGTTTCAGAGAAACTGCTATGTTTATAAATGGGTTAATCCAGCTTCTAGTGGCTGTCTCATTCACAGCCGCTAGAGGTGCTTACGTGCTTCTCACTGTGATTTTCATATTGAGAAGACGCCAGCGTCCATCCAGCCCGGCGGGAGGGGGACCCTGAGGGTGGGGGCACCCTCAGGGCACTATAGTGCCAGGAAAACACACACTATAGTGGTCCTTTACTTAGCATGTAAGAAATTAAAAAACTTCCAGTTTGGAACACAAAATTAAAACGGTTATAAAGTACTAAACAAGAGACAGTATGATTTTATTTTTAAAGGAAAACAGAACCTCATACTTCATGAAGCCTTATCACACTGGAAATTCTTTGTTTTGTCCTTGCTTATGTAACAACAATCCTAAATACACATTAAGGAGTGTGAGATTGGGTGAGGAATTCTGATTCCTCAAATGACCCCAGAGCAACTTTTTCAAGCTTGCTATTTTGCAACTGCAAATTAGAACATACATCAAAACATGTTACCAGGAGGGACAAATTTAGATTTCGCAGAAGATGCAATGATATAATTGAGTATCAGTAACAATTAAATAGGAGTCACAGGGGTTGGAGATAAAGAGCAAAGTTTGACTAGTCATATTTTAATGGCACATGGAGGACTTAAGGACTCCACACCCAGCTTTTAAAACGTACACTTTTCTCTAAATAAAACAAAGTGATCACACCCAGGTTACCTCCGTCTAAGATAGAGAATGGTATGATATATCTGTTAGATTTACCTTGATTAAGATACGTGAGTGTCTCCTCATGAAGTTTAACAGCAGGAGAGGTGGCAGTACAGAGAACATATTGAAAAGGTAAAATTTTGTTTTCATTTTCAGGTGGCAGACTGGACTCTTCTTGTTTGAATATAGGCAGGGCAAGTACATCACTAAGAAAGAAAAACAAAACATGCAATTAGAATAGTGACTGGTAACAAAATTGGGAGGGACAAAAAATAAAATAAAAAATATATACATACATACATATACACACACACACACTCCAAGGGGTCTTTGCACTCATAATATGCACTCTCTAAAATAAAATGGCCGGGTGCTTGCAATCATGGGAAAGCAATACACACCGTATAGATGTATGACCAGCACTCATGGAATTCTAAAGTTAAAAGGTGTAGTCTTTATTGAAGATTCATTAAAACAGGACCGACATTTCAGTCCCTGTTCGGGACTTTCATCAGGGTCAGGTTTACAATGAAAACAAAGGCACATTTATAGGAAGAAAAGCATAGATAATAATAAGAGCAGATTTCAATTAGTCAACAGTCATTCCACTAAAGACACAAAATCTATGAAGAGAAAAGGGGATATAGTGAATTACTAGAGAAAGATATTGAAATACCTAAGTGAAAAATAAGTGAAAAGACGCATTATAAAAATAAATTACCCTGGACATATGTGTCCATCATACATCATACCACAAAGTGCACTATAATAAAAGATTGTCGGGTATTACGGCAACACGTCATGCTACGTGTGGGCGGAGCACATACACACATGCGCACTCTATCATGCGAGCGGCATTAGGCACAACACCTGGGGTAAGTCAATTATCTATGCTTTTCTTCCTATAAATGTGCCTTTGTTTTCATTGTAAACCTGACCCTGATGAAAGTCCCGAACAGGGACTGAAATGTCGGTCCTGTTTTAATGAACCTTCAATAATGACTACACCTTTTAACTTCAGAAGTCCATGAGTGCTGGAGGGAGAGAGAGTATATATACATATATACACACACACACACACACACACACACACACACACACATATACACACACACACACTTAAAATAAGTTAAATGAAATAGATCTTATTAAAAAGGCGTAATCTAGGCACCATAACAACTACACAGCAATTGCTGCAGGTGCTACTCCATCAGTTCTTGTTGAAACCCACTGAGAGCAGACTTACCAAAACCAAGCACCCACAGCTGGCCCCTGCTTGACCCACTACTTGTACATGGTGATCACTATTAAATTTAATTCATATTATACTACCATTCACAGGCTTCCAATTTAAAGGACCACTATAGTCACCCAGACCACTTTAGCTCAATGAAGTGGTCTGGGTGCCAGGTCCCCCAGGTTTTAACCCTGCAGCTGTAAACATAGCAGTTTCAGATAAACTGCTATGTTTACATTGCAGGGTTAATTCAGCCTCTAGTGTGTCCCCCTGACAGCCGCTAGAGGCACTTCCCCGACGCCCAATGCGAAAATCACATTGAGCACGCAGAACATCCATAGGAAAGCATACGCATTCGGCTCCACTTGGGAGCTGACGTCGGAGGGGGATGAGAGGTCACCAGCATCGAAGGAGCCCGGCGCTGGATAAAGGTAAGTGGCTGAAGGGGTTTTAACCCCTTGAGCCCTGTGGGTGGGGGGGACCTAAAGCTTATTTACAGTCAGGAAAGACACTATTGTGTTAAAAACCACCATCTAGCCTCCCTTGCCAACCCCCCACCTCCTGCCTCTTTGGTGATCTGAGCCAATCACAATTCCCTATAGAATTTGCGGAGACTGTCATGGAGGCAAATCAGGGCAGAGCTAGCACAAGTCAAACACAGCTGAATTGAGTCAATGCATCTCTGAGGAAAGTTCAGTGTCTACATGCAGAGCTTGGAGACACTGAATGTCAGTACTGCAAATGTGCAGCACTATCCCATTAAGCACCTCCGGTAGTCATCTGAGGAGTGGCCAGTGGACATTTCACTAGGCTGTAATATAAACACAGCATTTTATCTGAAGAAACAGTGTTTACTGCAAAAAGTCTTAAGGGAATGATTTTAATCACCAGAACAAATCCAATAAGCTGTAGTTGTTCTGGTGACTATATAGTGTCCCTTTAACACCAAGGATAGACACAACAGAAACAGGCATGGCAGGGTTAAGCAAATTACAATCTTTATGAATTTCCCTAAAGTGAGAATTGTCTCAGGAAAAATTACTGAAAAGGCTATTGGAGCCTATAAGTGAAAATGCAATTTAAAATAAATTCTCAAATTCCTGGCTGTTCAGATTTGAATATCCCTGTGAGTGTATGTAATAAAGGGCGGGAGAAATTATATATTTCACATATATTTTGTAAATTAATGAAAATGCATTAGTTAGCAAATATCAAGAAGGTGGGCTTTAATTAATATAGTGGCATTCCACAAGGTTCTAAGTTTGTTTGGCTGTTTGAAGTAGCAGTTTTATATAATTAAAGCAGAGAGCTAGCGTTAATAGTCTAATTTTAATAAATCATTACTTTCTCGGTTAAACTACCCTGAAATAGAACTGTTTTAAACTGCTATTCACAACCCATATTAAGTCTGGACTGTGATAATTTAGAGATTTCATGCACCTAAAAATACTCAAGTCAACACGAACTGAAGTCATATTTAATATATAACCAGTTCTTGTACACTGGCTTCATCTGTGAATTTAAAAAACTAATTTCAAAGCAGAAAGTGTTTCCTTAGCAAAACCATACCACAAAAGCAAACAAACATAAATCAAAGGATTCCATATTCCACCATGTGTGACTGGCTGCAAATTAACAAGACAGCCCACTGAGGAGACACTGTGTCCTTAAAGGAAATGTTTACAGTCATTAATTTCATGAAACTTTAAAGCTTAGCTACAGGCAGAAAACAAGGACTGTGACACAGATACAAATTACATGTCACTGGCAGTTAGTATAAGGTCTCTCCTTTTATTCTATTTAAAAATCAGTCATGCTTCACAAACTTTCTGCCCTAAAACTAAACTTCAGTCATCACTAAAGTTAAGGGGAAGTAAGCAAGCTCCCTTAGTTGAACTGCATGCATTGTACATCAATTGCCATATTTATGTTTAAACAAACATTTTTAAAATCACAAACAGTTTTTGGGTTTTAAATAGCAGCTGAGTTTCACACATACAAAAACTCACTCTTCTTCAGTGCACACATAGATTTGCACATTTTGTAGTTACAGGTCATATACAAAAAGGAGTGCATTCTTGTTTAAAGGACCACTATAGTGCCAGGAAACTATAGGGTCTCTAGGTCCCCCCACCCTTAGGGTCCCCCTCCCGTCTGGCTCTAGGGAGTGGAAGGGGTTAAATCTTACCAGTTTTCCCCCGCCTGGCTCCCTTGGCGATGGGGACTCCTCCCTCTTCTGAGGTCTCCGGCTGAATGCCCATGTGCGCCAAGAGCCGCGCGCACATTCAGCCAGTCCACAGGAAAGCATTCTCAATGCTTTCCTTTAGACACTGGCGTCTTCTCACTGAAAATCACAGTGAGAAGCGCCTTTAGCGGCTCTCAATGAGACAGCCACTAGAGGCTGGATTAACCCATAGGTAAACATAGCAGTTTCCCTGAAACTGCTATGTTTACTTCATTAAGCTGAAGTGGTCTGGGTGCCTATAGTGGTCCTTTAAAAACTATGGGGTTTCAAATAATCATATTTTTATTTACATTTACTAGTTACCAAACACAAATTTGCTAAATAACAGAATTTCTTAAAATGATTTGCAGACTGCAGAGCTTTTTAACTATAGGGCCTCAGATACTATTAAAATTAAATTACCATTTAGCCCAAATCTCAAGTAATACATACACATGCCCAGCATGCATTCCAGTGACAAATTATTTGGCCTTGCGAACATTCACACCCAGGAATGCATTTAATCCCTGTATTCTATTCGTGCACATCTGTATTCTATTTGTGCAAGAGCCAGTAAGTGTAATTCCCAGATATGCTTTACTGGGTTTCTAGGCAGCACTACGAGCTTTTCTTTAACCCCTTAAGGACACATGACATGTCACGATTCCCTTTTATTCCAGAAGTTTAGTCCTTAAGGGGTTAAAAATCACGTTTTGCAGTTTGTTAATTTACAAACAAGGCCAATATCCTGGCACCATAACCACTGCACAAAGCTAATGTGGTTATGGTACACAGCATGTTCCTTTAATAGTTGGCTAAAAATAACCTTATATTAAATGTTTACTTTCTATTAGAAATATCTGGATTAATCAGGTTTCATTTAAATGACTTGTGTGTTTATGGAGATTTTAGTGAATGGACACATTGTGAATTAATTTTTTTTTTTTTAATTATCAAGTCATTATTATGAATGACTACTGAAACATTTTCATAAGTTAAGCAGTTGATTGATGTATATATAGGATAGGTAGGTATAGAGGATGAGGAGGTCCCACAAATTCAAAATAAACTGTACTGTTCTAGGATATACCTATATAAAACTTTAAATTTTTTAATTTAATTTTTTAAAAGTGAAACTATAGTTCTAAGAAAAGAAAGTTGTTAAAAACCCGGTCAATTACTTGAGTCCAACGTCGATCTCCCTCTGCGCTGGTTCAGGCTCCGTCTCCGCTCCTCCCAATAGCTGAGCTTCCATTAATGTTTCTCCAATAGGAAAGCATGTATAATGCTTTTCTATGGGGTTTTACATGACGCTGGATGTCCTCATGCATTGCATAGGGATGTCCTGCATCAGTTAGGCGGCCAAAAGTCGCTCAACGACCCGGAAGTCCTTCTAGTGGCTGTCTGGCAATAATTACCTGCCATGGTGTAGTTAACCCTGGCAGGTAATTATTGCTGTTTATTAAAAATTTTAATAATTACCTTTGCAGAGTTAAGGGACCTGGGACTATGCACCCAGACCACTTCAATAAGCTGAATTGGTCTGGGCGCCTATAGTGTCCCTTTAAAGGACCACTATAGGCACCCAGACCACTTCATCTTAATGAAGTGGTCTGGGTGCCAGGTCCATCTAGGATTAACCCTTTCTGCTGTAAACATAGCAGTTTCAGAGAAACTGCTATGTTTACCTATGGGTTAATCCAGCCTCTAGTGGCAGTCTAATTGACAGCCGCTAGAGGCGCTTCTCACTGTGATTTTCACAGTGAGAAGACGCCAGCGTCCATAGGAAAGCATTGAGAATGCTTTCCTATGGACTGGCTGAATGTGCGCGCTGCTCTTGCCACACATGGGCATTCAGCCGATGACGGCGAAAAGGAGGAGGAGAGTTCCCCGCGGGGGAAAACAGTTAAGATTTAACCCCTTCCAGCCCCTAGAGCCCGATAGGGCGACCTAGAAACCCTGTAGTGCCAGGAAAACTAGTATGTTTTCTTGCCACTATAGTGGTCCTTTAAATATGCATGCCACCACTGAGATCCACCAATTATACACTGGCAGTACATTTGTGAGTGTTACGATTCAGACACTCCAGGCTGCTAACTGTATAATTTTTTTATTTTTTTTTTTATCTTTTAGAGGAAAGGATTACTGTAAAAAAAAGTAAAGGTCAGGGATCTATGCATTTTATAGAGACCCGTGCACATGTCACTGGCTCCTCAACACCAACAGGTTGACTACTAAACCACAACGTAATTTGTCAATGTACATCTTGAGATCCAGAAAGTGACATTGAACAGCAGGAATGCAAAACTTTCTTTTATCTGATCCAACTAAGCATGGCCAAGGCTGTCTAACAGCTGTGGCAGAAATGAATGTGCAAACTCAGGAATTTGTGGGCATATGTCACAGAAAACATTGTTTGATCAATTTGCTTTGTCAGCCAAAATACCAATGTTCTCCTTTGTATTGGAGTTGTAGAACAAATTTAATTTTTTTTTTTTTTTAAAGTTTTGTTTTTTTTCCCCACAAGTATAACTACTAAGAAAATTCTCTTCTCTAAATTGGTGAACATCCGACAAACAATGACCTGACAAGTAAATGCAAAAACTCCATGTATTACAGCTAAGCAATTATGGCTTCCATGAGATAATAAATCACAATAAGATTAATTTGCTGCAAATAAGAACAGCGGTGAGTAAATATTTTTATTTGGGAATGTGCTGCAGAAGAATCACATGTACCTAGTATTTAAAGGGGCAACATAGTCACCAGAATAACTACAGCTTAATGTATAGTATAGTCAGTACCTACAGTCTTTTTGCTGTAAACGCTGTCTTTTCAGTAAAAAATTAGTGTTTTAATTACAGCCTAGGGACACCTCCAGTGGCCATTCCTCAGATGGCTACTAGAGGTGCTTCCTGGGGCAGTGCTGCACGACATTTAGTGTCTCCGCCCTCTGCATGGAGACGCTGAACTTTCTTCAGAGAGATGCATTGATCCAATGCATCTGTGAGGAGATGCTGATTGGCCAGGGTGGCCTTTGACTCTGCCTCCCAGCCCACCTCCTTGGCTGACAATCAAATTTGAAATGCTCAGCCAATCCAATGCTTTCCTATGAGAAATCATTGTGATTGGCTCAGATCATCACTTCTGATGATGTCAGCCAAGCAGGCAGTGTTCCCTTAATATTTTCTTGCATCATGTTCACATGAGTGGCTCTGTCACCTATAAGAAACCTTTCTCCTATTGTTTCCTCCTCTATTTCAGAATCTTTAAGATTTTTGAGCTATTTGTCTTTAAAACACAAGACAAAGTAGGCCCACAGAACGAAATTAATATTTTGTTACTGAAAAGACAAGTGTTACACAGTGCCAGAATTGCATAAAACAAAAAGGACATACAAAAAGAAAGCCAAATTTAACCCCTTCCCGACAAAAGACAGACCCGGTACGTCATGGCGGGGCAACAGTTAACCCCAGATCACGGCAATTGTGGGGTTAACACTCCTCCAGTCTGCCTCTGTATTCGAGGCAGACTGGGAGCACCTGATCGTGCTACCCCTGCAGCATTGATCGCTCTGACAGGCAAGGAGTTTAAAATCCCACCCCCTTTACCCATTTTAAATAAAAATAAAAAACCCTTTCCCTGCCAATTGATCACTGACTACAGTGATCAATTGGCCGGGACTACATTTTACTGTGATCTGATTATTTTTTTTAACCCCTTAGGGTTAACTTATTTTTTTTTGAACCCCGAGGGGTTCAATTTATTTAAATATTTTAAAATATGTTTTGCTAGCTGGGGTGGGAGTTATGGGAATTTACGGTTAGTGCTGCTTACTGCTAGTTAGGGGTTAACGGTAAAAAAAAAAAGCGGCTAATAAAAATGTTATATCTGTAAAAAGTTAAGAAAGTTTAGGAAAGTTTCAAAAAAATTAATAAGCAAAAAAAAAAGTAAAAAAAAAAAACCTTTTAAAAATGCTCATTACCACTACATCTGCAACAAACTAGAGAAAAAAAATGATCCCACATTAAGGTTCAAAACACGCCTTTTTAATTACCCCATGGTGTATTCTTTAATAAATAGTATGTGTTTGTGGCGAAGTTTGAATAACCAACCATCTAAACTACTCCAAAATGTTGCTCTCTCTTTGCTTGATGAATCTAGGATAATACCTCATAAATTGATTAATATCTGGGAGAAGGAATTCAATCTAGTGACCCCCCTTAAGGACTGGCTAACTTCTTTAACTAATGTAAATATATACATTGTTTAACTCTGACTGAATGCTATTTTAAAAAAAAAAAACTGAATGGCTGCGTCTCAAATGTGCCCCTTAAACATCCACATAAACCTGGCAAAGGTACATACATACAGGGGTATTGCTGTTCTCAGACAAAATAGCTGAGCAACATATGTAGTATTATACAGTTGTAGCACACATAAGGTTTGCAAAATATACTGTGCAAACTCACTTTATGTGTCAAAAAGGCAGAAAAAAAAATGCTTATTACCACTACACTTGGTACAAGCTAGCGGAAAAACGATCCCACGCTAAGGTTCAAAATATAGTAACATAGAATGTGACGACAGATAACAATTCGGCCCATCCAGTCTGCCTAATTTTTAAAAATACTTTAATTTGGACAGTCACACTGCTATAATACCCTAAAATGAGACATAGACCTGGCAAATCCATCTACGAAAATTCCAACTATAGGAATTGAAATAGCCTTGTCTCTTATAAAGACATTCACAGAATAGTGCCAAAGGCATACAATGGGGGTATCGTTATACTCAGCAGATGTAGCTGAACACAATATGGGGTTCTGTTAAGTAATAGCACACACTAGCTTTACGAAATACACATTACAAAAACCTTGTTATATGTGTATATGCTAAAATAAAAAAAAATAAAAAAAAACACCTTTACTCCAATATTTAGCAGAGATAGGTGATGAAATGGCTACGTAAAATGTGTCAAAATAACCTTCGGTAAATAGCCTGTGATGTCTACTTAATATGAATATATACTATTGTGTGGCAATTTTGTTTTCTGTGATGGCTACTAAAACTACAAAAACAAACATACCAACTTCTAAAATGTTTGCAAATTAAAATTTTATTTTAGTCGTATTTTGTGACCTTTAGCATTCAAAATAAGCTGAAATCCTACACATATTATGTACTCTATTAATCAAGACACAAATGAATTTATTTTGAATTACTTTTTCTAAGCTGGACATATTATGCACACGCTAATATTGCCAAAACTGTGAAAAAACTGTTTGCCCTCTAAAAAAACGCTAAATAATATGTGTTGGTGCAATAAATGACAGAGATGCAAAATGCGTTTGAATACAAAAAGCAAAAAAATGCAAAAATGGCTTGTGTCCTTAAGCGTAAGACAAGCTTCTGAAGCGGTGTCCTTAAATGGTTAAAAGTCACTGAAAATCCTACTGTAAGCAAAAAGGAACTCCTAGCTAAGCTCATTCCGATGTTGATCAAATAAAGTCCAAGAAACGTTCAATTTGATCTAGGCAGGCAGTTATATACCCTTTTTCTTTTTCCAGTAATGCCAGCCGCCACCCGTCCCCTTTACCCAACCAATGCCACATGATGATACCTGGTTAATTTAGTGATGATCACTTTGATCTAACCACATAATCAGTATACTCTGAAAGTTTTAATACTGAGTTTTGGCTGCAGGTACAGCAGGGTGGGGGCATGTTTTAAAGATACTGTGGCCAGCAACTTCCATCTTTCAGACAGTCTTTGTTCCTTTAACGCTAAATCACTGTAAGATAACCTGTAACTGCCAAAAATACATGAAATCCGAGGCTGTCACAACTTTGTATTACATTCTCACTAAAAGAAACCCTTATTGGTCCTCTTACTGAGAAAGAGGGGGGAATGGGGCGGAGAATTTTTTTTTAGCTCTTATATTAGAGCCATATATTTGCCCTCTAAAGCAAGAGATGGAAAACCACTTTTTTTTTTTTTTAAACACACTTTCTCCATAAAAATGTGCATTAGCAATAGACCACAAATCTCCCTTAGCGGAAGCAAAGTACAATGCTAGTTGAATTACGCAATACTTGACTTAAAATATCTCTGGTATGCTATCCATTAAAGTGTAATGCTTAAGGAGGAAGTATCAACAAGGGAAGCTTGTCGCACCTCTGTCCTGATGGCACAAAACAAACTGAGCAAACAAATACTCGAAAGTTCAAGGACTTTTATATCCAGAAGAGTTAAGTCTCCAGCATGAAAAAAATAAATAAATGAATAATAAAAAAATAACCACTATCCATTTTAGTGATTAGAGTGCATGTTTTATTTAGTTGGAGTTTTTACAAGTTTGTTTTATTTCATATTCTACAACTCAATCCCTCCTCCTTCTCTTGGTAGATAGAGCTAGTTTATTAACAGCTGCAAACACATGTACTTGAGCATATTGTTGGTAGGTTAGAATTAAGCCAAGGATATTTTATAGAAATATTATATAGCCAGGTAGGTACCGAATAGTACTAGGTATAATATATATATATACACACACACGCCCCGGAGCTTTATTTACATTAATTTTCTTTAATAGCTGTAGCACCTTGTCTCGAGTTGTATTTAACCCCTTAAGGACCAAACTTCTGGAATAAAAGGGAATCATGACATGTCACACGTCATGTGTCCTTAAGGGGTTAATTTTTCAAGATTCTTTTGTTTCAGGTATTGTACCGGAGGATTGGAGGAAGGAAGATGTTGTTCCTATATTTAAAAAGGGTTCAAAAACCTTGCCTGGAAATAATAGACCTGTGAGCTTAACTTCTGTGACTGGTAAAATATTTGAAGGGCTATTAAGGGATAGTATTCAGGAATTCATTGGGAAGAACTTTGTTATCAGCAATAATCAGCATGGTTTTATGAAACATCGGTCATGTCAAACTAACCTAATTGCATTCTACGAAGAAGTAGAAGTATAGATCAGGGTGTTGCAGTGGATGTGATCTACTTGGAATTTGCCAAGGCATTTGATACGGTTCCTCACAATAGGTTAATCTTCAAACTAAAAGAAATTGGTCTAGAAGAATATTCTTGTTCTTGGGTAGAACATTGGCTTAAGGATAGAGTACAACGAGTTGTCATTAATGGTAAATTTTCAGGCTGTACAAAAGTGGTAAGTGATGTCCGTCAATGTTCTGTTTTGGGACCACTTCTATTTAACATATTTATAAATGATCTTGAAATAGGCATTGAAAGCCATGTATCAGTGTTTGCAGATGACACAAAACTTTGTAAAGTAATAAAATGTGAGCAAGATATTGCTTTGCTGCAGAGGGATTTGGATAGATTGGGGGACTGGGCACTAAAATGGTAGATGAAATTTAACGTAGAGAAATGCAAAGTTATGCACTTCGGGGTTAAGAATTCACAAGCAATTTACACAATAAATGGTAGTGAATTAGGGACAACCACACATAAGAAGGATTTGGGAATTGTTATAGATATCAAATTAGGCAGCAATATGCTATGTCAATCTGCAGTTGCTAAGGCCAGTAAGGTTTTGTCATGTATAAATAGGGGCATAAATTCTCGGGATGAAAATATAATACATACAGTGATGATGGTGGTTTGCACAGTGTTTAAGGGTAAGCTGTAGTTAGTCACACAGTGGTGATGGTTGTTTACACTCTCAGTGTGAGAGCTGTCATGGATGATGGGAGCTGTAGTGACACAGTGGTGATGGTTGTTTACACTCTCTCTCAGTGTGAGAGCTGCCATGGATGATGGGAGCTGTAGTCACACAGTGGTGAAAGCTGCCGTGGATGACGGGAGCTGTAGTCACACCGTGGTGAGAGCTGCCATGGATGATGGGAGCTGTAGTCACACAGTGGTGAGAGCTGCCATGGATGATGGGGGCTGTAGTCACACAGTGGTGATGGTTGTTTACACTCACATGGCTGGCTGATAGGAAGTTGTATCTCCAGTAAAGTTGTCACAGTGACCTTACCTCATGCTGTAGGCTCCTGCTCCCAGCTCCTGCCCGATTCCTGACAAGCTGGCATCGAAATCCTGCACCAGGCCTGACTCGATCACCTCGTCCGCCAGCGGCAGTTTCAGCGCCCAGGCCATGCTGTGCTATGCTGTGCGGGGCCCGGGGTGGGTACACGGCGCTCGCTATCCGCACAGTGTGTCAGTGTGAGGGGATCCCGCCCAGACACACACCATCCCCAGCGGGCACAGCCGCTTACTGGCAGGCGGGGGCCCCCCGGGGAGCCTGGCCGGAGATCGCGGCTGGAGCGGGGGGAGCTGCCATGTCACCGCTCGGCGGACACAGTGAGCGCTGCGGGCGGGCGGGCGGGCACTGCTCAGCAAGGCAACATGGAGGAAGCGGCGCTGGCCGACTCGACGCGTTCCGTGACGTATCCGCCTCCCATGGGACAGGCAGCCAATCAATCACCCGCTCCAACAAACCCCAGGACATGGGGGCGGGGCTGGCTCTCCCAGTGGAATTCAGGCAGCCACTGGGGACTGAGCTGTGATTACCGGAACACGATGTGATTGGTCGGATGGTGACAGGGGCGGGGCTGCTGTTCGCACGCGCTGTTCATGTGTAGCCCACAGTGGAAAGCAGCATAGAACGCGTAGAGTAGGACTCCCACTCCCAGTACCCACAGCCAGCCTAATCCACAGCTACTCCCAGTACCCACAGCCAGCCTAATCCACAGCTACTCCCAGTACCCACAGCCAGCCTAATCCACAGCTACTCCCAGTACCCACAGCCAGCCAGCCTAATCCACAGCTACTCCCAGTACCCACAGCCAGCCTAATCCACAGCTACTCCCAGTACCCACAGCTACTCCCAGTACCCACAGCCAGCCTAATCCACAGCTACTCCCAGTACCCACAGCCAGCCTAATCCACAGCTACTCCCAGTATCCACAGCTACTCCCAGTACCCACAGCCAGCCTAATCCACAGCTACTCCCAGTACCCACAGCCAGCCTAATCCACAGCTACTCCCAGTATCCACAGCTACTCCCAGTACCCACAGCCAGCCTAATCCACAGCTACTCCCAGTACCCACAGCCAGCCTAATCCACAGCTACTCCCAGTAACCTCAGCCAGCCTAATCCAAAACTATTCCCAGTAACCACAGCCAGCCTAATCCACAGCTACTCCCAGTATCCACAGCCAGCCTAATACAAAACTATTCCCAGTAACCACAGCCAGCCTAATCCACAGCTACTCCCAGTGTATCAGATCAAATTCAAATAGCACACTGACAGCAGTCTGTTCTTTCAAATATCTAGGTATGTTGCTAGACCCCAACCTATCCTTTGGCCTTCACATAGAAAAACTTTCATCAAAATGCAAAATGTTATCCAAAACTAGGTGCCCTGCACAGAAACAATTCCTGTCTGAGCCCTACAGTAAGGAAATATATGCTAATGCTGGTCATTGGATTTGGGGATGTAGTGTATGCACCCGCACTGCAAACCCAACTTAATACGTTATATAATTAGTTCTGCCGCTTTGTACTTGAATGTAATTACTTTACCTACCATTGTGACATGTTAACTAAACAGTAAGCTAAACTGGCTGTCGCTAGAATCCCAACGCACTCTTCATCTTTCCAACATAGTGCATAAGAGCATTTCTGGGAAGCTCTCACCTTACCTTAGTAGAATGCTCTACCCGGCTGTTCCCACCTCCTATATCCCCCGATCCAGTACCAGCACTTTATTTAGCATACCACCAGGGCCACCCCAAGACATTGTGCTGCCTGGATCCAAATATGAAATGCTGCCGCCAACCCCACCCCCCCAAAAAAATAATAATAACATATATACTTCTGCATTGGTAGTGTCTCTATGTGGGTGTGCTGGGGAGGAAGTGGATGTCTGTGTGTGTGCTGGGGATGTAGTGTGTCTGTGTGTGTGCTGGGGATGAAATATGTGTCTGTGCGTGCTATGGATGTATTATATGTCTGTGTGTGCTGGGGATGTAACATGTGTCTGTGTGTATGCTGGGGATGTAGCTTGTGTCTGTGTGTGCACTGCAGCCAATACATTTACCTATACACTGTGTCTGTGTATATGCATGTGTGTCAGTGTTTGTATATGTGTGTCTGTATGTGTGTCAGTGATTGTATCTACAAGCATTACACACATAGAAACACACAGATACCCATACTACATACAGATACACACACTACACAGATACACACACTACACACATACAAACACGCAGATACCCACACTACATACAGATACACACACGACACACAAACACACAGATACCCACACTACATACAGATACACATACATTACAAAAATAAGCCACCCAGCAGGTTCTTACCTTCTGCTGGCTGTGGCTGGTGGGAGTTGGGGGCCTGCTCTCCCTATCTGGCCCCATCCCTGCGGCTTCCTCTTCCCGTGCGGCTGTGTGAGTGAGCTGGGAGGAAGTGATACGCTGTCACTTCCTCCCAGCTCTCGGTGCATGATAAAATGGCTCGGTCGCGCTGTTAAAGCGCCACAGCGCACGACTGGGCCCCTCATTGCATTTGTCCATTAGGTGGCCTTAAGAGCACGGGCCACCCGATGGACCCTCACACACTTTCCCAACCCTTGTGGTGCTAGTGCACCGCCGCCAAGGGTTGGGAAATCCTGTTTTAGATTATGACAGGAGTGGCAAAATGCCGCCCCTGTCAGAGTGCCGCCTGGAGCCGTGGCTCCAGCGCGGTCTATGGACGGGATGGCCCTGCATACTGCTATACAAAAATAAAGTGGCACGATCCTCCTTTTCCTACATAGCACTGCAGTTATGGAATAACCTCAAGGACACAGTCAAATCTTCATTCAATCTAAAATCTTTTAAGAGATCTATGGCAACATACCTCAATACAGAATGCACAGAAAGCACCACTGTGAAAGAATATCGGCACAAGTGCTCTCATTCCCCCCCCCCTTTGGAACAGCAGGGGACATCCCGGTCTAAAAAAGAGCACTCACCACCAAATCGCTCCAGGATGCAAAGCTGGCAGTAAAGAACCGCGAGGCATGACCAAGATGGCCAGCAGCCCTGTTAATCATACAGAATAACAGACACCCACGGAATGGGCAGCGGCCTTCCTGAAAAAAATTTGATGACATCTGCAGGTGATTCTGGGAACGCCTGGAGAATGAGCGACAGCTGCTGACGAGGACAAAGCACCCAAAGTACGACGGGCAGACAGAGCTCTTCCCACAGCAAGGTACAAGGCTGAGGCACGGCCGGAGAGGCCCCATCCGGCAAAACACTCACCAGAACCACATATTATCCGCCTGTTTGCCCACCTGGGAAAGGAGCCACAAGGGGCATGACCCTTACACACCACTCATACCTGCGAAGGAAAGTAAGCCCACGAATGCAGCGAAGTGCAAACTTGCGCAACCCCTCATAGGGGAAGGACTTGGCCCCAAGATGGCGGCAAATCAGTGAGACACTGGTACTGGCTACTGGAAGGTCCCAGGGCAGAAGGAGAGCCTCCTCCGGTTCGCGCTGTGTGACTGCCGAGGACACACGGGACACCGAAGAGCAGCTGGGGAGACTCAACAACGTACCTACCAGCCCTGCACTCAAAGCCTCCAAACTGGGCATCGGCTGAACTGGCGCGGACTGACTAGTTCTCCAACTCCTGGTTTTAGCCCTACCACACACCGTGAGAACTCCTGATGAAAAGCTGATGTTTTCCTTGGTTTTCTTTGTTTTTCTTTATTTCTCTATTCACTAGTTTTACCGTCTGATGCTATATCAGTTTACCTACTCTTATGATCACCATGTATAGCCTTTAACAGTTTAGTGGCGATGAACATGGGATAACTCCCATCACACTGACCATAATTGAATATTCCTGCAGTCAGCATGCTTATCCTGCTTAGCTCCCTATGTTTGAAGTTACCTGCTGACAATGAACCTCATGTTTATATTACAAAAATGTGGGAGCCTAGCCAGTACCACAATTGTATTACAATATGTTTTGCTTGAGGATTGCCTTTGGGGTACCTCAAGCCTTTATGTATTACTTCATGCACTGCAAAAATACCAAAAAAAACTAAACATAATCATTACAAACAGGACACTGACACATTTACACACAGAGGACACTGACACACATACTTAGAAACAGAGGACACTCACACACACTTATTCACTGACAGACACACTGTCACTGATTTGGCACACTGAAAGACACCTCCCTGGGGGCCTCCAAGGTGGCAAGCCGGCCATCTCTTTGCATACTCTTACGTCTAGTGTTCCACCTGGGGTACACATAGCACAGGTTGAGAAACCAGGTAGTAAGTCACCTAAAATTTCTCAAAACAGCCTTTCTCTTGGCCAGACTCCTACTCACACCCCTAAAATTAAAATGAAATGTTGGGAGGTATGCCGGTATCTGCAGCAATCCGTTTCCAGTGTTCATAGCAAGCTGAGATGGACATTTTAGAGCCCTAAAGCAATTCAGCTTGCTGATGTGTTTTATGTGTGAAGAATGTGTCATCTTTTTTCAATAGAAGTTGGACATTTTTACAACTCCCTGGCTGTCAGTCAAACAAGTCCTGTTACTTCCTGGTTGCTAAGTTCAGTAAATCAAATCTCAAGAGGCAGCAATTGATCAGAGCACCTTGCAAAGACGTCTCATTGAGCTGCATTGGGAAGTCTGTGATTGGACAGCCACATAAATTCTGGGGAGGATTAAAAGGGGAGTGCTTGCAAAGGCTTCAGAGAAGAGATGTGCATCTTTAGCAAGCTGTTTTTAGATATACACAAAATAAAAAAGTGTTGGCTTTAAATTTAAACTTACTTACACTTACTTTGAATTCTCACGTTAGCAAATAACACTGTGAGTAATTTCTAAGTTTCCGACATTTTATTCTGCATGGTAAGATCAGGTATTTTAAATGAGGTATTTTAAATCAGTTTTAATATTACCTTCACGTATTTCCTAAATTAAACAAATATGCATTTAAGAGAGCTAAACAATTCAATAAAATGTTGAAATCTACACTGCAGTATTTCTGATTATCCTAGAGCTGAGCAGCACCATCTTGGTTGCCTGTCAATCATTGTTATAAATTGTGCCTTTTACACCAGCATAGAGAGAGAACAGAGAAAAAAGGAGGGAGATTTTAAACAATTACGGAAATTACAATCTCATATCAGATACTTCTGATCATGTTTATCATTGCGCAACAGATTGGTTGATTTGATAAACAATTTTCTCTGGTGAATTTTATGCACATCGAAGCAAATGCGTTTGGATTTTAGAACTTCCTACCACCTTTCAAGTGGTGTCAAGGATACCCAATGGCTTGTTTTTTCTTTTACTGTGGTCACAGAAAGGATTTGGTTTGATGAGCTATTTCCAAAATCAGTTATCTTATATAATTTTTTATTATTATTTTATAAGTGTAATATCTGCATTAGTGAAATAACTTTCTATAGATAGTCTGCATGTAATATTCATATATCTGGTGCTGGTTGCTGAATATGAAAATAGTGTTTTGAGAGATGTCCAGGCCGTAGATGTATTCCCAG